AGAAGTCCGTCCACCCCAAGCGTTCCACCGACTTCCAGCGAATTCAACGCGACTTCGGTGAGCTCCTGGGCGTTGATCTCCTCCGGGGTCGCCTTCTCCAACATCTTAAAGCCTTCGAGTCACGGGGTGGGCTGGGGGCTGGGAGTATGGGGTGGGGGGTAGGAAGTGGGGGGTGGGGTGTGGGGGTGGAGGGGCCCCTTTTCTGATGGGGGGTGGGGTGGAAGTTGTGGGGGGTGGGAGCACCATTAGTGCGCCATTAGTCACCACCGTTCGAGGGTCACTGGATCTTCCCATTAAATCAAACCTGGGCTGGCCGTTTTCAGATCCCCCGCTAAAAATGACCAACTCTTAGTGGGTGGAATGGACACTTCCAGCAAAAAGTCAAAAAAAGTCCAAAAGCTGAAGAACCGGCTGAGTCACCAAGACACATGGTTTCCCCACTTTTGGAGCTCCAAACCATCCCCGATCGCTTCCATAGGGAATGAGAAATGGAAGGAGTCGGCAAAAACCCATCCCCGAGTCGGTGTCCTTTCTGGACGAAACCCCCAAACCGGTTGAGTCCCGAAGCCTTCCCTGATGGACAAACTGCTCAGTTTTACCGGACTTCCTAGAGTCTCCCTAAGGACCCTTGAAAAATGGTTGGTCACTGACCCCAAAATTTTGGTTGGTCATCGACCCATTTTTAAAGGGTCATGGAGACTCCAGGTTTATACTTGGGCTTGGTGCCCAAGCCCTTAAAGGTAGGTCACCCACGATGGTTTTTGAAGGGTTCTCTTGGTGACCTAGCGGAACCTAAGAAACCATGGAAGGATTCCGCTGTAAATACCAACAACTTGGTTTCCCATCGTTTTCAAGCGGAGCGGTTTTTGGATTTCGCAACCATCCGCGGTACAAACATCGCAGCACCATGGAGCGAGTGATGATTCCCCTGAAAATACCAACAAACAACTTGGTTTCCAAGTGGAGCGAAATGGATTTCGTCCATCCACGGTACCAACCGCAGCAAGAAAAGGGGGAAGATGCCTCGAAGCTCCCGGCCTTGGCCTTCGAACATCGCGCACTGCGCACCTGTCTTTCGCTGGGAGACTTTGGTCCAGACATCTCCGTGGCTTCTGCGCAGGGGTTCAACTTGGTGCTTCAACAAATGGGCGAAGCTTTTTGAGGGTATCACTTTTTGGGCTTGAAGGGGAACCAAAGCAGAAACTCATTGTGGAGGTTCTGGGGCCATTTGAACCAATTGTCTCTGGGATGTACCAAATGACGCCCCGTTTTGGCCCCTCAGAAAATATTGGCCCCCTATCCTCAGAAGCTAAGGGGCCTCTGGGGTTAAAATACCAACTCCCGAAGATGTACCAAGGCACCTATGGGTAATTGCCTCTAGGATTTCAGCAATGGCTGGCATGACCTTTCTCCTCTAGGTCCTCCAGTAGAGAAGTTAGAATAAGGGTAACCTTTTTTCTGTAGTCTGTTTCAGTAGGTGAACCCTCCCCCAAAAAAAATCGGTAAAAGGGCAGTACTGGGGGACCTAGTCCTGTTTGATGTGACTCCCTTCCTCAATGTTGCGACATGTTTGTCAGTTTGAGCCGGAGATCGAGATCAACTCTGCGGCAAAGTCTGCCGAGCTTTGGCTTTACGGAGTTGCACCACGGGGCCAACCACTCAGTTGTGAAAATTTCCTCGCCGGACCCTCTGTGTTCCTCAGCTGTAAACAAACAAACACAAAGAATGCAAAAAGTACGGAGAAAACATAGCTCATGCTTGATTATCCGACTCAAACTCAAGGGCGGCTGATTTCCACCCAAGGGACACCCATGGGTTTAAGTCTACCTCGGGGGACTGGAAAAAAGGAACCCTGGATTTCATGATTGAAGGTTCCAACAGCTTCAACGCCTCTGATCCGCGTTGCAAGTGACTGCATTCCACCACCCGGATCCCCGAAATGTCCACGTTCTCTGTGTTGCAATTGCGACTTCTCCGATCTCGGCCAAAAAAAGGACACACGAGCAGGGGTCACTACATTTCCCCCCCTGAAAAGTTGCCATTCACTAAAGGCTCTCAGGATCAGCACCAATTACAAGAATGGGTGACCCAGATTGAAGCAAATATGAATCCAACCATGGTTATACTCACCCCTCTATCGGTAATATCACACCACCTTTGTTTTATTACACCCTCTTAGTTCTATTACCTCTTCTTGGTGAAATATGAACCCAACCCTTTGAATTTTACTGGTTTGAATCCCAGGGGTGGTCTCCACTGAACAACTGCCCACGTGTGAAGGTCGAGCCGGGAAGGCCGATATGCGCGATGTTCCAAGAGTGGATGTTGTGCCGTCGCTTGGAGCCCATGTAGTCCTGGCACACCAATCTTTGCTAGGGGAAGCTTGCAACCATTACCGCAATGCAAACTTCTCAGGAAACCAGCAGCAACCCGAGGAAACCGCTGGTTGTTGAAAGAACGATCTCCGAAAAGAATCGGGATACTGCTGAAGTGGGTTTTTGCCATGGTTATAACTTATAACCCACAAAAGCTAGGGTTGCAAGTCTACGTTCCTTGATTATGTTTTTTAACCAGGCTTACGAACCACTTACCTGAGGTACCGAATCGATCGCCGCTTTAAGCAAGCAATCTTTATCCATATTTTTTGGAAGGGCCTTAAGAACTCGAGGCGTGTGACCCCCCTCCCCCAAGAAACAAAGTGGGGTGTCACCTGGTTCCCTTCAAAACCAACCAAAACGGGGTACACTCAAAAAACGACGCACCCATTTTTGTTCTAATGGTCCCCTCGTGTTAGGCTGTTCCAACTCAGGGCATCCCTAAATGCCAATACATAATCTGTAGTGGGCTGCCACTACAAGGGAAAACACTACGATCTGGCGATAGAGATTGAGGATTGATTTAGAACAACCCAGTCTGTTCTGCGGTGTGTTCACATGTATGCCCGGGCACCATTGGCCCACATGGATGCAACTCTACTCGGTGGCCGCAAAAAAAGGTTGCCATAGCTACTTATGGCTGATATGCCTGATTCTTCCCTCCTCGGATGGGCCGAATCGGAATGGTCCACCCTTCAGACTTCACCCCCGGCGGACCTCCGTTGATGCGTCCTGCCTTAAGTCCTCCATAAAAATTATCAAACTACCGTGGATGTTTGAGAAATGACACCATGGGAAACCATAACGTTGGTTGGTATTTACAGGGGATTCGAATCATTCCAGGGTTTCTTGGGTGCAGAATTTGTCCATTCATCGTATGGCGAGTGGATTCAAACCTCCTGTCAATGGAAACGAGGACTAAGAATCTGCGGTGCCCTGGTAGTGATTTTGACCCATACCATCATTACCTCTTTGTAAATGGTTTTCCCACAACTTTGTTCAGCATTGTTCTGGACAAAGGACGGACACCGCCGAAAAAACACGCCGCCCTTTTGGAAGAGGAACATGAGGTCAAGTTCCATTTAGTGGGTGTGTCTCTTTTGAGGGTCCCCTGTTGGCTAGTGAAACAGGGAAACAAAAGTGAAACCACAAGCTTTGGCGTTCACCTACCTTGAAACTTGGCTGGAATTAGGACCCCAGCAAAAAAATATCTTTTTTGCCTGGTTAGTGGAAAACAAAGGGGACCCCAAAAAGCAAAAAAGCGAAAAAAGCTAATTCTGGGGAAGCTACCTTGAAACATGTTGAATTAACCCAAGCAGTTGTTTGCCATGGGGTCAAAAGCACAGAACCCGTCCTGTCGCAAGGCCTACTTGCATGACATGGGACGGACCCACAAAGGCGCAGGCTCGTTGCCAAATCTTCCCATTTGGTTCCAAGCGGATTCCAAGTTCCCAAGCCTCTAATCCGAGCCATACTGTGGATGGACGAAATCCTTTTCGCACCCTTTGAAACCATGGGAAACCAATATAGGTTGGTATTTGCAGGGGAATCATCATTCCAATGTTTCTCATGTGGTGCGAAATGGATTTCGCCCATCCACAGTATTTCGTCGACCCGCCGGGTTCATGTTTAATAAAGGCATCAAGAATGGGAAACCCCGAACATGGGTGGTTTCCTTTTGGCGTTCCGATTAAAACCAAACCGAAAATGGCTTGGTTGCCGCTGATCCCTCTGCAAAAAGTGTTTAGCTTTTTTTGGGTTCAGTGGAAAATCCAACTTGATTCAACCAAAAAGTTAAAGTCTAAAGATCCGTTGCCCGATAGCAGTCAAGATGGGGCTCTCAAAAACACGAGTCCGCGCCAAAACGGGCAAAAAGCGCAAAAAAACAACAAACAGCGCCGCGACAGCCCCCTTCTTAGATGTTCAACCATCAGTAGGTCAAACCATGGGAATGGGACCAACCAACCAGCGACTCTAGTTACAACCACTTGAAAGGGCAGAGTACTTCGTAAGTGAGTAACAACCATGGGTTATAATCCACTTAGGAGACGTACAACCATGGCTTTTGTGGGCTATAATCATGGGGTTATTTCCCACTTACATCGCCCCTTGAAGCACTGGATCATAACCTTGCTCACCTTATCCGGAATCAGCCATTCATGTGTATGCAGATGTATATATATATATATATATATATAAAGTAGTATATATATATACACCTGGGTCTCTCTTTTTTGGGGGACCCACACAGTTGTGGTTTTCCTCTTGGTGTCCCTTTATAACCTCCAAACGAGGTATCCTAAAAATAGACAGAGCCATATATATATATATATACCTGGAGTCTCCATGACCCTGAAAAATGGGGTCAATACCCAAAATAATGGTTGGTCAGTCATGGAGACTCCAGGTATACCTACAAATGTATATATGGCTGTAGGTCAAAAAAATACCCAAAATGGGTTGCCCTGGCAAATGGAAACATGGACTAAAGCCTGCGCCCGTATATATGTATATATATATATATAAATATTTTTTGCAACGCACATCCAAGCTTGCGTAGGCCTCGGGCTGAAGATTCATGGACGGCTTCTGGGCATCGGGATGCCTCACCTGCCATACGCGTGGAGGAGTTGTTTCCTCCATGTGCGTGGTTTGAAATTGATTCCCTTTAAAACCAACAGGGCGAAAGAAACCATATTCTTCAGCAATTGGAAGTCTTGCCTTGGCTCGAAAGGAACATCAAACGCGCAATCACTTGCTTCGTTTGGGAGTCTCAATTTGAGTTTGCTCGAGTCGAGTTATAATTACAGGGAATCTGCCTCAATTGGTGATACTTGGATGTTCAACCAACTTTGTAAGCAGTTTGCAAGCAGGTTATATCTCCTGTTAAAGTTGGCTGAACATCAAGGTATCTGACGTTGTAGCGGATGAAGACATCTTGTTTACCTCTCAGGACTTTGTGCTCCCCAAGTACAGTGAGCTTGAAACCCTTAAAAATATGGGTGGGTCGTGTTGGTAGGGCGCCCCGAAACCATGTTCCTTTCGGTTTTCCTTTTAAAACCGGACTGACAAAGAGACCACCGAGCGGAAACACGGCAGGCCCGCCCATTTCGGAAGCTGGTAGCTCTGGAAGGGCTTGTGCCCAGGCTGAAACTCCCACCTGGCGCGATCGCTGAGCGATCCAAAGATCGAACCGTTGGCAAGACCATGGGCCGTGGATGTCTTCCTGGAGTCTCCCTAAGGACCCTTAAAAGATGTTACCCAAAATAATGGTTGGTCATTGACCCGTTTTTAGTGGGCCATGGAGACTCCAGGTGGCTGTTTTTGTTCTTTTTCTATGGGGCAGTTCGGTGTTAAACCAACTTAGTAAGTAGATTGTAACCGTGGTTATGACTAGGGAACTGGGCTTGGTCCTCTGATAATCGCGATTATACCCTACTTATAGGGCCACCTAATGAACCCTAGGGTTGAACCCCATGAAAAAAATGGTTGACCCAAGTTAGAGGATGACAATCCTTAAAGAATCGGCGAACTATGAACCCAACCATCGTTATACTTGGTTATATTACCCCTCCATTCTTTCCCCAGTGGTGCCCTTTCTCACCCTTTTTTGGGGGAGGGTTCCCCTACTAAAATAGACGTCCTGAAAAAGTGGGTACCAAATTATTCTGACCTCTCTACCCAGACGCTCCTGGGGCTTCCAATGGAAGCCCCAGACCCTCCATTGGACACCCGGAGTGGTTTTGGGGTCTCGAAACCTGGCCGTTTGAAGCAATCGGGAGCGTACGAATAATCGGGATTAACGAAATTTATTCAAGATTTGGGATATTAACAGATGTCTTACTGTTTGCTTAAGTTCTCTTAATGCAACTATACTGTTTATACTATTAAACATTAATATAAGTATTGTAGATTATAATATGTCAATGTACTTTTCTTGATAAATATCAAGGAAAATAAACCATATTCATAACTGTACAAGTCAATCTAACAACAGTTCAAATTTCGCACACAATATAATCTATACAATCATGTGCAAATTCTCGTCGGCAAAATGCTTCACTGGCGCTGGACGACAAAGTTCGCTGGTAGCTGTCGCCGTCTTCTCATATTTGCCTCTTGGGTGGCGCTGAACTCCGACGGTCCTTCGATGGCCAGAGGAAGCATTTCGATCGGAACTTGTTCGCCTAATCCATTGAAGACATGGACTGCCTTGTATGCCAAATTTCTTGGATTCACACAGCAGTTGTGATTCTTTGAGTACTGGTCATGGTTTCTCAATGGAACACGGCAGTTATAGCACCAATGCCACTTGCACGATCCACAAGTTACAAAGTGGCACATGTCATCCTTTGATGGAATTTCGCCACACCATGGGCAGTCTCTTGCATTTGGAAAGTTCTCCAAGATCTCTTCGTACTCCTTCGCAGGACGCCCTCTGCAGAACCCCTCGTCAAAATGCGACTCGCCACAATCGGTGCAGCAACGATGATTGCATGCCGTGCATGTCATGTCGGTTGGATGACGATAGTAAGCCAATACAAAGCTTTCACTTCGTATCGCTTCATCGTTCGTATCAACGTTACCACATTTGTGGCACTTGGGGTGCGTTCTCCTCTCCTTGAAACTTTCCGTCACACACAAGTTGATCAATGCTTCCAACATGTCAACTAATTTGTAGTACTTGGCTGGTGACATTCGGGGATTTGCAACTTCCTTGATGTACTTCACAAAAGTGTTCTTGGTCTGACGCAAACCAAAATCATAGAAGTAGTTGCTTCCCCCATAGTGTGTACATGGGCATGGTATCAACCTGCGTCTGCATCGCATCGAATACTCGGTCTTAGAACGTCTGTCACACAAAACACATGTCTTGTTATTTCCAACAATACCAAGTTCGATGATTTTGCCATTGGTCTTATGAACTGCATCAAAATCCATCAGTCTGGACTCGACTGAAATCATGGAAGTAAAAAGTGCCAAAGCGGTGTCATAGTCCTTCGCAATTGCGAACTTCGTGTTAGTTGTTCGCTGCAGAACAAACAGTTCCTTCGAGCACTTGTCGACAAGTGTTCTGCATAAGAACCCATCGCTTTCCTTCAGCATATCGAGATAGCCATTGTGCTTATAGTACAACGACGAATAGAATCCGACAAGAGTTGGATCGTCAACATCGTTTGAACCACCCAGTGGATCTACGCCAAAGTTTGCCAACAAGTTGAAGGACTTGCTGGTAACCGAAAATGTCACCTTCTTACCCCTTCTCCTCATGTCCGGGATGGTGATCTTCATGGTGTAAACCTTTTGCTGTCGCGCCTTTGGAAACATAGGCAACTGCACACACCACAAGTTGATCTTGTCCTCGTCGAGAAAATCATACCTCCTCAACTTTGTGGCATTCAACAAATTCTGGTTCAACCCGTTCAGCAAAGTTTGCCACTCCGCCTTTGTCTTATCAGAGGACGACGGGCCGATAACCCAATCGGATGAGCACAATGCTAGAAATGAGTCCAGTTGAGTGGTTGTCAAAGGATTGCAATCCTTTGTGCGTAGACTTCCGGCAACTTGCCTGATCTCGTCAATTGGCTCAATGACAGCGTACTTCAATAGATACAGGTGATGCCACTCGTTCTTGTCCTTCGTACGCTGAGGTTGTGCTTCGTGAGACGCAACGGGCAGTTGCGAATACAGATGAGCGACAAGCGAGCGCACCTTGTCCATATGCGCGGTCAGATCCAAAACTGTCTGATCGTCTCCCACGACCATCTCAGAGGGCGCATCTCTCCCCACCTCCATCTCCATCTCTGCACTGTACGGACTTTCTCCACGCAGAAGCCAAAATGGCTACGGTAATAAGTCTATTCCATTGAAATACGTATATAGTATATAATTATTTGTTTAATTCATTTGTTTATTTAATATGTTTTAGGAAATTGAAATATTTACTTTAAATTAACCATATATTACTATATTGTAATAGAATATAACTAAATATAATAACAACTATTTGTGTAATACTTGTAATCAAGTCAATAGTATTACATTAGCTGGAAGTAATAATGACAATTTTATTTTAAGATATAATACTATAAATGATGAAACACATATTATTCAAATAATAATAACAATATAAATCTTATGTTTCATGACAACTTAAACAACTCTAAATTATGGGACATAACATATAATATTAAATATAATAATAAATATACCATATTATATAGTACTGTTTTAACCATTTATAAATTAATGAATGTAAAAATATATCAATAGCATTAACACATTGTTTATATAATAATTATTTATCTGATAATTATTTAAATGTATCAATGATTGAAAGTATTAAATCATTACAAAGTAAGACAATTACTTGTTCGAGTTTAATTTATGCTAATCAATTAACAGAAATGTCTGAATTTAAAGTTTGTTTAAATAATAATATCTATAAATTAAATTCAATAGCAACATCATTTGTATGTCCTTCACATATTACAAAACAATGGAAACATGAATTATTAAGATGTTATAGGAACTTTAATATTATAATGATTAATACTAAAACTGAGTATAATAAAATTACGAGTAATGATATTAGTAATGCGGATATTACTATTACAAGTTTTAATTTTGTATCTAATTATAATTTGTATTTATCATTACATTATATTAAAACAACAAACACTATGTTTAACAAAGAATTAATCCAGTATTTTATTTTGTTCATTTTCATAGATTTTTATATGATGAAGCACATGAATTATTTACAAATCCCGCTTTTAAAAGTCTTGATTCATGGATTACTGATATTTCAGCTGCAAATAAATGGTATGTATCAGGAACACCATTTGAATTAGATATTGATGTTGATTTTTCTTTATATTTTATTAATACAAAAAAATATATATGATAATAATGTAATAATTAGTTATAATCAAGATTCTAATAATAATATTAGTTATGACTATATTAAAAATAATGAAATAATTACAAACAATATATTAAATAATGTGTGTATTAGACATAAAACAGAAGATGTTGAAAAATAAATAGACATTCCTGAAATCGAAACTAATGTTATGTGGATTGAATTAACTGATGTTGCAAAACATATATATGATATGAATTTACGAACAGCAACACGAATACAACTAAGACAATTATGTTGTCATCCTACCATATCGGATACAATAAAAACATGTGGTAATGAAGAAGATCTAGTACAAGTTCAATATAAATTAATAACCTATTATAAAACAAGAATTGATGATTATACTTTAAAACTAAAACGTATTAAACCAACTAATCAATAATATTCTATGTTTAAAAAAATAACTAATAAACATGGTTCATGTTTTGAACAAAATATTAATCCTGCCCTCAAAACCTGCCGGCCGCGCTTCACAATCCTTTCCGAGGTTCTAGGAATTCCCGTGGGAACTCCATCGCTGGTCACCAGCCTAGGCTGCCAGGGGTGGTGTATGCTTCCAACAAACCTCATGGCCTCCATATATATATATATATATGTGGCCACACACACACACACCCCAGGGCCCACCATTCCGCTTTTCTAGTTGAAGGAGACAACTCTACTCTGTGAGCATATATATATATATATATATGTGTGGGTTCTGCTTCATATGTAGGAGCATTCATAAAAATCAAGTTTTGGAGGAGACCTCCAGCACTGCGCAGACAAAATGCGGTTGGAAGAATTGAGAGTTCATACGTTGATGCGCAGAGAAGCAACTATACCCATTCATTGCTCGGATCCTGATATGGGTCCACAATTCTCAACTGGGTCGTGGATAGTTCAGCGCAAGATGCAAAGACGCAAAAAGAACACGCACACGCGAGTAAACAATGTGCATATGCGTGTTCGAAAGGACATGGTATAATTAGTGAGCCCCGTCTCTCTCAAACGGAGCATAGAGTATTGGACACGTTGAGGGAACCTCGTGTAGGTTTGCATTTTTGGACAGAACCCCAAAAAGGGCGGTTGTTCTCCCTTCTAGCAAAAAGGGTACCGAGCCTCCAAAAAGGCAAGCCGTCCAGATGGATGTTCAAAATTCAGGACCAATTCCGGGTTGCGTTTGCTTGGGCTTCCTTTCAGACTGACACGGACCCAAGCCGGGAAGCGGTGGTTCCTTGCTTCCCGTTTTTAATTAAGAGAAAAGAGCTACGAAGATAGGTGACCTTCTGGAAAAATAGATGGGTTTCCCTTGGTGAAATATAGGCCACCCGGGATTTGCAAGCACACGGACCCAACAAACCTGAGGTCCGCAGCAATCCCGGAAGCCCGAACTCGTTTGGAGGATGCAAACGTCCATCTGCGTTTTTGGCCCTGGGGAAAAACAAACATCTATCCAGCAGTGAAATCGATTCCCTTTCAAACCAGAAGAAAAATATCACATATTCTCTTAAGCAAATGGAAGTTAAAGGGAAACCCCCTGTACAAAAAATGGTCATGGGTCAAAATCCAAATCGTACCCCCAGTGAACATCCGATTCAATCCCAACTAAAATAGGTTCTGAAATGGGTGGTGCATTCACCGAATCCCCCAAAATGGGATCCCAAACGGTTTTGACAACCACAGCCAAACGACAAAACCGGCACTGCCCATAGGTGTCTTTTTTGGGAAAATAGATGGCAGGTGAACCGGGGCCCTCTATTTTTCGACCAAATCAACCAAAAAGGACACCTATGGCGCTGCCCGCTTGGCTTCACTCGCCGAGCCCAGGGCTCGCCGGCGGCCGGCTGAAACTCTGCCACGGTGTCCATGGCCGCTGAACCGCTTCAGCGCTTCCGCGCTCGACGGAGCGCTTGGGCCAAACGGCGACCGATTTGTCCGTCTGGAGGCCAAGGCATGGAACAGGGTCCTTGGACGTCAAGCAACTTAGTAGGGTATAACCATGGATATCCGCCGACATTGCTCGGCGTGTCGGATACTTACTAGAGGATAGAGGATAACCCCCCCCCTAACCCCCCCCCGCCCGACGTCTATTACGTAGGTTTTTTGGGGGGGGGGGGGGTCCCCCACGTACCGCGCGGCAATTTGATGACGTTCCACTAAACGTAGTCTTCGGGGAGCCGGTGTCGCAAAACAGGGGTCCCAGGCTCGATTCCCCCTGCCGGCTTTTTTGCTGGCTTGGGCTTCCTGCATCCTTTTGCCGAAAATCTGGAAAAACTCAATGTTTTTGGACGTCCTCTTTGCGAAAACGCTGGAAAAACCGTGTTTTTTTTGCGGGAAATGCATAGCATACATACATGCAACATACATACATACATACATACATACATACATACATACATACATACAAACATACATTACATACAAACATACATACATACATACATACATACATACATACATACATACATACATACATACATACATACATACATACATACATACATACATACATACATACATACATACATACATACATACATACATACATACATACATACATACATACATACATACATACATACATACATACATACATACATACATACATACATACATACATACATACATACATACATACATACATACATACATACATACATACATACATACATACATACATACACATACATGACATACATACATACATACATACATACATACATACATACATACATACATACATACATACATACATACATACATTACATACATACATTACATACATACATACATACATACATACATACATACATACATACATACATACATACATACATACATACATACATACATACATACATACATACATACATACATACATACATACATACATACATACATACATACATACATACATACATACATACATACATACATACATACATACATACATACATACATACATACATACATACATACATACATACATACATACATACATACATACATACATACATACATACATACATACATACATACATACATACATACATACATACATACATACATACATACATACATACATACATACATACATTACATACATACATACATACATACATACATACATACATACATACATACATACATACATACATACATACACATACATACATACATACATACATACATACATACATACATACATACATACATACATACATACATACATACATACATACATACATACATACATACATACATACATACATACATACATACATACATACATACATACATACATACATACATACATACATACATACATACATACATACATACATACATACATACATACATACATACATACATACATACATACATACATACATACATACATACATACATACATACATACATACATACATACATACATACATACATACATACATACATACATACATACATACATACATACATACATACATACATACATACATACATACATACATACATACATACATACATACATACATACATACATACATTACATACATACATACATACATACATACATACATACATACATACATACATACATACATACATACATACATACATACATACATACATACATACATACATACATACATACATACATACATACATTACATACATACATACATACATACATACATACATACATACATACATACATACATACATACATACATACATACATACATACATACATACATACATACATACATACATACATACATACATACATACATACATACATACATACATACATACATACATACATACATACATACATACATACATACATACATACATACATACATACATTACATACATACATTACATTACATACATACATTACATACATACATACATACATACATACATACATACATACATACATACATACATACATACATACATACATACATACATACATACATACATACATACATACATACATACATACATACATACATACATACATACATACATACATACATACATACATACATACATACATACATACATACATACATACATACATACATACATACATACATACATACATACATACATACATACATACATACATACATACATACATACATACATACATACATACATACATACATACATACATACATACATTACATACATACATACATACATTACATACATACATACATACATACATACATACATACATACATACATACATACATACATACATACATACATACATACATACATACATACATACATACATACATACATACATACATACATACATACATACATACATACATACATACATACATACATACATACATACATACATACATACATACATACATACATACATACATACATACATACATTACATACATTCACATTCACATTCATTCATTCATTCATTCACATACATACATTCATTCATACATTCACATACATTCACATTCATTCATACATACATACATACATACATACATACATACATACATACATACATACATACATACATTACGTACGTACATACATACATACATACATACATACATACATACGTACATACATACATGCATGCATACATACTTATGTACATGCATGCATACATACGAGAGAGGGAGATTGGGGAGAGAGAGGCTTGGGGGGATGGGGAGGATGGGAGCAGCGGGAGGGAGAGAGGACGACAGAACACACAAGGGAGACAAGGAAGAGAGGAAGAAGGAGAAAAGGGAGAGGACAATGTCGGCGGACTGAGCCGGAGGCTCTAAAGTTGGGGGACCAACCCCAGTTGCTACAGCTATAACCACACTTATAACCTAGATACTATATGTTGGTTGAACATCCAAGCCCAGTGCAACAAGTGATTGACTTGTTTGTTAGGAACATACACATTTGCACAAAAGGTAAAGTCCTACGAACCGACTAAATACTTGTAGCAACCAAAAAGGCACCTCTGACTGAGAGACACCCCACATGCTAAATACCTCCTTTGCCCCCCACGTGGCCCGCCGTGGTAGGCAAACCTTCTCCATTCAGGTTTGAATACCCTTTGGTTCCCTGCAAAACAACCCCGTCATCCATTCGCCATTGGGCTTCCATGTGGCCCGTGTTCCTTTTGAAACCAAAAGGGCCGCCTTTATGCATAGGGGGTGTTCCCTCCAAAAGTGACAAACCCCACTAAAAAGGGACACCAATTGAAAAACCAACAACCAGGAGTTTACGAATAACACCACAATGCTGCCTTGTAACTCGAAATCGAAGGATCGATGGCAGTGAATCCCTAAAGGGGCAGGGTGCCTGGCAAGTGGCTAGTAAGCCTAGGCTATCATCCACGTACTGGGCTTTGCAGCACGCAGTGCAGGCCAATCCCGATTTCCATAATCTCCCGATTGATTTAGCGCCTTCAACCAACCTGGTTTTGAGACCCCCAACCACCTCCGGGGTGTCTAATGGAGGGGTCCGGTCTTCCATTGAAAGCCCCAGCCTCTGGGTGGAAAAGGGGACCCAACTTGCGTAACTCAAGGCTCAAGGATTTAAGGATTGCCTTTGAAGCCCAGACTTAGACTAGCCACAAGTGTCCCAGATCCCGAGTGGACCTCAGCAAGGACACGAGGGCCACCGCGCTGGAAGATCCCAATGCACACACCGAAGAAGCCCAAGAGGGGTTCACCGATTTTGGCTACTGTAACCTCTACGGTGGATGGGAAACCGATCTCCTGCATCACTTTGAAAACATGGGACACCATGTTGGCTGGTATTTACAGGTGAACACGGGCGAGCAAAAATATCGGATTTCGCAACCATCCGCAGCAGGATTGAACACTTTACCCTGTTGACCACCATCCTGGAACTCACCCGAACCCCAGGGTCCCGTTTGGAGGACCAGGGCCTGAAGGCCTTTCAGGCCCTCCCAGTCAGCTTGCACCTGATAAACCCAAGTTGGAATGTCTTGATTTCTTCCCAACGCAAATACCAACCAACGGTTTCAGCCCTGGTTTCAGAGTGGCGGACTTCGCAACCCTTCACACGGTATTGCCCTATCTTGAGAACCCCAAAGGAGAGAACCATGGTACGCGGACCAAACCCAGTTGCCCTATAACCATGGTCATAACCGCCATAAGTTGGTTGAGCATTGGCACATGTGTCTCCGACACGCGTTGACCCGGTTTAGCATTCAGCTTCCCACTTGGAGGTTCGGAGGTCCGGTGGTTTGGTGTTCTTCCGGGGGGGTGTCCCCCATTCACACTCAAGGGTTCACACATGGGTTACCGGAATTGAGGAGACTGAAAACCATACAAGCTATAACCTGCTCAAAATGTCCCTCGCGGTAGTGAACCTTGTCATTCGTGGGTTATACCCCAGGTGGCCCTTTCCACATAGCCACCAATTAACATGGCACCTGACGTTCGGGGATTCCTGGAAGATCATGTTCCTTTTAAAGGGACCATTTCCCGAACCTCAGGTTCCATGCTTCAATTGGTGGGAGCCTGGTAAGTTGTTCGTAACCTCAGTTATTACCCGAATACAACCCCCGTTCAGTGGAGTTGACCTTGCTACTGTGGATGGTTGCGAAATGCATTTCCCACCACGCAAGAAACCATGGAATGATTCGATTTCCCTGTAGACAACAAAGACTGGTTTCCCATGGTTTCAAACTGGTGCGAAACGGGTTTCGTCCATCCACAGTACCGAGTTATAAGTCAGGTGAGCCGCAATCAAAACCCGGGTAAATGAAGGTTAGTAAGGAACGATCCCAGCCGGAATAGCTGCGGCCGCCTTCTTAGTATTTCTTAGTTCTTTACATTTTTGTACCGGGTTTTGATTGTGACTCAGGTGGCCTCCACTTCAGACTTGAGGAACATCCACTCCGTCCGCCCGGCCGCTCCAGCGGCCCCGTTCCGTTTCTCCTCTCCAGCAGCGGTCCAATAAAGGGCTCCGCCTCGGCAGTTGAAATCCACTCCTGGCGCACCCCCCCAACTTTTACCGAAAACTAGGAGCTCTGGAGGTTCTTCTTCTTTTGAATACTTGTGCTGAATGTTGGTTGTCTTCGCGTTAATGCCTGTCCCCCTTGTGGTTTGACGTTGACATATAAATAACACATGTATATATATATATATATAATGTCTATTTTGCACCTGGGTAAACATGAAACTGGATTGAACAAATTATGTGACGAAATACATCAAAGCAACTATTGTCTGAAACATCAATTGTGACGCAGACCTATTTCAAGAGATCGTTGAAACAACCGCGCATTTCACACGTTAGACAGTTGCTTTGCTGTCATCACTTTCTGAGTGGACTGATCAAACAGGCAAACTGCCTATTTTGCCACTGAAATGGTCCAAGCCCCAAAACTGACCAAAGTCCAGGAGCTCAGGAAGGGAGTATCTGTGAACAAAGAGTTGGTTCAAACCGGCTCTTGTTGTTCCAAGGTTGAGAAAGACTCTGAAGTACCTATAAGTGGGAAGCAACCCGCGGGGTGCATGGTGAGCTTCTGGGCAGTGCTAACGCTAAAGGAGTTAAGCCTGCAAAATATCCACTTGCGCGCAAAAAAGAGCTCACTTTGGCTCTAACATTGGTTGCAAAGTGTTGTATATGGGTCAAAAAATGGTACCCAGAATGGACCCCTGAGCTAAAAGGAAACACGAACTAAAATCTGCGGTCTGGTGGTTTAAATTTGACCCATATGCTTTCCAATTAGCCAGGTAGTCTTTCATTTGCTTAAGCCCCCTGGAAAAACAAACATGTAACATATTTCCAGTAGTCATAGATTCCCTTTAAACCAACAGGGGGCAAAAAAACAAACAGCAAAACATATTCGTAAGCAAATGGAAGCAGTAGAACCACCCTCAAAGCGGCCACTGCGGGCTTTGGCTCAGGCGCGCAATCGCTTGGCCCCCTGCCTCCGATCCGGAATCCGACACGACCTCCGCGGATGCGTCGGAGTCCACGCCTCCGATGGGAATGAGATGGTAAGGAGTCGAGGAGCCAAAGGGAGTGGATGGAACAAGTGTCGTCAAGTCTGCTCCTGTTTATGTTCCTCTAGGAGCCCAAGACCCTAAACATGAAGGCCTCTAGCTCCCCAATGGCTTCAATAATGAGGTTTTTGGCTCCTACTTGGGTGTTGGGCCAAGTCAGTAAGTGGTTATGAACCCACAAATGACTGGGTGAACCCCATAAGTGGGTTATAACCCACCTTTTCCACTTACTAACTTGGCGAATCGAACATTCCAGCACTTTCTCTGAAACTATGTTGGTTCACCTACAGGGATCGCTCGGTGCCGCCGGGATTCCTTTGACGCCGATTCAAAAAGGTGATTGAACTTTGGGCTGGCTGAAAGGGATATGGTGGGTCAAAACCCCGGTGAGCCCCCAGTGAACATCCCATTCAATCCAACCACTAAAATAGGTTCAAAAATGGGTGGTGCACCCAAAATGGGATCGCAAAACGGTTTTGAACCATAGCCATATGGAAAGCCACAGCAGCCAAGCTCGAAAGCCAAGTTCAGTCTGGCAATGTGACCCCAAACTCGCACATCGTCACTAGCTTGCCATGGCTCGCACTCTCTCAACCCAAACACACCTTGGGGAAGACTAAAGAGACCCAACACCGGGGTTTGGAGTGCTTGGCGGGTGGCGGCAGATTCGGTGGATATGGTGGGAATTCTTCTCCAGCAACTTGTGAGGTCCCGGTTTTTGAAAGTCACTTCCAAGTTTACTTTGTTGAAACCCATCTTAAACAAATAGAGGGATCTCCTTTGGGAAATTGGCATTTCCATGCACTGTGTCTTTGTTTTAATTAAAAAAAAAAAACAAACAAAAAACGTTGGGTTGGAATGTTACAAACCACCAAAAACAAACACCTGTTTAATAAAGAAACAAAAGGTTGGGTTGGGATTCTATAAGCCACACAAAACACACACCTGCTTTAATATGAAGAAAAACAAAAGTTGGGTTGGGATTCTATAAACAACAAAGAAACACTCTGGTTTCTTTTTGTCGACCCAATCCGCATGCGGCCGGCCATGGGCTCCGAACCCAGGCCGCTTGTTTTGCCCGAACCCCGACGGGTTCCTCGGTTCCGGGTTGGGCTTAGGGTCCTGGGTCCTCGGCCCCCTGGAAAAAAAAAGCAGGTTTTCAGGAGTGATCGATTCCATTTAAAGCCAACATTAGAAAAAAAAAAAAAACTATTCTTCAACAAACATGGAAGCTGGATTTCCCCCGAATCTCAAACCTGGCCCGCCCGTTTTCAGCTGCCCCGCAAGTGAGCAACTCGGTCCGGTCCCCTTTCAAGCCCACGGGTTTCCGGGCACAGGGGAAAATAACAAACATTCTTAGGAAAATGGAAGAAGAAAGGGAGGAACGAGGGCCCGTTCTGGCGGCTCGAATTCCCGTTTCAAGCCCGGCTCCCGGGGCCCCGGGCCCACGCTTACATTCCTCCCCGCCGCGATGGCCATGGCCCGCCGCGCCGCCGGCGCCAGGCGCCGGACACCGCCCAGGCGGCCGCGGGCGAGCCCCGGGCCGAAGCCGGGCCCGGGCGCGGCGCCTTTGCGCGCGGAAGGCGCCTTGGCCTGGCGAGATCCCAGGGCTTCTTGTACCACAGGTAGTGAGTAAGCCTGGTGATAACAGACTGAACGGAGACTTACCATGCATGGCTCAAGTGGGTGAAACTACAAGAAGGTTCAAGTCCCCAAGCCTCTAATCCGAACCTTCGTCGACCCGCAGGGTTCATGTCTATTAGACACAGCCATATATGCATACCTGGAGTCTCCTTCTGACCCTTAAAAATGGTTTGTCATTACCCAGGGTAATGGTTGGTCATTGACCCAGTCTTAGAGGGTCAGAAGGAGACTCCAGGTACTTGGAGGGGGCTTCTTGTACCAAAGGTAAGTGGTTAGTAAGCCTGGTTATAACTATTGAATTTAACGGAGACTTACAACCATGGCTCAAGTCTGGTTATAACCATAGTTGTTATGCCCCTTTAAGTGGTACCTTATTGCCCTGCCTCCATTTGCGAATACATCCCCTGAACAAAACAGACACATACTTCCAGTAATTAGTGAGAGAACCCCTTCAACACTAACAGGGGAAATGCACAAGGCGGGGTGGACATCGATGGGGATTGTTTCGAATGCCCCTGTCGGTTTTGCAAAGTGCCAGGGTCCCTGAGGAAAATGGTCCAAACCAGATCCTCCCAGTCAGCTATGGCAACGTGGATGCTCGCATGAGCTTCCCTCAGATGCCCAGTGGATTTCCATGGGAAAGGAAAGAATCGGCATCCTTTCTTGGTTGGTTGACTTTAAAGGCAAACCCTTCACAAAAAAGGCACTAATGCGCAACTGGGTTCTGCCGGCCTCGCGGGCGCCGGCGTTGCCTCCAAATGGAAATCGCTGACGTGCGGATGTGTGAACGGGCCGGCCGGGCGATGGGGGTCGCGTGGGTGTGTGCTTTTTGTTGGAGAACGCGGCTTCTTGCGGTTGAGTTCGACCAGAAGAAGGTTTGGGCAGGTGGGTTTTTGAGATTGATCTGGACCAAGAGGAGGTTTCATCAGGTGAGGTGGTATAGTTGATGTGGACCAAAAGGAGGCTACGGCAGGTGGGTTTGTGCTGCTTGAGGACACCCTGTTTGGGGTTGATTTGGACCAAAAAGAAACCCAGCACTTTGGGGGTCCCCGAATTTCGACACATAGCCAGAAGGTCCGCAAAAGAAGATTCCTCAGGTGATGGCTTGCTGGGTTCCTGTGTTCATCCACAGGGGAGTAAGCCGCCGGTAAGCATTGTGGTTACCTCAAGTAGGGTCTTTTGAGCCCACAAAATAGAGGTCATAACCCGCAAAACTCATGGTTATGACCTGTTTGCAACCCGCAAAGTCTTGGATTTTACCCACACAATGTGCCAGAAAAATCATGCTAACCCCAGATTCATGGTTACCCGTACAGGTAATCATGATGATCCGCACAAGTCAAGGTACCTGGAAAACTTATAGTTCTAACTTTGTAAGCCGAACCACTGATGGTTGTACGCCCTCTCTTGCCTGGGTGGCAACCCTGGTTGTGGCAACCAAAAGTCTCCGCTTACCTCAAGTAATCGGTCACCCCTCTTTGTGGTTGATGTTGTTGGTGGTACCCTGCAGTCTTTTCCTTGGGGGGATAGAAAATGAGATTAGCCAGCTATCCACTTTGAACAAACCAACTGGCAATGGGCTGGGGCGAAGCTCATGGCAACGAAGAACAATCACTTCTCGGTTGCTTTCTGCTCCCCTGCTAAAAGTTGTTTGACTTTTAGTGGTTTATTACCTCACTGGCTGAGTGGATGGCCCAAAAAAAGTCCAAACTTTATATTTACAAACAAATGGTCTTCCCAAAAAGTCTAAAGTTCATGAACTCAGGAAGTGAGCCACTAGTTGGCAAAGAGTTGAAGTCCTAACATCCCTTGGCAAAATGCCTACCAAAGACTTGAGGCCGGGAGCGCGACATGTCCCCGGTCCCCCAAATCACCCTTTTTTCTCAGCCGAGCCCCGAGAGCGCATCTGGGTTTCTGGGGGGGCAGTCAGGTTTGCATGACAAGTTGGCCAAGCCAGACTGAACCAATCTAGCTGTCCACCTATGAAGCCTGGCTGCTCGTCAACCCCAAACTTGCGCATTTGCAGGTTTGCTTCTTTGTTATCTGAGCTGTTGAAAATGGAGTGGCCACTCCGAATCCATGATCCAGCTATTCAACAAGCACTAAGGCCACCGAATTCTTTCGACAACCCGAGCGAGGGGGAGGGTCGGTAGCTTTTAGTTGCGTATGAACTTAATGTGAAACTCCTAAGATCCGACTAGAGACTCACAAAATGCCAAAACAACCTCAATGGTAACTGGTTACACACCTGCCCATGGACGTCCTTTTGGACAAATAGATGGCCCTGGTAAATGGAATGAGACCAATCTAACGCAGTGAAAGATTTCACCAAACTCATCGATGAACAGGGCACCTATGCACCGCGCCAGTCACTTCCTTCAAGGTTTTGAGACGAACAAAATGCCGAATACCTCGATGGATGGCCAAGCAGCCTGCGCAACTCCATTCCCCAAGGTCCAGCCTGCGAACGCTCGGACGCCCTTCGATCCGCGCCGGACCTTCTTCGGCGCCTCGCCTGGCGAGCCGGGCGAGTCCGCGGCTGTGAGGCGCCATGGGCCTTGAGACCCGGATGGGTTCAAACGAATGCCTTAAAACGAACGGCAGCCAAGGGGGCCCAATTTCGATGAAAATCCCAGGCTGTAATAATGATGGTGACAAATTAACCCAAAGGATAACTTCTCATGTGCTGGTGGGTTGATTCCCAGGAAGTAGCTGATATTCCTGGAGGCACCAACGCACCCCCGAGCTGAAGCTGGTTCAGCTAAAGCTGCCAAGAACCTTATCTGCCCACACCAATGTCAATGTGCAAACTTGCATATAAACATATATACATGTTACTAGTGCACACAATATGTATGCATGTATGTATGTATGTATGTAAACATGTATGCAAGCATGTAAGCATGTAAGCATGTAAGCATGTAAGCATGTATGCATGTATGCATGTATGTATGTATGTATGTCTGCCTGTCTGCCTGTCTGTCTGTCTGTCTGTCTGTATGTATGTATGAGTGTGCGTATGCATGCATGCATGGATGCATGTATGCATGTATGCATGTATGCATGTATGTATGCATGTATGCATGTCACATGTATGTATGTATCTGTCTATATATGTATCGACCTATCTATCTATCTATCTATGTATGCGTGTATGGATGTATGTATTTATGTATGTATATGTATATGTATATGTATATGTATATGTATATGTGTATGTATGTATGTATGTATGTATGTATGTATGTATGTATGTATGTGTGTATGTATGTATGCATGTATTGTATTGTATTGTATTGTACTGTATTGTATTGTTTTGTGTTGTTTTGTATTGTATTGTATTGTATGTATGTATGTATATGTATATGTATGTCTGTACGTACGTACGTATGTATGCATGTATGTATGTATGAGTGTACGTATGTATGTATGTACGTACGTACGTATGTATGCATGTATGTATGTATGAGTGTACGTATGTATGTATGTATGTATGTATGTATGTATGTATGTATGTATGTATGTATGTATGTATGTATGTATGTATGTATGTATGTATGTATGTATGTATGTATGTATGTATGTATAGATGTACGTATGTATGTATGTACGTATGTACGTATGTACGTACGTACGTATGTACGTACGTTTGTATGAGTGTACGTATGCATGCATGCATGCAGGGATGCATGTATGCATGTATTTCAGTCACGTCGTGTCTTCCGTGCTCAACTGTCGGGCCCCACTCATATACCCATTCACCGCCTGCGGCTTCATTCTTCCGCTTGCGCCGCCGCCTCACCTGCGAGGGTCCAAATCGGGGTTGATCAAAAGGTCCGATGATTGAAGAACGCCGCAAAAGATACATTATATTTGAATCTCTGATAACAAATTTAAAAACAAAGCAGAAAGCCTACCTGGACATCCCTTGTTACGGGCATCGTTGTTTTTGATGCCCCCTGTGTATATCTCAGCGAATCAAGCGATCTCAACCCCAAAAAAGTGCTTGTGTTTCTCGTGTGGATAGGGATTGTTTTGGACTGCTTGAAGAGTGGCGGTTGATCAATATTCCTGGCCCGCCAATGACCAAGGGTAACTGTTCCCATTTAGTGGGACAAATGATTGCTTTGGTGGTTTTTCCCAATGTCATCCTATGTTCATCGCGCCTTTTGATCAACCCCGAGTGCAAGAGTGCTAAAAGAGGGCAATGGGTAAAATCCAGAGGTGGTTACCGAAAAAGCCCTGACAGGGTTCATACCTATCGCTGGCCAACATTTGAGGCGCACACACACACACATGGACGTAATATTAGCAACCCTCCGATGTGCGGTTGTCCTTTTGGTTTTGCTTTAGACACCACCAACAAAGGGATACCCCTGAAACAAGACACACCCACATAATTTATGGTTCTGTTTCAGATTGGTCTACGCTACTGGAGACCAAGGGGCCCTGACCATCCCTAACCCTGAATGACTGAAGGTCTTCCCATGGCGCACATGAGTGTGTCTTAACATGCCGCACATCATGGGATGTACCTTTTGGTTTCCCGTTGCACCATCGAAACCACTGGACATTCTCCAGGAAGGAATCGCCCAAACCTCTGACGTTTGAGTTGGTATTTGGCGAGGATGTCCTGGAGAGCTTCAACTGGAGCTTGGAACCCCAAGAAACGTACCCTCCAAAATTCAGCTTCCCTCTAATTGGTTGTTTGGATGAATTCTCGGTTTAGAGGTCTTACGCCAGGGGTTCACATCCAAATCCAGACCACCAATCCAAACCACCAATCAAGTAGGGGATGCCTCCAAAACAAACACCACAACTTTGGCCCCGCACGTCAAAAACCCGTGCCTTGGTGTCTTCACCTGCACGGATGAGGGGTCGGGTAGGTCATAGACTGGTTGCTAACTAAATGGGTCTGGAATGTGTTTTTCTTTCTTAAACAAAACAAGCAAATCCTCTTTTGAACTCCTTTAGGGGACATTCAGAATGGGCTATTTGGCACCCAGCAGAGCCCCCTGAATTGTGGTTTTCCATGTGGTTGCCTTTAAACTACGCTCAGAAAGGGCAACCTTTTAAACACAAACACACACACGGCGATCTCACTAGAGGCCAAAAGATGGTGGCTTTCTGTGGCTTTCCCTCTGGGTTTCTGTACACCTTCCTAAGAAAGGTACCAAGCCTCACAAAAAAACACCGGAGTCCAAAAATTGGGCGTACGGCAACTGGGCATCATCTGCGGGTTGCCTCGCTTCCAAGGATATGTTTGAACTCGTGAGGTCCCCAGCTGCCAAGGATTTTCCCACAAACAGGGCCAAATCATATCACATTCTGCTTCATCTAGGTCCTCTAGTAGAGAGGATAGAATAAGTTGGTACCCGATTTTTTTGCTGTAGTCTATTTTAGTAGGGGAGCCCTCCCCCGAAAAAGGGAAAAAGGGCACCACTGGATAAACCTTGTTCATATTTAGTCTATATGAAATAGGTAGGAGACCCCAGGCGGTTGTCTTTGCGGATCCACGTGGGTAAGCGAACCCTTGGAGGCGTGGGAAGTGCCCTTGGCCCAAAACGTGGCCCGTCTGGGGCCACTTGACAACCTAGGACTTGTGCTGGGGTTGGTTAAAAGGGAAACCTTCAAGGAAAACCGTATCTTTAGGGTCCCCGATCATCAATCTGGTGATAATCAATTCTCTTGTTTTGGTGCCATGGCATCAAATTTAGTCAACCAATAGCAACGGGTGTTCAGTCGCAATCCCGCTGAAGCACTATTGCCCAAACACATCCCTAAGGGATCTGCATCCCTGCAAACCAAAACGTACCAGTACTTGCGATTCTGGCCCACATGTAGTGACCCTGAAATTTACCTCCATTTGCTTTCAAGTCCGCTGAGGGGAAAAAACAAATCCTGTAGTGATAGATTCCCTGTAAAAAAGCAAGGCACGCCGGCCCAATCAAGATCGCCAAAATTTGCCCCCCCCCCCCCCGCCAAAAAAAAGAATGAGGTCCAAATCGCAATAGCAGGGGCTACATTAGCCATCTTTTCCCCGCCCGACAGGAAGGGGTTGATTGATTTTATGATAGAATCCGCGTTTCCCATCCAGCTGCTCGCCAGTGGATCCCGCCGAGTATCCCGCCAGAGCGGCTCGCCAGTGGATCCTGCCGAGTATCCCGCCAGAGCGGCTCGCCAGTGGATCCCGCCGAGTAGCCCGCCAGAGCGGCTCGCCAGCGGATCCCGCCGAGTATCCCGCGGAGTATCCCAGACTAGTTCGCCAGAATCCCGCCAGTGAGTGATCCCGCCGAGTATCCCGCTGAGTATCCCTTGCCGGTGGATCCTGCCGAGTATCCGGCCAATATCGAGCCGGAGCGGCCCGCCAGTATTCGCACAGTGGATCCCGCCAGTATCCCGCCACAGCAGCTCGCCAGTCTGGTTCTGCTTAGTGTCCCGCCCGGAAAATGTTGAGTTTACATTTTATTTTGGTGCCTTCGTGTTTTGAATGTACCCTGAGGCTCGGAAAGGGTGATGCTTTTGTGTTGCTTTGGGTTGTGAATAAGCAACTTCGTTTAATCCCCCGTCGAGCCATGATGTAAAGATGTGTTGCAACATTCCGTGCTTTTGACCTGGGCGCAAAGGGCTGACTTTGGTGGCTGCACACTCTTGCGCATCGCAGCCATAAACAAGCGGTTTTTGCGACCTGCAGGCAGTGATGTGCTCTGCAGAGCGCGGGGCTGGCGGTAGCTTCTGCAGATGCATAACCCTGGTGCCGCCGTGATCGGACATGTGCAAGTAGTTGTTGCTCGCCAATAAGCTTGAAATGGGCTTGAAGCAGTGCGTTGCCATTCTTGCGCGGCAAAATATCATTGGGAAGGGGCCGATGCGAATTTGGAGTCGAAATCTCTAGGATGCGGACGTTGTAACGGTCGTAAGCTCGTGAGTGTGGAGGGTGGGGATTGCTCGAAGCGAAGTATTTTAAATGAGGTCCAAACCGCAAAAGACAGGGACTACATGTTCCGATCTTGGTGGTGCGGGGTGGCAACAACAACAGCAGCCAGCGCCGCGCCCCAGCGCCGGAGCCGCACCTTGTCCCTGCGCTTTGGCACGGCGCTTTGGCAAAGCCTGCGTCGCACAGGGTTTGTCGGCAGCGGTGCGAAGAAAAGGCTCAGAACATCAGCCAGGGGTTCGTTTTGGTGCCATGGTCATCACTTGTGCTGCACAACATAAACATAGCAAGGGGGTCTATTATTTGCAAGGTAGTGAAGATATGTTTAAAGTTATAGGCATATGAAAGGGGATGTGTATATTATATGTATATATATATATATGTATATATTGTGTGTATATATATATATATTGATTTATTTACATATATATATATAGATACATATACATATTGGCATTGACCCTAGGGTTCAACCCCCATGAAAAGAATTGCAAGGGCCAAATTTAGATGACAATCCTGAACGGTTGTAATTCTGAACCCAACCATCGTTGTTGGGATGCACCTGAAAGGCTGCGTGGAAGATCTGCAAGTGACCCACGTGTCAGCTTCCAGAAGACACGCCATGGTCAATAGTCATGTGGCTCAAGGCCTCTTGTTTGTTTAAGCGGGGGTTATACACCCAGCAAAGCCACGTGCAGGGATAAGCCCTTTGTTTTAGGTCAATCTGGTTCCCACCCCAATGCTTCCCAGTGCATAAGGGAGATGGTCCCGCAGCCCCTTCGAGAAGTTCTTCGGCCAACGAACATCTGTCAGAAAGAACGCCACGAAAACCCTAAAGCTGAGTGTTGCAGCATAGAACACCATTCCCTTCATGTTCTCCCCAATCTTCTTGAAGCCTAGTGCAACGGCTGTGATTGTTGTCTCCCTCTGGCTCTGAGGTTGCCACTTTTTGCGCAGGTCCCTCTGCCGAGCGCATGTGAAATCTGTCTGTCTCTCGAAGACTGTGCGCTTGTGCTCCGGCATCTTGACTAGGTCCTCTAGTAGAGAGGTTAGAACAAGGGTACCCATTTTTCCTGTAGTCTATTTTAGTAGGGATACCCTCTCCCCAAAAAAGTTGGTCAAAGGGCACCTAGCTGGGGGGGACCTAGTTGAGAGTCAGCACACCTGCGCAGTCGAGCCAGGCTCTCCCAGCAGTCCCAGCATGGACATCTCCGGAGCATGCGGCTGCGATCCCGTTGAACATGTGCTGGACACCCAAATCGGAGAAAGAGCGACACTCAAAACATGTTTTCCGCACCAATGACCCTGAACTGGGTGCTCAAAGGACATTGAGCAAAAACAGATACACCTGTGTGTTTCCTTTTGGGGAAACCAAGAAATTAAATGGCAAAAACACCCAAACGTAGTAGATAACCAGACGCTTTTGCCTCCTTCGGTTTCATGTTTTTCCTGGTTGCCTTTAAGGGTAACTGGAAGCAGGCTCCGGTGTTGTTTTGATTGGAATCACAAGTCGCTCACTGTCTTGCTTGGTGAACAGTCCAAGACGAGAAAAACCAAAATCAAAGCAGCTAATGTGATTCAAAACAAGAACACACCGGTTCCCTGGAATCACGAAGCCTGCATCTGCCATGTTTGATCCTTCGGATCTCCAACTCCGCTGAATGCCCAGGGCGCACGATCTGCGCGCGCCTTCTTCGCATCGGCAACCTGCTCGGTTCCGTGGGTAAACACCTTGGGTGTTCGGCCAAGTTGGTAACCTAGGTTTATCACCCGGTTCGAAGCCCCCCCTTAAGCGGGGTTGAGTGATTACTGGGCTTTAAGCCCCCCCCCCCAAGCGGGGTTGAGTCATTTCTAAGCCCTTAACCCAGGTGTCTAACCGTTATAACCACTTGCCAGCTTGGCCGATGCCAGCACCCAACACCTCACGTGTCGGGTTGCTTGAAAGGCAGCAGCTCGGAGGAAGGCTTCCTGAGCTCTTGGGCCTTAGTCACTTTTTGGGAAGACCAGTTCAGTGCCACAAAGAAAAACAGCTCCAGAACTTGTTTGGCCTATCCACTCGATCGGAAGTGACAAGGCCCCATATAAACCATAGAGGTGCTAGCTCGCTTCTTTCGTAAGTCTCAAGTTGAAAATATTGCCCCACAGGGCGCACCTCCAATGGAAGCCAATTGGCCCGGCAAGATCGACCAAAGGAGGTCGTCGCTTAGGCTTTCAAGGGGAGGAAATGACCAGAAATAGGAGAAGCTTTCAAGAAACCATGGAAACCGAGGTGGACGCCAGCTTTTCCGGCATCAGTATGACCACGTGCAAGTGCAAGGGCTTTGAAGCTAGCTACAAAGAAACGGCAAGCGACATCTGACATCGGAAAGAAACGCCTTGCACTGACCTCCCCAAAGCAAATTGTACCCCAATCATCGTGTCAATGACAACTTGTGACCTCCGACTGGCGGAAGAGCCAAATTGTGGCAACAGCCGGTTGAAGAGCCAAACATTCATGGGGGCTGGAAAGGAGGGAGGGAGCCAAAAAACAACTTATTATCTCCTTATTAAGGCCTTATTTAGGGCTGATTTGGGCTCCCTCCCCCTCCCCTCCCTCCCCCCCAGCCCCCGTAAAACCTTTCCTCGAAACGGCTAAAGATCCGTCCGCCCAGCCGGCATTCGCCTCAACCAGCGGATTTGCCCGGGCTCGGGCTGGGGAGGAGGAACGCGACGGCTCGCCTCAGACGGGGAGCCGGCCGGTGGCGTGCGACGGCTTCGGCCGAGCGGCTGAGCGGCATGTGGAAGCGGCTCGTGTAAAGATACCCCGAAGACAAGGAGCTGGTTTAACGGGAATTCAACACACCCATTTCAGGGATCGGAAAATTATTCGGGGAAATACGAGGCTAAACATTTGCTTGTTTAACACTACAATCATGACTAAAACATGGTGTTAAAGAACCCCGCAAGTCCGCTCAAAGTATTAGGCCTTGATAGTACCCCGGACCCCTTTTGGGGTTGATTTGAAGGGAATCTAAAAGGACACCACACATGTTTGAGGGTTCTATTTCACACAACCCACACTTTTGGCTCTAGTTGTTTTTGGTCGTGTTTGCGTATGGCATTCCCCCATTCGGTTTAGTCATCCCATTTGTTTCCCCACAACCTGTGCATCTACCATCACCCACGATACAACTGCATTTCACACGGCCGTCTGGGGTTGGGTGTCGAAAGGGGCTAACAATCCACTGGGAACTTTCTAACTCCCCTCCCCCACTGTAAAGATCTTAGTGGTCGACCAGGTGGTCAGAAACTTCGCCAATTCGTAGGGCTTGATCCCTCCCAACTGGTGCCTGGCGTGCACTTAGGACTTCTCCTCCCAATAATTAAGCCAAACTAACGTTCTAGTAACCCATCAACCAGGGGGTCATACCAGGGGTTAATAAAGGGACCTATGCAATCAGCCTTTGACCCCTGGATGATTTTGAGAGCTGGGGTATCCAGTTCCGTTTAGTAGTTGGATTCGGACAACTTTTGGACGGGAAAACACACACACACACCCTCCGTTCTAGTAGAACCGGTGCATGAATCTGGGGTCAACATTAAATGGAAAGTAAGATGAGTGAGGGTATTTCTGGATAAGCCGAGGATCAGCCTTAAAATTGGGGGCTCCCCCCTCCCCATAGCCTCCCTGAGGATCCACATGGGTTCATGTAACCTATAGAATCAGCCTTTTGAAGGGGGAGGTTCCCGCGGTTCCCAACGGGGGTTGGCCCTTCGAGATTCCGGGACTCAGGCGCTCAACCGCCTCCCCCTTCTGCCAGCTGCCATCTGGGAACAGCAACACCTCGCGGGGTACGCACGCGCCGAGGCGCCGAAAAACGTGACATCCGCGTCCGATCGAGTGGGTTTGGGGGTGGGGTGTAGGGTTCATCTAGGGTTGGTTTGGGTGAACTCACTTCCTTAGCACATTGGCCCAAAAAGGAGCCAGGCTTTTTGGCCCCCAAACAGACTCCCAGGGAGGCTCCGCGACCCCTCTCAAGCACATCCCGCGCTCCAAAAGCTCCGTCTTGAAGGCCAGCGCAGTCATGAGTTGGGCACTTGACTCACTTGCTCAAAACCCGGTACTAGGTCCTCCAGTAGGGAGGTTGGCTGTTTTAGTAGGGGAACCCTCCCCAAAAAAAGGGGTAAAAGGGCACTACTGGGGGACCTAGGGTATTAAAATGGTTGACCCCAAACTATGCTTCAGGAAATACAAAGGCGGAGATCCGAAACTGTTTATGGCTGGGATTGTCCCTTACTAACCTTCATCTGCCGGGTTTCGATTGTGGCTCACTTGTGGATTTTACTAAAATCAAAAAGTGACAAAAGTCCATGAACTCAGAAGTGAGTCATCCAGAAAGCCACACATCCAAGATACTGTGGATGGTTCCGAAATCCGTGTCTCGAGCCACGAAATGAATTTCATGGAGTTGCAACCATAACGTTGGTTGGTTGTTCAGATTATCATTTCCCGGGTTTCAAGGTGACGCACGACTTCGTCCACCCAGAGTATGGTCAGCTGTTCAATATTTTGTCAACCAACAAAAGGTGACATAGTCTAGGTTCTCCAGTAGAGAGGTTATAATAATAAGGGTACCCTTTTTTCTGTAGTCTGTTTTAGTAGGGGAACCCTCCCAACCAACAAAGGGGTGAGAAAGGGCAGCTTTTCGCTGGGGGACCTAGTAGTTGAAAGGAGAAGACTCCAGTTCACGGTCAGAATTCAGCTGCTAAGGCGAAGGGCACCCTTCAGGCCAAGTCAAACCTATGGGTGCCTCTGCACTTTGGCGCTGGTACCCCTTGTTTCTTGTTTTGCTTTTAGGGACGCCAGCAGGAAAACCACCCAGTCCCTAAAGAAAGACGAGCCATGGGTCACAGTCCTGGCGGACGGCTTTAGTCTCAAGCCCATTTTTGGATGTTCGCCCGGTCAAGTTCAGTGCTTGAGTTATACTCACTTCCGATCGAGTAAAAAAGGCCAGAAACAGTCTGAACTTTTGCTTGCCCACTGAAGTGCTCTTCCAAACAAGTATAAAGTCCATGCTCACTAACAAGACAACTCCACTAAAGGAACCGTGTGAGCAAATGACCTAGGCTACTAGCAGCTTCCTAGCTTGGCCGAGAAATGTACCACTGCCGAGTAAATAAGATCTTTTGACCATGGCACGTGTGTCCCCTTCAAACATCATGCGAAAATACAACTCGTTCAACATGGGGAACCAACAGGACATGTTGAGACCACACAAAAAGAGATACGAAAAAGGCTCAGCTAAACTGGGCGCTGGGCAGGGCGGGAAAAGTCAAATGATTACGAATCCCTTGTGGCTTCAACTTTTATGGAAACTGCATGTGGTGCTTGATTTGATTGTCACCCTGTGGACCTCCTTTCACGGGCACGGACCAAAAGACCAAAACCGGCGAACTCACACGGCCAGCTCCGCACTCTCCCGAGGAATTCGTCAGTACAACACTCTAAGAGCCTAAATCATGAGAATGGGCTTCATGGAGTCTCCATGACCCCAAAAAAAATGGGTCATGACCCCATAATTTTAGGTAATGATCCCATTTTTAAGGGGTCAGAAGGAGACTCTAGGTTGTGGGGTGCTAGCAAACATCATGCTTTATGATCCTGAAAGGTCCATTTGCTGAAGTCCCATGGACGAAACATTGCATTTCTAGTGGTGATAGGTTTCCTTGAAAACAAAAAATTGAAAACAACACACATTAATTTCAGCCAATAGAAGTGAAAGAACAGTCCTTGTACTTGACTTTTTAGCAACTTACATTGCCCTTCAGACCATCTCCCCTCCTCTGGAAGGTGTCTCTGGAAGATTGTGCTCGGGGCTCCATGTGTTTCATGTTGTGTCTTGGAAGACTCAGCCCCTCAATCCCTCAGTGCATAGCCAGGCTTGCTACTCATTTACTCTGCCTATTTGAGCACCTAAGTGGGTCATAACCCCCGAGACCCCAGTTGCCAGGCGAAAAAGGAGGGCACTCTTGTTTGGAGAGGGGATTTGACAGGTTCTAGACAGGAGTTTGACTGGTTTCCACGGTTTTTAGGGGGATTTGATTGCAACTAGTTGTAGTTAGATTTAAAGGTTGAAGCCCATCCAAAAAGATACGGGTCTGCCCCCCAAACTGGTGGGTGTTTTTGTCCCTTTGGTTTACTGTTAAAAAAAGGGTCGGATGGGAAGAAAGGGCACCACTGGTCTGGGTGCCTTTTAAAGGGTGCTTGGGAACAACTCTCCCTTCGGGTTCACTTGGGGTTCACAGGGCCAACCACAGGTCTTGGTCCATGTTTCCACTTCTCAGGGCAACCCATTTAGGTACTTAGGGGTTTTTGAGCCACGGCCCTTGGAACCGCTCCGACCTCCTCCACTTCGGGTTCGGTCTCCGCGAGCAGCATCTGCACGAAGGTGTCAATCCGCAGATCTCGGGGCCTGCGCGGAAGGGGAGGGAGCTCGGGCGCTCCATGGTCTCGTTGAACTCGGCTGGAATTGGGACCAAGAAAGCGCAAAATATGCTTTGAGGTTGAGTGGAAACCGCAATGGGGCTCCAAGAAAGCAACAGATCGAAAAGGGGAGCTACTTCTGGGGAAGTCAACAGGGGGCCGGGTGGAAATTTCAACCCGGGTCGCGTGTTTCAAACACATGAAAGCTGCGCCAGACTCTATGCAGGTGCATGTTGCTTTCAGCGTGCCTTTTCTGGGCTTGGTGGAACAGGAAAAGTGAACTATCCATTTTGCGAGCTCCCCGAATCTGAGGCAAACCCATGAGGAAGGACATTTGGAGACTGTGTTCTGCGCAAATTGTCATAATTCAGCTTCTCTCTGATTGCTGGTTTAAATTGGCGGTTTCATGGTTAGGGGTTGTTTCCCCTTTACCTGCTATAAGAACCATAGGGTTCCAATCCCAAACCACCAATCCAAACCACCAACTAGGGGATGCCCAAATAATTCAGACCGGACAAGCACATCAAACAAAAAAACAAACAAGAAAGGGCCCGTCATCGTGGGTGATCTGGTGCTACCCCAGGTGAGCTCGTTATTTGTGCAGATTCTCAGTCCAGACGGGGTGACTGGAAATCAACATAGCCCACTCCTCTTTTGCAGGGAAAACTGCCCAAGCTCCACCCAAACCCCACTTTCAACCGACGTCAGCTAACATGGCTGTAACTTACAAAGGGCCCAACCAACCCCAATTACCCATAGTTACCCAATTTGCCAGGGTTCTAACCTGCTTGCCCGACCGTTGGCTCCTTTTCTTCACCTCCAAGCCTCCAACCCCCCCCCCGGCGCTGCGAAGCGCCTCACTTCCAGGCTGCAAAGTGGGCACCGCCAGCGGCTGTTGAAGGCTCTCATCCGAAAGTTGGAGATGAGGTACGCTTCCAAGTCCACGCACCTCGACTCAGCTCGTCTTTCTTAGAGTTGGCACCTTGTTTTGGTAGGTTTTAGAGGACAACATGAAAACAAAAACACACACACACACACACACACACACACGCACGCACGCACGCACGCACGCACGCACGCACGCACGCACGCACGCACGCACGCACGCACGCACGCACGCACGCACGCACGCACGCACGCACGCACGCACGCACGCACGCACGCACGCACGCACGCACGCACGCACGCACGCACGCACGCACGCACGCACGCACGCACGCACGCACGCACGCACGCACGCACGCACGCACGCACGCACGCACGCACGCACGCACGCACGCACGCACGCACGCACGCACGCACGCACGCACGCACGCACGCACGCACGCACGCACGCACGCACGCACGCACGCACGCACGCACACGCACGCACGCACGCACGCACGCACGCACGCACACACACACACACACACACACACACACACACACACACACACACACACACACACACACACACACACACCTCGACTCTCCGCTATCTCCGCTATCTCTGTGGGGATTCAACGAGTAAATAGGTGGGGGTTAAATTCAGTTGGGCAAGTAAACAAGCCTTGAGACATGTTGAACAATTTTGTGCCCAACCAAGAAACGTATGATTCTACTTGATTACGACAAGTAAAAACCACTCAAGCCCATGCTTGTCTTGTTTGTTGTTGTCTTGAGTTCCATTGTGCCACTTTTTGTGGATGAATCATACAAGAACACTCACACAACCCCCACCTCTGCCATTGTGCTTTGTGTCTTTGCATTCCCGGGTGCCAGATTGAAAGAATTCATCTGAAATCAGACGCCCTGAAAAAACATGACTTCATGTCCAATACTTGGCCCGTGCCCTTGTCAGAAGTGAAAAGAAGAAAGAGAAGTGACCCAACCATAAGAAAGGGAAAGGCTGGGAGAAAAAAAGATGACCGAGAGTTCACGGTGGACAAAGGGCACCATTCCCTGACTCATCTCTTTCTCTCTCTCTCTCTCTCTCTCTCCTTGTCCATCACTTCGCTCCGGAAAGATGGAGAGAAGAGAAATTGGAAAAGAGAAAGAGAACCGTGATATCTACCTGGAGTCTCCTTCTGACCCTCTAAAAATGGGTCAATGACCCCAGTATTTTGGGTACTCACCCCATTTCTTAAGGGTCATGGAGACTCCAGGTACAAACCAATATGGAGCCCCAACATGGGGTCCCCAATGAGAGACGTCCGTTCGCTGGGCGGCACCCCTCACATAGTGCTCTCAGGCATTCCTTGTGAATCGTCCAGTCCCGGTCCAGGTGGTCAAGGCTTGCTCCGATACCGAAACAGGACTTGTTTTTTGCGAAGCTTGTCAAGTTCATGACTGCGTTTGACTCCAAGCAATCCTCCTGAGTAAGGACTAGCCCTTCCTCTCCGCGATCAAACGCCACTCGAGTGGAAGCCACGCATCAAGAACCACGAGCAAACAATGCTCCGCAGCGGCAGTGATGCTGACAAAGTCTGCTCCCGAGTTCCATGTACATTTTTGGCGGAGGTTTGCCAAACAAGGCTTTTAGGCTTGATCCCCGTGATGCAAAGGCCAAAGCTCGTGTGTAAGAACCTTCAGGGAGAGGGCGCCTTCAGGAAAGCTCGAAGGACCACACACTAGATTCAGAGTTCTGAACATAGGTGTCCTTTTAGGGGAAATAGATGGCTCTGGTAGATGATTAAACCACCAGGTAAACCAGGGCCATCTATTTTTCTACCAAAACAACCAAAAAGGACATCTATGGTCCTGAATTGGACCGCTTCTTTGTCCTCTGCACGACAAGCAAAGCCATTGAATTGAACATTGACATGGCCTCTGTGTTCTGTTGCGGTGGCTGGTAGTTGAATCGCAGGAACCTACAAGAATGAATTGGGGATGGTTGGCGTGGTCTATTTTACTATGACAAGGCTGGCAGGGCTTTTGTGGCTTGTCAATTTCAGGCTGAGACTCTGTGTTGAGGATGTAGAGATCTTCGAGAAGGGGCAGACCTATTCCAGCAGAGGTGCTATCTGCGCTAAGCGGGTACAGGTTCCCCACCGTAAGGGTGCGCAGCCCATGGCAGACTGCCTTCAAAAGAGGCTGGGGTAACAAAGCGAAATCATGTGCTCAGGACATGGTTCATGATGGGGGCAGGTATGATCGAAACCCTCCACAGCCATTACAGAACCAAGGACAAAGTGCGGCAAAGGCACAAAGAAAATTCTGGACATGGCTTTTGAGAAGTGCTTCCTTGCATTCTCATAAGCTTGCATCATGTGTTTCGTGCACGTGCGCCCTCACCAGTGCATGCAAAAAAACACGCCTGCAAATTTCAGCATCCAGGTCTTCTAGCTGCAGGTGAATGTGGAGGGAGTAACCGAGTAACCCATTTTTTGGAGTTCCCCTCCCGTCCACATGGAACGGTTCGCCATTTTGGGGTCCTGGCTTGGACGGTTTTTCTTTGAAAGGGGCCATTTCCCTGGTGGGTTCCGCGGCAACCCGGACAGGAGGGTGAACACCCCCATGTCAGCTTGCCATTTGAGGCTACCCTTGTTGGGTTCCGGTTTTGAAGGGACACCGACGGAAAACTGCTTTCTTGGACGCGAAACGTGGACAGGGTACCAGAGAATGTTAGATTTTAACCACCTCCCAACTTGGATGTTCGTTGCCAACGCCAGGTAAGTAGGTTGTAACTGGGTTTATAACCAGGGAAACTTGGGTTGGCCCCCTTGTAATCATGGTTATAACGTAGCAGGATACTTAGTAAGTGGTTAGTAAGCCTGGTTTTAACCCACTACTTACAACCATGGCTTTTGTGGGTTATAGCCATGGTTCTTACCCACTTACTATATAAGTACCCGATCGCCCCTTTAAGTACTTCCCTGACGTTGGCAGCGCGCACCCAAGAATCACATCCATCTGAGACATCCGCTGGAAGTGGCGACAGCTCACGCCTGAACGGCATGCAACCTGGTGGCTTAAAATTCGCACTTCCCATCGGGTGAATAAGCCAAGACAAGTCCGATTTCTTCGCATACTAAAATGGCCTTCCCATTTATTTATTTATTTTAGAGCCCAGGAACTCAGGAGGTATGACTATGAGTGCCTGTCTGTTGTTTTGAGGCTAATAGAAATACCGTGGCTTTGGCTTTCCCTTCCAAACAGCCCAAAGGTGGCCTCCAAAGGCGCGCCTTTCGCTTTCGCCCCTTGGTCTTCCCTAGGACCCAAGTTTGGAGCAACCCCTACCTCCAAATTCCAAGCACCTATGGGGGGGCGGGGGGTATCCGGCAATAGGCCTTGCGACCTTAAGGACATATCTCCAGGAAAAGGCCCCGGCCCCCGTGCCGTTCGACAGGCCTCTTTCCAGAAAAGAGCCATGGACAGGCGATGTCCCTTGGTCTTTGCCAATGGTCCCCAAGCAGGTCGTGGATAGCACGCAAGTCACTACGTGGATGTTCAACTAACGGCAGGCAAGTAGTTTACCATGCGTTTAAGGGGACTTTAAGGGGACGAAAACCCCAGTTCCCCCAAATATTATAGCCACGGTTGCAAGCTACTTACTAAGTTGGTTGGACATCCAAGTAGCCCTAAGTGAGCCACAATCAAATCAAGACTGATGGATATTAAAATGGTCTAACCAAACCCATGTAAGGAAGTTTAAAGACGGCCGCAAATATGTCCGGCGACGGGCCCGGGTGTTGATTGCAAGTGGCCCAAGTGAGTCATGATTCCAATGGCGGCTCTGAATCCGTCAAAATGAATCTCTCTCGGGGGGTTCCAAACCTGGGCAAACAGTTTAACATCTCGTAGGTGAAATGGACACCCCAAAAAACCAAACAACACTCCACTAAACCAACTACCTGGAGTCTCCATGACCCTCTAAAAATGGGTCAATGACCCCCATTATTTTAAGGGTCATGGAGACTCCAGGTTTAAAAAACAAGTATGAAAAAAACAAAAAAGCCTAAGTTGAACCGGACGATTCACCAAGGAACTTCGGCCTGGTATGAACCCTTCCACTGCCAGACTCCGAAGCTTCCAGCATCCCTCAAGGGCTTAGTTCCATGTCCCGCCTGCGAAAAGGTAAGCAACCTGCATCTTTAAGTAACAAAGTGGGTCACAACTTCTGGGTTTTTAAGTAGAGAGGTTAGAATAAGGGTACCACTTGTTTTTTAGACGTCTATGTGAGTAGGGGAACCCTCCGCCGGAGAAGGGTAAAAGGGCACTGGGGGACCTAGCAACTTCTCATTTGCATCCGTTTGTTTGAATTGTGCTGCGCAAAATTATTAAGTCTTCGATGCCCTTGAAAACTAATAGGGGAAACATACTTGAGCAACTGGAAGCTTGCAACCCACAGATTTAAGTAGGTGAAAGCCATGGCTCCAACCCTGAGGGCTTTCAACTCGGACGAAATCTAGATACCAAGAAAGTCCCACTCCGACTACTTTATCTGTTCAACTTGGCCCACATCTGGGTACCCCATTGAAAAAACAACTCGACTATGGTCCATATCTAGTCACACCCTCAAAATAAAATCGCTTTGGAGGAGACCCAGTTGAAGGTGTCTAGGTCCTCCAGTAGAGAGGTTAGAATAAGGGTACCCTTTTTTTCTGTAGTCTATTTTAGTAGGGGAACCCAGCGGAACCCTTCCAAAAAAAGGTGGCAAAAGGGCACTACTGGGGGACCTAGGTGTGTTTCTTTGGTATCACAAATGGCCATTCCATTACTTCCATGTCTTTCAAGACTGGTTCCGCTCCATCTTCAGAGGCACAATTTGGACAATCCCCTTGGCTCCCTTCCAACCACGCAGACTAGGGCTGATCCTAGCAACGGCAAATATGCGTGTCTGTCCTTTTGAGGTGAGGTACAATTTCTTCACCTTGGTTTAGCAAGCCACCATTTTATGAGGGGAGCACCACCAATCTTGACACAAACCCATATGAGGACTGCTGTTGGCGGGTGAGATCCTTACTGTCTGCCACGGTGTTTCTAAAAAATCAAAGGGAAATTGACCATCTCTTCAAAATACTGTGGGTATGAACAAGGTGACAAAATCCTTCATCATCTGATAGGTGGTTCGTCAACATTTCTTTACAGGGCTTCATCCATCCCAACTGGTGCGAACCATCCCAGGAAGGAATTTGATGCATAAGTGCGAACAAAAGCCATTCCGCAAACAAAAGCTCCACAAATCCTTCGACAAGACCTTTGCAAAACTTCCCAACATCGTGGGGCCTGGCAAGAAAGCAGTCGAATGCTCGATCATACCAGCAGGAACCAGCAGGGGCCCAGTACAAGCCGATAAAATCGCGCCTGCAAACTGGATCGGGACCATCACACACCGATACCCATGTCATGTAGCCAGAGATTCGAACGACTGGGTGCTATCCGAGCAAACATGATCTCTAGGTTGCTCCACGAAACCCGATCGGAGGGAAACTTGCGCTCGGGCAAAGGGAAAGAGAAAGGGAACCCTTGCACAACTCAACCTGCGTGCAACTACCAATCGAGATCCGGCGGTCCTCTTGTTGAAACAGTGGGCGCTGTCCGGAAGCAGCAAGTTGAACACCTGCTTGCAGTTGACAAAGACGCCAGTCGGCGTGTTCGCCCCGTCAAAGCAGCGGTCTGCGCAGCCCCCTTGTTCATCCCATATTGGTCCATAGAGCGTGTGCCAACGGAGCGCCACTCGCGCCCGGGCAAGTGAAGCCGCTGTGGTAGTTCGCGCCGGGATGGCGAGCGTTGTCAAGGACAACGGTTTCGCCCGCTATGCATGGCGTTTCACAAGGCACGAAGCCTTCCGGCGTCGCTGTCTAAAACGGCATGTACGCCAGCGCAGATTGCCTTTTGCAGCTCAAGTAAAACAGCCACACAAAACCACGAGAAACCGAGGTAAATTCAAGGGCTTCCTGGTTCCCTTGCTTGCAATATCTTGCTGGTGCGAGAGATGCAGGAAATGACAAATGGAATGACCCTTATAAACCATTCAACTTGCGGGTTCCTTTTGTCGGGGACCAAAGCCTGGGTTCATTCAACCACATTCCCCACCGATTTCGCCCCGATCACAAGATGTGGAGTTGGCATCCCGTTCGTATCACCCCAAAAGCGAGCTTGGAGCAGTCTCTAGGTCCTCCAGCGTAGAGGTTAGAATAATTTGGTACCAACTTTTTTTTGACATCTATTTTAGTAGGGAAACCCTCCCAACCAAAAAAGAAACGGTAAAAGGGCACTACCTGGAGTCTCCATGACCCTCTAAAAATGGGTCAATGACCAACCATGATTTTGGGTAATGACTAACCATTCTTTAAGTGTCAGAAGGAGACTGTAGGTATCGCCCCACAAAGCAAGTTGCTTGGGGAGCAGTCTTCTCGGCGCCTCGGACCGGTCGAGTTGCAGGCCGCGTCAGCGCGATCGGGCACCTGGGAAGCGCAATCGCGCCGGCGGGTGTGACATCGGTAGGGAATGTGGAAGAAACCCAGGCTTGTGGGAAAGCCAGGTTTGCGTAAAAATGTGCTCACGTTTGCATGTGGAGAGGTAGAACACGCTGTTAATGTTGCTGGTGGGGGGAAAGACAGATGGACCTGGAGTCTCCTTCTGACCCTTAAAAGATGATTGGTTATTACCCAAAATCATGGTTGGTCATTGACCCATTTTAGAGGGTCATGGAGACTCCAGGCACCAGTTGAATGGTTTATAAGGGTCATTCCATTTCTCATTCCCTGCATCTCTCGCACCAGGGTAGACCTGTTGAAAACTCAGGGGTTCTCATTATATCTCTGGATGGTGCAAAACATCATGTTGTGGGGGCATGGTCACGTTGTCAAAGGATATTATTTTGGTTGTGGTGGTCAAAACTCCTGTTGTGGGTCATGATCTGCGGTTTTGTGTCTGTCTGAGCAAGCAGGGGGCACTTTGTCCCCAAATTGTGTGAAACGTGAATAACAGCAAGAGTAAAAGGCACATCCTCGATCAATTTCAGTCAATAATGTCATTGAGCATTGAGATAATTTCGCCACATAAACTGATGCCTTGCAAAACACGACCATGTTGTTGCAAAAGCGGAGAGGCTGCAACGGCAAAGTAAGCTTCTGCCGTTTCCCGCAGGAATACATCCCAAATCGTCGACCAAAAGTGCCTGTGAAGAAGCTCATTGTCAGCTCGGGACACCAAGACTCGTTGATGTGAAGGCATTTCCTAGTTGCTCTTCCATCAAGTCCCAACCAGAAAGTCACTAGGACAGATTCGAATCCTTGACAATGGAAATAAGACTGACGTCACCAGTGGAAGGCAAGGGTGAAACTAAAGGCAATAGGCAATCTGTAAGAGTCGTGGTCTTTTCAAGAGGCCTGATAGTTATGAGCTCCACCTGGACATTTCTGAGATTACATCATCCAACACATGGACCCAGAGCATAGGCCTCATTGACCTCCCACATGACACGCATAGCTTCCTACCACGGAGTAGCAGTCACCCGGATGTCACCCGGGGCCAGCCCGGGCGCAGCACAACTCTGGGAAAGCCAGGTTTGCACAAAAATGTGCTCACGTTTGCATGCGGAGAGATGGAACAAGTTGTTCATGTTGCTGGTGGGGGAAAAACATATGGACCTGGAGTCTCCTTCTGACCCTTAACAAATGGTTGGTCATTACCCAAAATAATGGTTGGTCATTGACCCATTTTTAGAGGGTCATGGAGACTCCAGTGATGTAAACTTTGGAAATGTTGGAACCTTTTGGTGGACACAAACATTTGGTCGAGATTGATGTTCACAGGCAACTGTTGTGGAGCTTCCTGTTGAAATTCATCGACATATGGCTGTGGGTCAAAAAAAGGTACCCGAAATAGAACCCTGGCAAAAGGAAACATGGACTAAAACCTGCAGTGTCCTGGTGGATTCATTTTGACCCACAGCCATATTTGCCCAAAAGTCGAAGATTGAAGATTCAACAAGATCTCCTGTGAAAAGACGCTTTGTGGATGACGTCGCCATTTCATTTGCCCATTTCTTGTCCTGCTCACACGTTGGGCGCGTCTTGTTCTTGCCCAGGAACCCTTTTTTGACATGGAGCACAAAATCAAAATGGTTGCTTTCTGCTCCCCTGCTAAAAGTTTAACTTTTAACGGATTTAATGGAAAACCCATTAGTTGGCAAAAAGTTAAAGTCCTAACATCCAAGCAAAATGCACCAAACAAAACACGAATTGCGGAGAAAGTTCTTTTTGTGGGCTCCTGATTTGGGTTCCATGTAATTGGCGGGTAATTTTGCCAGTGACTCACATGAGAGCCGGAGTCAAGACTTACTGCCCCTGCTGTCCCTACTGAACGTGGGAAGATTTGGGCAGGTCCGCTGGTCCTGACTTTTGTGGTTGAATCTAGAGGCTCGTCCTTGGTCCCCCATGTTTCTCCCAAATTGACAAGCTTGGCCCCTCAAGCTCCTTTTAACATGAAGGTTGCCCGATATTATGGAATAATCTCCCTTTTGTGGGTTGGAGAGTTGGCGTGGTCTTGAAGGGAAACCAAGGAAACCAAGCATTTTGGGGATCACATACCCATACTGTGGATGGACGAAGGTTGAAACCATAACGCTGGTTGGTATCTACATGGGCAATTGAATCATCAACCAGGGATTTCGCAACCATCCAGAGCAGGGGTTACCCTCAAAACGAGCAGTTTCCTGTGGCCGTTTGGTGTGTTTCTTCAAAGCAAACCCAAGAGGGACAACCACCCATTTTGGGGGCGTCCATGACAACATGCCAAAGGGACACCAAGGAAAGGAGTCCGAAAACAAGACAAAAACAACCCTTGGAGAAGCAAACCCAAATCGTACCCCCAGTGAACATCCCAATCCCCACTCAAATAGGTTCTAAAATGGGTGGTGAATTCACCTATACCAACCAAAATGGGATCCCAAAACGGTTTTGACAGCCACAGCCATATCCCCACAAGTGCTTGAATTCTGATCTTCTTCGGGAAGGTTGCACGAACGTTCCAAACACCAGCCATGTCCAAAGTACCTGCCATATTTTCCTTGAGCGTTACAGGAGCCAAGCGCCGCTTGGGGGCGTTTTTCGCCTCAGGCTCTCGCTGCAGCTTAAGCCGCTCCTCCCCCACGCGCTCCACCTGGAGCGAAAATTCGAGTCCGTCGAATTTCTCCTAGGTCCTCCAGTAGAGGTTGGTTAGAATAAGTTGGTACCAACTTTTTTCTGTAGTCTATTTTAGTAGGGGAACCCTCCCCCCAAAAAAGAAAGGGTGAAAGGGCACTACTGCTTGGGGAAACGTGGCTAGAACTACCCGGGGTGCCGCCCAGCGAACGGAAGCCAGGCCGAAAGCGTGATTTGTATGGTCGTCTCCCATTGAGGACCCCATGTTGGGGCTCCATATTGGTTACAACTACCAGAGGTACCGAATCGATCGTTTTTTGAAGTAGGTTATACCCATGGGAAGGGGACCAACCAACCCAGTTGCCGTACCTGGAGTCTCCTTCTGACCCTCTAAAAATGGGTCAATGACCAACCATTAATTTGGGTAATCACCCCATGTGTTAAGGGTCATGGAGACTTCTGACCCTCAACAAATGGTTGGTAATTTTCCAAAATTTTGGGGTCATTGACCCATTTTTAGAGGGTCAGAAGGAGACTCCAGGTACGGCGGCTGGGTTGCCCTTACCATGGGTAGAACCTACTTCAAGGGCGATCGATTCGGTACGTCAGGAAACCGGTTGGTACGCCTGGTAAGAAAAGCAAACAACACACTGAATGGACAATTATAACCATGGGAAGTGGGTTATCACCACTTTTATTACCCAATTTATAAGTAATGCCGCTTGCAGCATTTCCCTGTTTGGGGAACTCAACATCACCCGGACCCCCACACTACCCTTCAAACTTGAAAATCAATCCCTAATGAAGTGTATTTGGTGCCATTTCCCAATCTGTCCAGGTCCTCGTTAGTTTTAGTATGGCTTTTTCGAGGTCAACCTCACAAGATGCCAACTTGGGCTGAGTCGTCTGCGCATGACGCAATCCGCCCATCTTGGGCATCGCCTCTTGGACTTGCTTACACCCAGTATGATGAAGCTAATCATACTGTGGATGGACGAAATCCTTTTAGCACCACCTGAGAAACATGAGACTTGATGATTCCCCTGCAAATACCAACCTATAATGGTTTCCCATGGCTTCCAAGTGGTGCAGGATTTCGTCCATCCACAGTAGCTCCCATTTGCACGCTAAATGCTAAAGCCTCATGTTCCATCCTGCCGTGGGATCCTTCGGGCCTGCGAAAACTTTGATGTCGTCGACAAGGCAAGAAGCGACTTCAAACCAGGGTGCCAACACATTGCTTGCTGGGGGTTTTAATAGATCTGAGGAAAAGGACTGCCAAAGGACCACCGAAAGAAAGATCCACCATAAAGAGCAGATCTGATTCTTGCAGACCTTTTCGGCGTTCCATCAGGGACCCTTTCATCCCAACACATATCTCTTTCCCATGGCTGTCTCGAGCGACCTCTTCGGGGCCTTCATAGCCCTTCTTGTGATACCAACGAGTGGTCCATACGCGTTCAATTGCTAGTTGATCATGTTTGGGAGGGATTTGTCTTGGCTGTTAGCTGCGAGCTTGGCCGGTTTGCGCGACACCAGCCTTGGGTTGCCAATTAACAACGCGAGCTTCCTTCAGGAAAGGTCCAAATTCAAGAAAGTATAAACCAAAGCTTGTATATAGTGAGAAACAAACAATTGGCATACCCAACCAACTGGTACAGTTAGCACCCATTTGGAGGTGTCAACCAGGAAATCTGTTGGCCACTTGGGGCATGTGCTAGCTGGATGTCCATATCCAAGGGAGCCACGGAGAGGGGGGGGATATTTCCGCTATTAAACCCTGAAAGGAGGGGCCTGGTTTGGACCACCGTCCTTTTAAAGAGACCCCCTGTCAGGTTCCTAGTTGGAAGGGGAATTACGTATTAGGGGCTTATCCTTGGCTTATGAGGGGTTCAGCTCACTCCGTTAACAGAATGCCAATTTGTCATATGCCCCGGGTAGACTTAAACCTACTTTATGGCTGTGAAATCCACTTCGCGCCATGGAAAACATTGAAAACAAAAAAATGTCCAGGAGTGAGTTTCGATTCCCGTTCGGTCATTGCCCAAAATAAGCCGGACCCATGTCTTAAGGCTCAGAAGACGACTCCAGGTAGACTAAACCCTGCGATTCCTCTCACTTCGGCGATTCGCTCGTAGCGCGGCCTCTTCGCCCGCAGCGTTGGGGCCTAGAATCAGCGAATGGGTCAGGCGGTCCGAAATCGGACGAATGACCCAGACTTCCAAGTGGGTTGAGAGTTGGTTTAGGATGAGTTTGGGGTTGATTAGTATGGGGTTGGTCTGGGACGGGCTTCGGGTGGTTTGGGATGGGTTGAGGTTGGTTTATAAAAAAGGAATTCCAGATGTTCCAGGTTAATCTGACATTTTTGGTTGCCTCATTGAGAATCGCGCAACAAGAACTATCCCCAGCAAACCCTGGCCCCTTAGCCTTAGTTACGAAGGGGAACCCCCTACCCCCCCCCTCCCAGGAAGACTAAAATCGACAAATTTTGGAGGTGTGTTTGGTGTGTGTGTGTGTGAACATGGGTCAACAGGCTTGAAACACGGTTAAACAATGATTAGACTCAAAACAAATTGGATCAAACCCGAAACACTGTCGACTCACAACTATAAACACATAAACACTCTAAGACAGTATCAAAATGAGCAGCAAAGCCACAAACAAAACAAGGTCTAAACCAGCAACCCGCAACGGCTATCAAATTGCTTTGCCACTTGGCAACCATCGGGGCCAAACCCATTTCGGGGAAGCCCTTAAAGAAAAGTGAAGTTAGAGCATTCTTGGCCCAAATCTGGCCCAGCGACTCCTATGGGGTACACCAAAAATCAAGTCTTCAGATGATTCTGTATATTTAGTCCACATCAAACACAAAATCAATACCCTAGAAAGGCGGATTCAGCTCTGTCTTTTGGGTACTCCCTCTTTGATGCTCACTTCCGGAGTTGACTTCCTGAAAAATTACCACTACCATGGCCTTCCCCAGAAGTTGGTCCAGTCCAACCTAAGGAAGGGAAGGTTTGAAGATTCCCCCAGCCATTCTGCTTCGAGGTCCCCTCCCCACTCCCAACATCCAAAGATCCAAATCGCCTCGCGAGACTTCTCGCAACAGCTCCTCCACCCGTTGCCGGCAGTCCTGAGACGACCATTAAAACAATGGTTGGGTTCATACAACCATCATCATTTACCAGCTCAGGAGTAACTCATCATCTACATTGGGTCCGGGTCCCTGGTCGCTATTCTTGTGGGAATCGGTTGAGCCCATTCAGGACAGCCATTTGGATGTGGCTCAAAAACTGGCACCCAAAATGGCGCCTTACATCACAAGACTACAACACTACCATGTCCTAGCAGAACTCCTGGTAGCTCCTTAGCGCCCTGTTTAAAAGCAAACTTGGATACCCCCAGCTGTTTCAAATTTTGAGCCCCAAACCAACCCTCAGCCAACAAAAACCTCCAGAAACCGTCCGCCAATTCGTCCTGATAGGTCTCCTCTACCACTGCCGTTGCCAGCTCGCAGGGCTTCAACGGCAGTGTCCTGTGCTTTCGGCTGCTTGGGTCGAGGTCGGCCAAGATTGGCAACCTAGCCTTCCAACCCTTGGTCTGGGTTCAAAAGACCTTCTTCTTTTTGCAGCCCCCTACTAAAAATGAGTAGAACCAACACACATGGCTGGAAACCATGCCAGCAACAATGAAGCTAAGTTCCGGCCCGCTCGCCCGTCTCTTTTGTTCGTGGGTTTATACACCAAATTGGTGGCCAAACGAACATCAAAGTACGGGGGTGGCCTGCCTCGGGTACGAGAATAGAATATGTTCTGAATCTGTTCCCCCACACGTAAAAATGAAATCCGTCCCCCGAATCGCTCACAAAAAAGTGCTTGTCAATGAACTTCAAAATGGTTTGCTTCCCCAAATCGGGCTTGCAAAGAACAAGCTTGGCAACGCAAGTTGCGTCCGGTTTCCCTTGAAAACCACTCAAAACTGGGTCCATCTCCTCCAAAACCATATATCACCTCAAGGGGTTTGAGAGGGAAGCCAAATGGGGACCACATGTTCAGGGTCTCTTTTTTGCGAGTCCGCCTTCTGCAGGGGCAAGGGAAGCCAAAGGTGGTCCTGAAACGGGGTGTCGTTTTGGGAGTTGGTGCCACCCTCTTTTGACGGGAAGCTAGCAGGGGACGGACCGAACCAACCAAATGTGCGTACTGGTCGCATCACATAGCTATTGCCGACTATGGTGATGCTTTCGTAAGAAGCCACCTGGGTGTTCGATTCGCCAAGTGAATAGCCTATAGGTCAAAACCCAATTGTAAGCCCCCTAAGTGGAGTTGACCTTGTTGGGTTGCAAGCCAGGTGGCTAGCATCTTGACGAATCGAACACCCAAGGCCATGCGATCTTCTGGTGTCGCCTTGCTCTCCTTTTCTCTTTTCCTCTTAGCCTCCATTTGCTTAAGTCACGTGGAAAAAGTCAAAATAATTCCAGTAGTGATCGATTCCCTTTAAAACCAACAGCAAAAAAAATATTAACCAAATGGAAGCGATGGAAGTTGGGCTTCACCTCCTAGGCCGTGGGGGGGGGGGCGACTCGGCCGCCGAGAGCGAGAAACAGCTCTGACTCGTGTGAGCAACGCCAACTCAGTCGATGAGGTGTACGATGATTTGAAAGGTTTATCAAGTTACAACTACTCTATAGGGGGTGATTCCCCATTCTTTTCAACCATCGTTCTTTTCAAGGATTTTGATGGTTTCCTGAAAAGAAGCATCCCTGGAAAGAATGGGGACCCCTGGAACCACGGTACCTTGATGAGCCCAGGTACCTGGTAACATGGGCAGAGAGAGGTTGGCCCAGACATTTGCTAGGTCCTCCAGTAGAGAGGTTAGAATAAGGGTACCAACTTTTTTCTGTAGTCTATTTTAGTAGGGGAATCCTACCCCAAAAAAAAGAAACGGCACCATCCTGGGGGACCTAGTTTGGCTGCAAGCAACGGTCCTGACCACCGCCAGCAGAAAGTCGCGCCTGGCTACACGCGGCAAGCCGCCCGAACCGCCCATGCTGCACCTTGGGACCTATGCCAACTCCTGGACCCTCACTGCAAATGGTTTGATTCGTCTCAAAATAGGGAACCCAAAATGAGTGATAGCCTCACGAACACAAACACCCAGATGTTCCCCTTTCTTTGAAACCCGTTGGGCCACCGTTGAGAGGGATGTGTCGAAGTATGTCTGGTCTCAAACAACTCACTTCTGATCGGGTGGATTTGCCAACAAAAGTCTGAGCTTTCTTTGAACATGCGGTCCGTCCGAGCTTGAAAGTTGCTTGCGCTGCTGTGGCACCGTCGAATGGTTGCACAGCAACTTGCATCCAGCCTGTGGGCGTCGGTGTGAGCAACACCATTTCCATCCATTTGGGTAAGACCCCTGGAAAAAAATAAAAATATGTCCAGTGGTGATAAATTCCTTTTAAAACCAACAAGGGAAACTTAAAAAAACGAGCATTTTTCAGCAAATGGACGTTTCTCTTATAGAGCCCTGATAGTCATTGATGATTTCTTCAGGGCTTGTGATCCACCGGCTGCTTGATGTGAGATTTGTTTCGGGCACATAGAAACCCGCCATGAACTTAAAAATGCTAGCTAAAAAAAAAAGGACGGCTTCCGACATCTGAGTTTGCCGGGGCAAGCCTCATGAGCGGCTTCCCAGCTTCCCATTCCGACCCGGGCTAGGGATTTGTTGTCCAGTCATAGATTGTTCGGGAAGAAACAGCAGGGAGAAAAAACACATGGTCTGAAACGCAAATGGGTCTGTCTTAAACTGGGGGAACCCACTGGGCGGCTTTCCTTTTGGTTTCCCTTTCCAGCCACCCCGAAAAGTCCAGGCGGTATCACACGAGAAGCCCGGACCCCTTCCGAAAGCCTCCAACCCAGACCTGTCCACCCCATCCACAGCTTTCAGCTTTCAGCTGGGGAGAAGGAACGGGTACACCCCACTGGACTTGGTTGACGTTGGAAGCTGAGCAAAAGTTCTCAAATTTTAGCAGTTCTCAAATTTTAGCAGTTGAGTGGTTGGATTTCAACCACTAAACCACAATAAGCAAACATGTAAAATGTTCCCAACAACAACCAACTGAAAGTCTAGGCTAAAAGGGGTGTCCATTTGGTTAAGCCCGGAAACAATGAGAACATACCTCCAGTAGTGATAGATCCAGATGAAAACCAACAGGGGGAAATCAAGAATCTTCATTTTAAAGGGAAATGAAGGGAACTGCATGGAAATAACGGACATGAAGTTAAATGAAGGACAATGGAAGGACATAATTGAAGGGAATTAAAAAGAAATAAAGGGACAGGACGGGAAGTGAAGGAAAGTGAAGGGGATGGCGAGCATCTCACCGGTCCAACCCCAACAGAACCCCACCCTCACCCCAACCAAACCACCCGCACCCACCCCCCACCCACCCCCAACCCCAACCAACCCCCACCCCACCCCACCCCACCCCACCCCACCCCACCCCACCCCACCCACCCATCCACCAGTCAAGCGCAAGCGCTCGCGCCGCTCGCGTCCGGACCGGACCTTCGGATCGAGCCGATGGACGCGGCCTCCGCTCGTCCTCCGCGGTGACCTCCAGGGTGTTGATGCCACGCCGGAGGCTGGCCTCGGCCGAGTTGGATGAGTCTATGCTGCCAATCTTACCTTCTGGGCCGTGGAGCCGCTTGGAATCCTCAGTGGAACATCTCTGGCCGAGTTTGGTTGTGGGGTGTGGGGGGGGAGGGGGTGGGGGGGGAGGGGGAGGGTGGGGGTGGGGGGGGAGGGGGGTTGGGGGGGGTGTGGGGGGGGTGTGGGGTGTAGGGGGAGGGTGTGGGGTAGGGGAGGGGGGGGTTAGGGGAAGCGGGGGTTGGGGGTGGGTGTGGGGTAGGGGAGGCGGGGGTTGGGGGGTGGGGGGGGGGTCACCATGATTTTGCAATTGTCTACAGTCGCCCCAATGGCAGATTAAGGGGGACACAAAACCAGTTGCTGACTGTGATAAGAAGGAAGGTATCATGTCATCTTCATTCACCCGGCTCTTCGTGTCGCAGGGCCTTCCCTTCCCATCTCTTCATCCCATTATCTCGCATCCAGATGAAGCGAGAGGGATGAAAGGATGGATAGGGAAAGGTGTGGATGGGATCGCTTCCTTCGGTCACTCATCCACATCATGTCCTTTCCCTTCGTCAAGGATTTCATCTATACCTTACCCTTCCCATCCGCTGCAGCGGTGATAGGGAGGAAGGGTATGTCACTCTCTTTCACCTCCTTCCCAGCTCTTGGCCTGGTCGCTGGGGAGGTGTGGTGAGAGGAAGAGAGTGGACATGTGGATGAGGATGGGATCTCTTTCACCCATCCACTCACTCACTGTCATGTCCTTCCACCTCTTCCATCTCCTCACTGTCACGAAGGAAGTGACTGAGGAGAAAGGAATAGATGGGATAAGGACATGTACACTCACTCCTTCCTACCAGCCAAGAAGAGAGAAATGGCTGGTGAGTGAGTGGGGGATGGAGGATGGGAGAGATGAAGGAAGCATCTCCTTTCCCATCCCTTACCATCCGTTCATTCCCATTCACTCCCATCTGATGCATCCTCGATCATATGAATGCATCAGAATGAGTGAGGAATGAAGGAAGCGGTGGGGAGAGAGTGATCACCCACCTCCTGTTCCTTCCCTACCCTTCCTCTCTTTCCGGCTCCTCTGTCTCGCCTGGAATCGACGGAAGGGAGATGAAGGAAGAGGAAATCATTTGTAAGCGCTGGAAAGAACTGGCCAGCGGGTGAGTGAGTGAGTTAGCGAGTGAACGGTTGGTCGCTTCCTTCGGTCTCTCTTTTTCCCAACCTCAACCACCGGCTGGACAGGGAAAGCCGGGAGAAAGAGAATTAGAATGAAGAATCCAGATGACACGAAGGAATGGATTCTGAATGAGAGACATGACATGGAAAGATTATCTCCTGTACCAGAAACAGTCAAAATCAGCAAAAATCATGACTGCAGAAATCTGGGAAGGGGGAAAGGAGACACCCAAGTGCGAGAAAGATGGAGAGGAAAGAAAGACAAGGAGCATGTCCACTAAAATAGAAGAAAACTAGATGGCCCACCAAAATATGAGGATTTTATTTCAAAGGAACAAGAAAGGATTCACTCGGAAAGGGGATTCACTCCAGGCTTTTGTGGAACAAACTGGAGGTCCAGGTCAGGTACCCTGGGCGGTGGCTCCGTGGGATAACTTTCAGTATCCTCCCATGCCATGACACCCAGGTGCGTTCAGGAAAATTGCCCCCTTCAAAGACATTGCAACACCCTAGCCCTGCAGTTCAAACAACCGACAGAACAGTGAGGGTTCATATAACCTAAAGATTGTCAGCCTCCAAATTGGGTAATTCCTTGAATGGTGGGTTGAACCCTAGGGCTATCTCTGGCCTCCCGTTAGGGACAAGAGTCCGATCGTTTATAAACAAGGGTCGCGCCATAGGCCGAAGCCCACAGATTTCTCTTGCTCAAGAGTTGTTGACTCTTCCATTGCTCCAGTTTTTGCAAGCGAGCCACTGGTTGAATCACGTTACTCCTTTGGGTTCAACAACCTGTTTGGGCTTCCCTTGAAGCTTTCTTGAAGCTAATATGTATATATATATATATATTTTTCCGCGGCCACCCCGTTGGCATGGCTGTGGGGGGACTGCAGTTGTTGGTCCTTGGTTCCATGTACCAGGGTTCCATTTTGTGTACCTATTTTTGACCCACAGCTGTTTGTCGTCTGCTGGTTTAAGCCGATGTGGCGACGCTACGCTCAGGTTCCTTCACCGCGAATCCCATTGAGGCAGACGCTGAAAGGCCCTGCGGCACATCCCGGCGCTTGTGCCTTGGGCCGATGCGGCCAGCTGAAATGGCAAGGGGCCTCCTTCTCACTTCCGACCCAGTGGATTGGCCAGCAAAAAAGGTCCTTTTGACTTACCTCCAAAATGGGCTTCCTAAAAAGTGACTAAAGTCCAGGAACTCAGGGAGGCTCTGCTTTGGGCTTCTCTTTGAACCACAACAAGAGGTCGTTCCGGAGCGGCCACGCACATTCCTCGGGTTTGGGAGAGGAGCCGGGCTCCCTATATGTCCACTTTCCCCGAAACATCGCCCCGCCAAAAGAAACTTACTTGAAATGGGTACCTCGAGTCTCCATGACCCTCTGACCCCTTAGAACTCCAAGCCCTGGGGAAGTTAATCTTTTACAGACATATAGCCCATGTTACCCAAAAAGTTGAAAAGTTGTGTTTTTAAGAGGTAAGCCCTTGAAAAATGGGGTCATTACCCAAGATGTTGGAGTCATTGACCCATTTTTTCAGGGTCATGGGGACTCCAGGTATGCCTGTCTTGAAGTTGGTACCCCATGTTTGATGGCCTTAAAGGGAATCCAAAAGGAGCACCACCATTTTCTGGGAAAGCTCCGAGAAACAGCACAGCCAATGGGTGACCGAGGCCAGCAAGAATCCGGGTTGCTCCAACCCCCCCCCCCCCAAAGAGCAAACGGCAACAGGTCGATCACCGGTGGTTGGTTTCCTAAATGGTCTCAAAGGCGATTCGGTCTTGCAATGGAACGTTGAAAGGCTAACAGGGCAGCATTCGCATTGCTCTGAACTTGGATCTTCGATTCGCCGAGCTCGTAACGTAAGTTGACCTAAGCTATAACCTACTTCTCAGCTCCAAGTAGACTGAACCTTGTTGGTGGGTTGTGCCCCAGGTAAACTACTTTCTAACTTCACCCCCCCAAACACAACTCAAGAAAATCCTTGGGAAAGATCAAACAACCCCATGTTTGGAGGTCTGTTTGGGGCCTGGGACAAGTTCCGTGACAACTTCCCCGAGCCCCACTTGCCCCGAGCCCTCCGAAGACCCTCAGGTGACTCAGGCGCGGACCCTCGCAAAGGCACCTTGGTGGTGAACACCTGGGCTCAAGGCTCGCAATCGGAGGCAAACGGAGGGTGAGACCATGTCATCTGCAAAATTGTAATACCTGGAGCCTCCTTCTGACCCTTAAAAAATGGGTCAATGGCCCCATGATTTTGGATTATGACCTCATCTTTTAAGGGTGATGGAGACTCCAGGTATAAATCCAAAAGCTGAATTAAGAATCGGATCCCCAAGTAAAGAACCTTTATCATGGCTTTCGCTCGTGATACCCCCGAATCGGTGAGCTCGCTATACACTATAACATAGGCAGAAAAGCCTAAAAGGCCAAGCAAATGGAAAAGGCCTGGCCGGGTTATAAAAAGCTGAAAAGGTCAACTCCACTAAGGGAGACTTGTGAGCGGGTTGCAACTTAGGTTTACAACGTACTAACTTGGGCGAAACCCGGGTCATTCTCCTTTGTTCTTTGATTGGTCAAGGGCAACTATGTATCATGGTCCCAAATACAGAACAAAAACTCGGTTGCTTTCTGCTCCCCTGCTAAAAGTTTAACTTTTAGTGGTTTAGTGGAAAACCCATTAGTTGGCAAAAAGCTCTCAAGTCCTAACAGCCCTTGGCAAAATGCATCCCAAAGAAAAAGCACCGCGCAACGCCGTTTTATTGCGGCTGTGCCTTTCTTGGGGTTCCATGTTGGAGATGGCGGTTGCCCATCCAATTCTTCACGTCTGATGCTCCTTCTGTAGGCTTTTGGTTTTGGGCTCTATCGATCTAGACATGTCTGCGAGAACAGCCACTTGCCTGACAAATGCCCTCTCAGGGGGGAATTCCACCACGGAGTTGTTTCAAACAAGGTGGCTGAAACATGGAAATAAACGTTTGGGCAAGCCAGCTTTAGCTTCCTTTTAAACCAACCCAAAAAATGGTACCGACTCAGCCCACCGTGTCTACGAATGCAAAGAGTAGAAGAGAAGTGACAAGTATCCCCGCATGGCTCCTTGAGCCCGCCCGAAAGCCAAACCCGATTTATTATTCTCACCTAGCCCCTTAGGAACCTCGAAATAAAAGGCGATCACCTTGTGGGACCTTGACTAATACCTCACTACCAATCGAGTGGATGGCCCAAAAACCAGTAACCACACTTCTTGCCTGCACTAAACTGGTCCAAACCAAAAAAGTATAAAGTCCAGCAACTCATGGATAAAGCCTAAATTGGAAAACCAAAAGGTCAAAAGGTCGTCTTTGGTCGTTCAATAGCACCTGCCTGCCGCAACCTGGAAACAAATGGGAAATCAAAGGGCCGTATGTGGAACTCCAAAGGGTCAATCGTCGTCTTTGGCGAACTGAGAACATCTCGAGCAATCAGATATAACTAAGATGAATATCTGTGTTCTACAATTTGTTATTCCAATGAGATACACCATGCCATCATTTCTACATCCGAATATATTCCGCAATTATGGCACTGGAGTCATAGTTGGATTGACATGATGTACCCAAAACCATGTAACGCATCGAAGGGTCCTGGCACACGAGACTGGTAAGATTGTGGGGGTAACTTTGGATTCTGTCAGACACCCCAAAATAGAACACAAACCGTTCAAACAATGGGAGTTCAAAGAACCACCGTTGTTTACCTGGGTTCTCGTGATGATTTCACTGGAAATTGATCCTCCGGATTCATCCGAGGTTAGCATGCACTCGCTTCCTGAGTGGATTGGCCCAAAACCAAGTCCGATAGATTTTGCTTTACCACTAAACTGGTCTTTCCCCAAAAAGTGACTAAAGTCCAGAAACGGAACTCTGGAAGCGAGTGCATGACGGTGCCGGCTTTCCGCTTTTACGCCAGAAGCAAAACAAAACATGGGCCTCGTGGCCGTTCACCTCGATGCTCAAGAAGCTGGGCCACACCTGCCACACAGATTCTTGGTTGCTGCAAGGACTCCTTTGCAAAAAGTTTAACTTTTTGTGGCTTTGGTGGAAAATTCATTGATTTGGATGCGACTGCGGAAATTTCACCAGTTCTTCCCCCTGTTGGTCCTTTTTAGTAATCTTTTAGTGCTCTTTTAAGTCGGTTGCTTTCTGCTCCCCTGCGAAAAGTTGAACTTTTGGTGGTTTAATGGAAATCCCATTAGTTGGCAAAAAGTTACAGTCCTAACATCCAAGCTAAATGCAACAAAGTTGCCTGTTTGTGGCTTTGGTGGAAAACCCAACTTGATTTCAACCAAAAAGCTAAAGTCTAAAGATCCGTTACCCAACAGCAGCCAAGGATTACTCACCAAAAAAGACACCCCCTTGGTTGCGGTACGTCAGGTAAGTGGTGAGAGTACGCCTGGGAAGATAACCCTCGGAGACGTATAACCATGGCTTTTGTGGGTTATACCCAGCCTTACTAACTACCTGACGTACAATGCCCCTTTAAGTAAAAATGGGGAATAGCGGCTGCGCAACGACACTGAAACCATAGAAGGAAAGGGGGGTCTGTTGCAACCAAAAACTCGGGCGAGTTGGATGAGCGAGGGTCCGGGTCCGCTTAAGTTGGTGGACACAAAGAGAGCTTGCCGCGGAAAACCCCCAGTTGAAGGCAGGAAGAAGCCCTCAACTGGCTCCATCTAAACTAAATGGCAGCAAACCACAAGACCAAGCTGAAACTAAAGCACCAAGCCAAACAATGGCACCAAGCAACAAAAAAGAGCACTCCAGCAGCTAAAACCAAGCGTCCACAAAAGCGCCAAACCAAGCCTCAAACGTTACTAGGCTGCATCAGTCCCCCTGTTCAGCACCACCCCCTGATGCAGTCAGAGGGTTGCCGTGAGCATGGCCATGGGGAAAATTACTCCTTCGGGTTGCTGCCTGACGCCCGAAACAAAGTAATGTCGACCCCAGATAAATCAACCATACTATTAATAGGGGGTGGTTTTGATGGTTTTTGGACCCTCCCAAAGTGGTCTGGTACCACACATTTCACCCAGAAATGGAAAAGCACCTCCTATTACTAAACAGTTTGGTTTCGTTCATGTGGGGTCAACATTACTTGGTTGACGAGCAACAAATTAAATTTTGGCAGTTGAGTGGTTGGATTTCAACCACTAAACCACAATAAGCAAAAATGTAAACTGTTTCCCAACAACAACCATGATTAGTCCTTGCCTCCAACTGATTCTCATGCCGCTCAGGGTAACCCTGTCCATATACTGGTTTTAGGTAACCAAGGGAGCCAACCTTTGACTCAACAGGAAAATGTCTGGTTGTGGTTTTGATTGGTTGGCTGCAAGGCTGGTTGGTTAGTGTGTTGGGTGGTTGTTGTGATTGTTCGGCTGGGTTGGTTGGCTGTTGGGTGGGCTTGGGTTGGTTTGGTGGAACCAAAGTTTGGTTTGCTGGGTCTCACTTCCGATCGAGTGGATTGGCCAGCAAAAGTCTGAACTTGTTGTTACCAACGCAAATGGGCTTCCACAATGCACAAAGTTCATAAGCTCAGGGAGAGTGGCACAGCACCTACTGTTGGACGAAATTCTGCAAAACCTAAGAAGCCCTAGGGTGGTGCAAAATTTCTTCCATCAACCACAGTGTTCCCTTGTAAACTAGGTCCTCCAGTAGAGAGGTTAGAATAAGTACCAACTTTTTTCTGTAGTCTATTTTAGTAGGGGAACCCTGCTCCCAAATAAGAAACGGCAAAAGGGCACCTATCTGGGGGACCTAGTACAGGCTATTTTGGGCAACGGCCGTCCTCATGGGGGCAGAGAAAAAGGGAGGGGAAGGGGAGGGAGCTCTTATTGCGCCCTTATTAAGCCCTCAATTGGGCCTTATTTAGGGCTTATTTGGGTTCCCTCCCCTCCCTCCGCCCCAGCCCCCATGACTTCCGGATCCATCCCCGCGCTTTTCGTCGCCATCGGAAAACTCATCGCCTGCTGAAGTCCCTGCGGCTCCATCTGCGAGCGCCTGGGAAAAAATCCGTCGGCTGTCAGCTCCTTATGGGGAAGGACCCCCCGAATTCTGCGCAGAAAATCTCAGACTCGGGACCATGGAGACAAACATATCAGTTCTTTCCTTGGTATATAGTGGAATTGTCACTTGTTGTTTTTTGCTTTTGTTGGCTTTTCAAACTCGCTTCCGATCAAGAGGATTGGCCAAACAAGTAGCCAAACTTTTACCCTACCGCTAAAATGGTCCAAACCCAAAAAGTCGGGGCTGTCCAAACTGACCCCCTGCCAAAAGTTGAAAATTGTTAGTGGGTTAAATGAAAACTATACCGCTGAACCAACTAAAAACACACGTAATAACCCAAGTTGAACCGCACGCTGGGAACCGCCAAGTGTTTGTTGGTCCAAACCCAAGTGACAGCCCATGAAGCCGCAAAGGTCTCGGATCCGGCCTCCGCAAACCTCGGAACTCCACCTGCGGCGAAGAAACGGGCTTTGTAGTTCGGGGAAAACGGATCCCCGGCTTTTACGAGGGGAAAACCGATGCGGTCTTACCAGAAAAAGATCGGATCCGGTTTTACCGGAAAAACAAAAAAACGGTTCCGTCGTTTTCTACTTTCCTTTTTTACGACAAGAAGGATGGTTGAAACGAATGGTTGGAACAAATCCCTAGAAAAAAGGAAGAACCACAATAAAAGACTATCTCGGGTTCCCCTTACTTGGGTGTTCGTTGCCAAGTTAGTCAGTGGAAAAGGCCAACTGTGCTACAACCCGCTAAGTTTAACTCTGCTGAACGGGGGGCGTATATATAAGCAGGTTATAGCTTAGGCTTGGTTATATCCTGCTTACCTGACGTAGGTTGAACATCCAAGTGGCTGTATCCCAAGTGCGTTTGCACACGGAACATGAGGTTCGTATCCTGGATATCTAGGCTTCCGGAGCAATAATATTTTTTCCCCAACAGCTGAAAGCTGTCAGCCCAGATAGGCTCCGGGGTCCGGGGCGGTCTTGAGGTAAGGTTCCACGAGGGTTCCACCAAGGTTCCACGAGGGTTCCACGAGGTTCTGCGAGGGCTGCGGGGTGGTGCGAGCGCGAAAAAGAGCACCGCATGCTGTTGGGGATATCACCTGAGCTTGTTTGTTCTTCGGGTACCGCCGTTGGGGCTTGTTTTAAAGGGACATCAACTGACATAACTGACCCTGACCAAGTTTGGGGTTCACAATTTCAACCCACCCCATGCTAAGGAGCCAGTTTGGGAGGTTCCCCGCACAACCCAAGTTGGAGCTTGTCTGGGAACAGGGAGGCGTGAGGTGCCAGTGGTCCGGCTCCCACCTTGCCAAGGGTTGTTTTGGGTGTCTTGTCGATGGAGGCAACGAGAAGGTGGAGGCATCCTCGTGGTCCGGGGTTGGCCTTTCTTATCAGCTCCATCGAATCGGCCACTTCAGCCATCGGATACGCAGGGCTTGGGCTTCTTGGTTGCTACTTGAATGTTCGGCCAAGTTAGCAAGTGGCTAGCCGCCCGGCTTGTAACCCACGAATAACATGGTTAGCTACACTTAGGGTACATAAGCGGGCATATCCTAGGTTACTAGAAACTTACTGACTTGGACGAACACCCAAGTAGTGCTTTTGAATGTTCCGACCGTGATGTTGCTGCCAACGAGTATCGGCCGGAGCAGAAGGGTGAAGGCGTGTTAGAGACTGTACACATCAAGTGAGCTATTGCAAGGGCAATCAATAGTTGGTTTCTCTGTCAGCTACAACTATGGAAGATGGACTAGGTAGTTTGGGAGGAGGATGCCGCTGATTGACCAACCTAGCAACCAGATTGCCCCCGCGACAACGCCACACATCACTGTACCTGTGAATCTGTGAACATCGTGGCTGTAGGAGTAACTTTCTTCCTGTGCCATAGACTCCTTTGTAGCACCGCGTTGCCCTAAAGAAGGCACCTGGCCTCACCGAGACCCAATGGGGTAGATGGTCATACCATGTTTCAAGGGTCATGTGGACTCCAGGTCGAGCAATTTGTATCCACGTGTTCAGCATACCCCGCCCCGTTGTACATCATATTTGCTCATAGCTCAACATCACAATACATCTCCAATCTCTCCGGGAACGGAGGATGCCCGAAATATTGTATATTCGTAAGGATCCAGGAAGCTCTCTAATTTGACGTACTTCGCCATGCTTGTGTGCTCCAATTGCCGTGTTTTTTTCCCCTCGAGGTCTTGCATCATCTCTGGGATTCCAACCACCATTCACACAATGGGGGTTTAACAAAAACCACCGTTGTTTACCTACTCAAGGCCATTCTTTGAATGGGGTTGAACCCTAGGGTCATGGCGTCCCCTGGCAACTACTTGCGTGTGCGGCCAAGTAAGTGGTGATCGTCAGGTTCTAAGGGGACCAACCCCAGTTAATCTAATTATAGCACAGTTCTAATCTGCTTACCTGACGTTGGTTGAATATCCCAGCAAGGCCCCCCACCCCCCCAGCTTCTTCCCCAACCCTCAGATGCCTCAAAGCCTTCCTTGCGCCACATTCGGAGGTCTGGGACCTAGCGAGACTGATCCCCTCGCGGATACCCACAACGACAAAATAACAACCAACTCACTTCCTGAGTGATTGGCCAGGCACAAACAACAAGGTCAACTCCAAGGGGGGCGTGTGACCGGGTTATAACCTAGCTTACCAACAACTTACTAACTTGGCCGGACATCCAAGAGTGGACTCTTCTTGAATCGGTGGAAATGCGGACACAAACAAAAAATCACACGGTCACGAGTCCATCTGAATAGGTGGCGTTTTTGTCCCGCTCGGAAAGGACTGATGGAGACTGCAACTCTCAGATTTCGATTGGTTGAGAAGGGCTTGAGTTTTGGGAGATCTAGGCCAGTTGCAAACGCAAACCCGAATGGTAGAAAAGCGTCGGAACCATCTTGTGCTTTGGGAAGGGTGATATCTCTAAGGGGAAACGGTTATATCCCAGGTGGCTGACCACCTACTTGGTGGTAATGTCGAGCCCATATTAATCAACCCCAGTTTAATAGTGTGGGGGTGCTCCGAAAGTGATGAATCCCCACTAGACTGAGGGACAACTTCCTATTGGCAACCAGGGGTTGACTAATATGGGTTCAACATTACATCCAAGTAGTATACTTTAGCTTGGCTGATAGTGGTCTTCCTGAAACGGATGGAGTGAGCCGATGCAAAGATCAGGTACTTGGGGGGGTTTTCGGCGACCGTCCTTCAGAACATCCCCTAGCTCCCATGGGGAGGCGGTCGGGGTCCCCTAGTGCCATTTGTCTAGCCTTAGAGAAAATGGAAGCAAACATTGGTGGGATATCTTTTGGCGCGCCCCAGAATTGTGTTTTTCCTTTTGGGTTTCATTTTGAAAGCGCAAACAAACAGGTTACCTCAAAAAGACACGCCCAAGGAAATTCCAGGGGTCACCCCTCCCCCTCCCCCCCCGGAACTTCCTTGGGTCACCCCCTCCCCACCCCCCCCCGCCCTTTCAAGGAAAGGTCACCCCCTCCCCCCCACCAAGGAAATCCCAACGGGCCACCTGCCTCCTCCCCCGATTCCATCCTGGGCCGGGGGGTGGGGGGGGGCTTTGGGGGGGTCAAAACTCCCGGCCTCCAGCGTGAAGGTGAGGTGCCGACCCGGCAAGACCGACATGAAGAGCACGTGCTCCAGCTGGAGGGGATCGATGGATCGCTAGATCCCATCCCCGTTTCGCCACTCTAGGACTCTAGGGGCTACCTTCCATGTCCATTCCCAGGGATCCTTCTTTATTTAACAAAAAACCTCAATAAACCCAGGTTGAAAACAGATCCGCTTTTTTGGAAAAGAAAACGATGGTTGAAAGATGGTTTCAGGGAACTGCCTTAGGTACCCCGATGGTGCTGTGGGTAACCATGATTACCCACTGAATCCATGGGTAAAAGGCTTTTCAAGTGGGTGATAGCCAGGCTTACTAACCACCTTTTAAATACCCGGCCACTTTAAGCAGTGGTTGAGAATAAAGTGCACGATCCCAGGCGTTTCGTGCAAAAGTAGCTAGCCAGCCATGCGCCTGTTGGTTTCTGAAGGATGGCAGGCTGTTGGCTACCTACTAAGAAATGGATTCACTGAGTCCATGTGCTTGAGTCCCCTGGAAAACAAAATAAAATTGTCCAGTAGTGATAGATTTCGTATAAAACCATCAGGGAAACATACAACATATTCTGAAGCAAATGGAAGAAACTTTGAACAGTGAGAGGAACAAAGCTCCTTTCAGGAACGGATGACCTTCCCGGGCCTTCTTGGGACATTCTAGGGCGCAAAGAATGGATCAAACTACATCTACTTTGCTTCAGTCCGCATGGAAAAAGTATATATGTCCATCAAAAGCAAATGACCTTTAAAGCCAACAGGGGAAAACAAGACATATTCTTCAGCAAATGGAAAATATAAAACAACCGGCCTTTTGAAGTTCGGGCTCCAATAGTTTTGCCGCTACAATCATGAGTCACAATCCAAACCCGGTAGTAAAATGGTCTACCCAGAACCATGCTTCAAGAATTAAGAAGGCGGATATCCGCAACTATTTCTGGCTGGGATCATCCCTTATTAACCTTCATCTACCCGGGTTTTGATTGTGGCTCACTTGGGAAAGAAGGATATAAACAAGCCTAACCCAGTGCTTCCAGTTACCTCCATGGATCATCCCTTACTAACCTTCATCTACCCGAATCGGCTTTTATTGTGGCTCTCATGACTTGAGTTGCTCTCTCAAAGCTCGCGAGTCTGTTCCAATTACTTCGCTTCGCCTACGTCCAGTTCTCCAAGGCTTCCGGAAGCTTCCCACCTATTTGGCCCAAAGGGGGGGGGGTAAAGGGGGGGGGTTGAGGCTTCAGAAAGGTAGGCATGTTTGCTCTAGGTTTTACATCATACTAGAATGGCAACCTCACACTTCCTGAGTGGATTGGCCAACAAAAGCTTTGGAAATTGTCATGTACCACAAATGTCGCCCCGGGAGTAGTGACACCCCCCTCTGATCAAAGACGCCATCTTTCTCAGACAACTCCCAGCCAATACTACATATCATTAAAGGCACCTGCAAGGTTTGGCCTTATCTATTTTTCTGGGGTGCCTCTCCCATTCACATTAACATGGTCCAAACCCAAACGCTTGGTTGACGTTGGAAGGGGAGACAATTCGAGTTTTAGCAGTTAAGTGGGATTTGTCCCACTAAACCACAACAAGCAAAATGTAACATGTTTCCCAACAACAACCATGAACGGAACTCAGGGAGTGAAAGGGAACTCAGGGAGTGAGTAGCTGGAGCCAGGTCTAGCGTCAAAACTCGCCTCCACCGGCTTGAAGGGGTCCATGTCGCGAAAGCAGCACCTCACTCCGCGCCCTTCGGCGTGGTGCGGTTTCTGGTTCCCTACTTGGAGGTGCAACGAATTCTCGGGGGCGAAATCTGCGAAGCCCGGCTGAAAGTGAATAACTTTTAGTGGTTTAATACGGAAAACCCAACTAAGTTGGCAAAAAGTGAAAGTCCTAACAACTAACAAAGTTGGCAACAAGTTAGAGTCCTATGGACTTCAGGGGAGCCAGACGAGTGCAAACATCACCGTCCTTGCGAGGCATCAAGGGGTTTCGGGTGGTGAAAAGGGGGAGACTTGTTTCTTCGTGCTTGTTCAACTCTTCAACTTGCAAACCCTGTTTCTTTGAGACGTGCCTAGACTGACACGGGAATGAACGGTTTAGGCTTGAAGCGGAGATCACTTTTGCTGATTGATTGTTCCATGGCCAGTGTGGAATTGATCTAATGCACTATTAAAGAATCAAACAGCTGCGCTCTGGTGCACGGTGTCTCTGACTTACTTGACGGCCCAAACATGGCCTCTGATTTCCAGAGAAATTCTTCCCCAACAAATACAAGTCCAAAACAAATCCATCTCCGATGACTCTCAAATGGTCCAAACAAAATAGCCCATCGCAGATCCCTCAACAAGCCCATTTGAGAGCCGTTCCGGGATGCCCGAAAAAAGTAGAACACTCTTAGTTGGCGATGTGAGAACCACCCTTGGACTGAGCTGTCTTCTGATCCCCTGCTAAAAGTTTGACTTTTAGTGGCTTACATCGGAAAAAATCAACAAACCTAAGGAACCGGACGGACGGTTAAATTTGGTATCCCAAGAGTGTCGAAACTCCAAGAGCGACGTCTCATCGCTCAGTGCCCCGCGTGTTGCAGAGCGGCCGGTCCAGCAAATGCCTCAACCTGGCCGATGTCGACCACAGTCTCGTTTTTCCGACCTACCAAAAACCCACAGTCTATGTCGACCCACAGCCTCCTTTTTTTTTCTTCGACCATAGGGCCCTTGGGAAAACCCAAACCAGATGGGTGCATTCTGGGCCAACATAAAGGGACCCCAACAAAAGGAAGACGTTTCTGTTGGTGTCCCTTCAAACCAACCTCAAAGGGATACATAGGGATACCGGAACAAAAGCAGGCCCCTATGTTCGCTTCTAAACAAATCCTGTCCCTGATGAAGTTGTGCCAAACAGATGCTACCCTCTTCATATATCGTTTTTGAGGGCGGGCAGTAGAGGAAACCAAAGATTCTACCATCCTGAGCAGATGTTCCCCCAGTGCAACCCACAACTCGCCAAAACTCGCCACTTGGGACGACCTGAGATTCGCTGGTGAGCAGCAAACACATAGCTGAAAAGGGCATAGACACCAAGACCCAGCCCCACTTGAGATGTTCGTCTTCTCCGGTCTCGTGATAGAAATAGAGTTTCTAAAAAGCCGGCTGGAAGCGGAAAACGAAAGGTCTGGTCAAGCTGACAAAAACCCATCTGCGTGTTTTTCAACATCGGGGACCCCTTTTGGATGGCTTTAAAGAGAAATCAAAAAGGACATGACCTACCCGGAGGGACCCCAATTTTGAGAAACACCCAATTAAGTCTTAAAATGGGGACTCGAAATGGTTGATGTCACCTGTTGGTTTCCATTCAAAACGCAAAAACACAAGCTACTCTCCCAAACAGACACGTTGCCAGCTTATAGTCCGCTGAAACTCCGGGTCCAAACTCGCGAAAAGAGGAGAACGTCAATCGGAGCCCCAAGTTAAGAAAGCTGCCTCCTGAAACACTTGGGCATGTGGGATAGTATTATCATATTCTTTGATTCTTTTTCATACCTGTTAACCTTACAACTTACAACTCCGTTTTGGAGGAGTCCCAAAAGTTCTGCGCCGGTCCATGAGTCTACCAGATTTCAATGGCTGGCTACCTACTGTAGAGGAATCACCTTTCAACAAGGATAATCACTGGTTAGATGCAGTGGCTGGCCTGGGATCTGGGGTTTCTGGGCTGTCCGTTTTCTGATCCGATAAAAGCAATTGACTTGTGGGTTACATTCACAAAACCCGACCACTAAACCACCAAAAAACACCAAACAACTAAGGAACCGAACGATTCGCTTTGAATCACCAAGCAAAGCAAAATGAGCTGGAATCGGGGCGTCCTTCATCCAATTGTGGTCACGCAGATCCTTTCTTCAGAAACTGAAAAGCAACCACAACAGCGCTAGACACACCTAACTGCGCTGCCCTCAGATCCCCCGCGAAAAGTTTTACTTTTCCTGGGTCAAATTCGGAAACTACAGTGCCTCTAAACACAAAAAAACTAAAACGCCATCGGCATAGCTGGTCCCACACACGCCCCGGGCGCCAAAAAAACCCGCCGAACCGTCCTTAGATCCTCCAGTAGAGAGGTTAGAATAAGGATACCAACTTTTGTCAGGACGTCCAATTAGTACGGGAGCCCTCCCAACCAAAAAAGGGGTGAGAAAGGGCACCTAGCTGGGAAACCTAGGTCCAGATACTTGGGGATCCCTTCTTGCGCAAAAGCCGGCAAAACATTGGTTTTCGGCCATTCCTCCCCAAGCCTAACCTGGTAGCTGAAGCAAAGCCCCCGCGCGAGCCCATCACTGCCTACCCCGAAAAAAGCCTTCAAGTGTGCCACGCGAGAGCTGAGTTCTTGAAGGGGAGAGAAGGGAGGGGACCGAGCCGTCTGAGTCGGCGCCGCCGGTGGCCTCTGCTCCAGCGGCTCCAGGGGCCGCTGGCACAAGACGCAGGGCGTGCCCTCGGGGCTGGCGCCTTAGAGCAGACCAGACGAGACACAAGGTCCTTGGGAGCGTCGGTTCTTGTTTGGGGCAGTGTGGGGCCTGGCCTGTGTGGGGGCCAATTCATGTTAGTCTGCGGAGTGGATGGGAATTCATAGAACCAAAGAACTCAGTTGTCTAGTTTGGACCCAGGAATGGTTCTTCAGTTTCCCCGTGAACCGGTCATTTGAGCAGCGACCATTAGTAACGGTTGCTTCTAACATGGTGATAAAGGTTTATATGGGTGTGTCGGTTTTTGATGGTATCCCTTTTTGTGTGGTTTGGGGGGTCCCCTAGAAAAGACACCGCCCATATGGGCCTACTCATAATCCCAAGTTAGCCAGAACCACCCACAAAGCAAAGGATGCCTGTTTTTGTGGTTTTGGGCACTGCGTGGGAATTTCACCTGAACCTTTATACAGATTTTGTTTGGGAGGGATGGTTGTTTTGCTGAGTTGGTCTTGGTAAAGAACAGGAAGATTGCAGCGCCTGTGCGTGCTTGTGGCTTGGAGAGGAGCCTGCAAAAATCCGGGGGGGGGGAGGGAGAAAGCCCTAGGAACTAGGCACAAACCCCCAAGCATCCCAACCGCACCAAACAAACGGACAAGCAAACAAAGGCTCACCAGGGTTGATACCACATTACATTTGACCCTTCGCGGCTCCCAACACCGTGATTAGAACCTGATTCAAGCAGCGCCATCTACCCTCCACCAACATGGACCTCAAAACTTCGGGGTCCTGGATGGCTCTTTTCCTCGCAAAAAACCCTCCACTGCCGTGTTCAAGCTTCTGACCTATCAGCTTCTGACAAGAGGCCCCGGGTACGGAGAATTAGGGTTTGATTCCGGAGAGGGAGCCTGACAAACGGCTACCGCATCTAAGAAAGGCAGCAGGCGCGCAAATTACCCAATCCTGACACAGGTAGGTAGTGACAAGAAGTAACAATACAGGGCATCCATGTCTTGTAATTGATGCATAGAATTAAAACCCTTTTGTGAGTATCAATTGGAGGGCAAGTCTGGTGCCAGCAGCCGCGGTAATTCCAGCTCCAATAGCGTATATTAAAGTTGTTGCGCTAAAAAAGCTCGTAGTTGGATTTCTGTTGGGGGTGACCGGTCCGCCTTCTGCGTGTGCATCTGGCTCAGCCTTGACATCTTCCTGAAGAACGTGTCTGCACTTCGCTGTGTGGCGCGGCATTTAGGACTTTTACCTTGAGGAAATTAGAGTTTTTCAAGCACGCTCACGCCTTCAATTCAGCATGGAATAATAAGATAGGTCCAGTAGAGAGGTTAGAGTAATTAAGTTGGTACTTTGTCTTTTTTCTGTCGATTTTAGTAGGGGAACCCTCCCAACCAACAAAGGGGTGAGAAAGGGCAGCCTTTCGCTGGGCCGTCCGCTCCGCCAACCAGCAACACCAAATTGGCGCCTCGGCCGCCAGGGTCCAGCGGAATCGCAGAGTCCTCCACCTCGGCGAGTCGAAACGCAAAGGCGACGACGCCAGTCACAGCCCTGTGGATGGTTGCGACATCCATTTCGACAAACCCCTGTTGATTTATATGGGGGTGTTCCCCTCCAAAAGTGATAAATCCCCACTGAAACAGGGACACCCCCATATTCATAGACAGGGGTTCATTTATCTGGGGTCAACATTAAAGAACAACCCACGTTCTGGTTTCAACGGAGCAAAGTGGCGCGAAATGAAGTGCGCGTCATTGTTGGGGGATTGGATTAATAATAAAAAACCAAGCCCCCCCCCCCATTCGGGGGCATGTCGCAGAAGGGGGATTCCCAAACTCAAATTATGGCTTCACAAACGAAATCCCAAAGTAGCCATGTGAGCGTCAGATACTTCCAGCCCAACACTTCAACCCCCGAAATACGCCACAAGTGGTATCCCCAACAGCCCCGCCCTCCGGAACCCTCCCTGAAAGCTAACCCCAAACCACCCCACAGCCCATTCTGGGCAGAGACCCCTAGTAGTGTGAGTGTGTCCTTTTTTTCAAGGGTACCCCTGTTTGCTGTTTCTCCAGAATAAACAAAAGGACGGGGGGGGAGATCCCCTTAAATTAGACACACAGACACACACACACACAGACACACACAGACACACACAAACACACACACACACACCAAAAATAATAATGCTGACCCTGATTTTGATAACCGCCTCAAGGTTCGACCTTTTGTCTGCCAAAGGGTCTATTGGGTCGGGGTTTAAATGTGGCTTTGAATATGGGACCCACTAGCAGAGTAGAACCACCCAGTACGAGGGGGTTCCAGAATTTTCAATCATAAGGGGTCGAATGCTACGTCCTTTGCAAGACAAGGAAAAGCATGACACATTGGGTGTGCCTCATGAAGGACAACTCGGAATGAGTGGCTTCCCAAAAGAACCTCCTTTGACACCCACCCCAAAACTCACTTCCAGAGTTCATGGGCGTTAACACATTCTTGGGGAAAAAGCTGTTAAACGCCAACATCCTCGTGGTGCAAGACACAGATGATTGGACCCTCGCTACTTGGGTGCCCGCCCCAGTTAGCAAGTTAGTAAGTTGTTGGCAACCTAAGTTATAACTTGCTTCTAAGCCCCCCGCGGGTTATACCCCAGGTGGCAAGGTGGCCTTTTCCACTAAGGGGGCAACGAACAGGCTAGTATGGCTAGGTCCTCCAGTAGACAGGCTAGAAAAAGGGTACCCTTTTTTTTGTGTAGTCTATTTTAGTAGGGGAAATGTCCCAACCAAAAACGGGGTGAGAAAGGGCACCTAGCTGGGGGACCTAGTATCCTCCATTTGCTTAAGTCCCCTGGAAAAAATAAAAATACTTCCAGTAGGGATTGATTCCCGAGAAAAGAAGGAGAACAAAAACGGGGGAACATAAAACCTATTCATTTTGCCAGATGGAAGGTGTGGATTTCCAGGCACTTCCACCTTTTGCCCTTTTGCCCGGCTCGGGCTTGGCTTCCGGCGGCATCGTAGAGGAGGCCCTCCGCGCCCTCATCCTCGAGCTGATCCTTACATGAGAAACACCTGAACGTTGCACCTTGTAAATGGTGGTTTCCCTTTATTTTGGTGGAAAAAGCAACATGTTTCAAAAGGGCAAAATGTATCTTTTGAGGAGCCCTGCTTATGAGTGGGCTACCCCGATGGCTAACCTACTAACTTGGCAACGAACATCCAAGTAGCCATAAAGATTACACATGGCCAGTTATCTAGGGGTTGATTCCCCATTATTTTCAACCATCGTTCTTTTCAAAAACCGGATCCGTTTCCCCAGGGTTTTTGATGGTTTCCTGAAAGGAAGGATCCCTGGAAAGAATGGGGAAGGTACCCCTAGATTCCTCAGTGGATTGGCCCAGAAAGTATCCAACACTCTTGGTTTGCCACTCAAATGGTCCAATCCCATGAAGTGACGATCAAGTCCAACTCAGGAAGTGAGTGATTGATCGATGCTCCACAAATCAACGGAAGGAACCCCCAACAACCACACCCGAGGAAACTAACATGGGAATTAGACCCCCACTTTAGGGTTCCTTCCGTTTTGTAGGGGAGCATTTAACGGAAGATCAAAAGGATACCTTCAGCTCGATGATGCCGTCCGCATGCTGCGAAAATGAGCCAGGCGAATCACACCAAAAGGAAGCTCAGAATGACCCAAAAGCGGAGTTTGACCCAACAAGCTGGGTGAAGCCCGGTATAAACCACCTGGAGTCTCCATGACCCTGAAAAACAATGCGTCAATGACGCCATTATTTTGGGCAAGGACCAACCATTTTTCAAGGGTCATGGAGACTCCAGGCAGATTGCTTTTGTTGCCTCAAGGTGTTTCACCTTTGGGGACCTTGACAACTGAAGCCAAAATGGAATTTCAGGTCGATTCGCTTTGGGCAACTGAGCAGTCAACCCGTAAATAATCTTAAATATCAGATGTTCAGATTCTGCTACGTATGATATGGGTGTGTCATGTTTTAGGAAACCCACTAAAATGATGGTTTATTTTTTGCTTTCCTTTCAAACCACAAAACATGAATTACCCTCAAAAAGAGACACACCCATCTTCAACCCTTAAACCTACAATCACGTTGGAGACCCCTAAAAAAAGCACACCCATATTCAACCCTTAAATCTAAAATCCTGTTGGGGACCCATGGGTGCACCCTCAAAACAAACACACCCATATTCAACCCTTAAATCTAAAATTGTTTTGGAGAGACACCCATATTCAACCCATATTCAACCCATACTCACGTTGGAGACCCCGGGCGTGTGTCAAACCAAACAGAAGACCCGTCCTCGCATGCTCCAGCTTCAAGGCAAGGCTGCTCCAAAGCCTCCCAACAAGAGGTGCTTTTGGCGAGGCAGCAGACTGTAACGTGTGATTTCTGTACAGATTTGTGTATTGGAGTTATATCGATATATATATATATATGCAATGTATCTATACATATAATGAATGTGTATATATATATATATATATTTCTGTTTATAGTACATAAGAGTAACTACCATGTATGTATATACATGTCATTATATACATGTAGATCATACATACACGTGTCAGTGACAGACTTCAACTTGAAGGGAGGTGAGCTCTTAGGGTACCAGGACGCCCACCATCTGAACTTCTCTCCACCAAAACGTCGACTCCTCTGATCAAGAGGTCATCGAGTTCGGAAACGGGCATCTCGGACATACATCAACCAATCGAATCGTGAAATACCTGGGCTGTCCTAAGGTCTCCTGTTAACAAGTTTAACTTTTAGTGGGTTCACACTCAACCCTGAAAACCTAGAAACCAAGGAACCGGACGGCTGGGAACCGCCAAGATACACTGTCCAATTTGCGAAAGCCCGGGCTTCAACCGCTTGTATTTTGCACCCATGTCGAAAGTCGAGCCCTTCACCCCTCATCCGTGCTTTGGTTTGGTGGTTTGGATGTTAGGGGTGCCTTCCCCATTTGGCTTCACAAGGAACTGGTCCAAACCACCAACTAAGGGTACCAGAGCCCTGGTGGTTTGAGGGGAGCCACAGTGTACAGTTCGCCGACTTTGCGGATTCGATGTGGGCGTGTCTTTTTCTAGGGGACCCGGCAAAAACCAAAAGGCCTCGGCTTTCCGCTTGGTTTCCGTTACAAACCAGCAAGCAGGGAATGCCTCAAAAAAGACACGCATATTCCCACTCGGCTTTAGGCTGCCTTTTTCCTCGACCATTTTGGTGGATTCGGAGGAACCTGGTGAAAACTAGCACAAACAACCCTTTTGCCTTTTGCCCCCCCCCCCCCGTCGATAAGAAGCAACAGAAATGCCATGCGAACAAATTGAAAAGGGCACCCTTGTTTATTAGCATGACCGTAAGAAAATGGGGTCGTGTCCCCTACTTAAAGGGGCATGGTACTTAGTAAGTGGGTAAACAATATTTAATAAGCATGGTTATCACCCAGAAAAGCTATGGTTCACTCACCACTTACGTGAGGTACAAGTCTCCTTTCCGTGGATTATAACCCGTACCGAATCGATCACCCCTTTACTCAGATGCCCAGTGGATTTCCATAGGAAAAAAGGATCTCCTTCTTTTTGGAATAAGTTTGTTGGGAACCCGAAACCCAAACAAAGAAAAACAACTCTCGCGGAATCCACTCTCGCGGAGTACCTTTTTGGAGTAAGGGACCCCCTTTTTCAAGGCTCAGGAGACAGCCTCCGGGCTATCCATCGGAAGCCATCCGGACGCGCGGAGTCGCGGGACTCGCGGGACTCGCAGGCGCGCCAGCGCGCCACGTGTCCGGGTGAGGGTTGGTATGCAGAACCCGGTCACACCCGGAATTGTTTAGGGGGTGTCAAAGGGACCTCTTTGAGGCACCAAATGCCATCAGGACCCTGAGCCGAGCCGAAATCACTCGCTTTCTGCTCCCCTGCTAAAAGCGACTAACTTTGAGCGGCTTAATGGAAAACCCAGTTGGCAAAAGTTAAAGTCCTGACATCCAAGCAACGTGCACCAAAGCTATGATTCTCAAAGAATTGAGGAAGACACAAAGTAAAGGACTTTCACGGAAAAGTCTGGGAGACATCGCTCGTTTAACCCCGAAGCTCTCGGGAAATAATTTGCCTTTCAAAGGCAAACCGGAGAAGTCTAAACTTGCATGGATTGTTCCTGAAAGTGGTATGTCCTTTTCGAGGACGCCCTTCTTTTAGTGGTCATCATGTTGAATTCCGCTACGTATTCCTGGATCTGAAGACATAGCTAAGAATCCAGCCAGCTAAGGAAAATGTTAATCATTTCGACTCAGCATCTGTTTCTGCTGCGCGTGCGTTCTTCGGGTTGAGGTTCAGAACTATCCCTGCTGCAGGAGATGGGACGACAATGTCTCACCCTAGAAAATTTGGAGAATGGTCAACTGGGCTGTCCGTTTTCTGATCCCCTGCCAAAAGTTTAGTTGTGGGTGAAATTCGGAAACCCAACCACTTAACCAGCTAAACAGCACTGAAAGTCCAAGGGACTGGACGCCAACCATAGCAATGCATGTATTAGTATCGGCATCTGGCGTCTGAGCTTCACGCATGGGACTCTTTGATGAGACATGTCAGTTATTCCAAAGATCGACCTGCGAGCCCGATAAGCGAACGATGCGCGAAAGGAATTGTTCGAAGCAAAACCTCACTCAGCTTGCCCCCAATTGGTGATTTGGATTCGTGGTTTGGACCTTAGGTAATGTTGACCCCATATGAATCAATCCCAGTTTATGAATCGGGGGTGTCCCTCCAAAATTCGTATGATTCCCCACTAAAACCAGACATGGACACCCCCATATTAATCAACAGGTTGGTTGATTAATGTGGGGTCAACACGAACCCAACCCAGGTGTCAGGTGGCGTCGAGGTTGTTTCATCATCCAAAACACCGAAGGGCCACCTGATACCGCAGGCAGAACTCTTAAAACCGTCAACTGCTTCAAAGTTCTCACGAAACGGAACATACATATATCTTTATATATCAGAAGAAGAAAAACAACTACAGAAAACAAAAAACACATGAAACGGATTCACTATTGATATTCAACATGGTATCAAGAGATCTCTATACCCTCTAACGATACGTCTCGAAGGGCTTTCTCGAAGCCCTCTGGCAGACTCGGGTTGATTTCTCTGTCTTTTCATTTGCTTAAGTTCCATGGGGAAAACTACATACCTGGAGCCTCCATGACCCTTGACCCAAAATATTGGGGTCATTGACCCATTTTAAAGGGTCATGGAGACTCCAGGTATGTCCAGTAGTGAGGGATTCCCTATACAAACCACAGAAAAAAAATAGGCTTAAGCGTACATAGAAGTGTCTATCCCTGGAACCCTCCGGGCTTTTTACAAGCCCAGGTTTGACTCCTGACTCCCGACTCGACCGCTCGATCCATACTTAAACCTGCGACTCTCAAGTTGTTTCGTTTCAGGGCTAAGGAGACGCACACGGGCGAATTACAGTAAGCCCTGGGATTCAGGCCATTAAATCAATGGATCATCTAATCACAGTTGCTTGCCGTTCAGCTACAAACTTTGCACCCCGGCGGTCCCGGGGTAAACCCCGCTACCGTGCCGTGGAAACGCTTGGCTCGGGGGCACGACAGACTTTGACCCAAACGTCAGACCCATGGTACGAGTAGGCATCGAAATTAACAGGGATCCTTACATACACCTGAACATTGCAACTTGTAAATGGTGGTTTCCCTTCATTTTGGTGGAAAAAGCCATGTTTCAAATGGGCAAAATGTATCTTTTAAGGAGCTCTGATTAAGTGTGACTTTGTGTATGTCCCCCATTGTCCACCCACCCGTGGCCAATGTGGTTCCCGAGTGATATGTGCCAAAACAAGGGGTAAAAACAAAAAACTGCAATTGGTTTTCCATCGGTTTCCCATGCCCAACATCCAGATGCCCCTTAAAAAAGCCACCAAACAAAATAAAACCAGCGGCCCAAAGCACCCGAGGATGGATTGGCTAAGTGACAAACAGGGGCGTCTTTCTTTAGGAATCGGGCCCCGCCCAATTGGCGTTTCTTTCTGTTGGTTTTGCAGTAAAACCACCAAACAATAGGGATCCTTACATACACCTGAACATTGCCTTGCAAATGGTGGTTTCCCTCTATTTTGGTGGATACCAACTCCGAAAAAGCAAGCCATAATGGAGATCCTGGTCATTCTGGGCCACTTTGGGGGACCCACGGCAAGGCACGCACAGAGTGTGTCCTGAGCGAGCGAGCATTTTTCCGCTGCATTGACATGAAGCAATCCACTGGCTCAGAGGGTGGCGTTTACGCCCTCTGCGCAAAAAGTTTAAAACTTCTTGCCGGGAGTTCGCATACCTGACTCATGGTTGAAAACCTGATAATTCAAATGGTCTTCCCAAAAACCATGTGAAATAAAGAAAGGCCGCACCTACAAATATCTACCTGTATATATGGGACTATCCCTTACTATCCTTCATCTACTCGGATTTTGAGGACGTGGCTGATAAAATGGCTTGGGTCCAGGGAGAAAAAACCAACGGCCCCCGAGGAACTACGCACCCGGCACACCGTGCCGGCGCTGAAACTCCACGCAGCCCGGACTGCCGGAGGGCTCCCATGCGAGCCGTGTCTTCGCTCCTGAGCGCAAAAGGTGTCCCCAAAATGGGTTGCCTCACAACTGAGCGGATGGCAACAAACAAATAACCAACCTGAAGATTCATTCTCCGGCCTTTTTCCAGGCGTTTTGGTTTCCTGGTAGTTTTGGGTGTGTTGGACGTTCTAAATGGTTTCTAGGAGTTTTGCGAAAGGGACCAATTCTGCAATCTCACGAACATATGAGTTTTAGCAGTTTTTGGCAACTTCACGAAAAAGCATCGATATTTAGGAAATGCAAGTTAAAGACGAGAACTACCAGGAATTTCATGGAGAATGAATCTCCAGGACTCCAGGAAGCTCTTTGTATGCCACTTGTAACAGGTCCAAACCCAAAAACTATCTAAAGTCCATTAACTCAAGTGAAGTGCTGAACCTTGGTCCAGGAAAGGTGAACCTGCAAAATAAGTAACGACACAAATTTATCCGAGTCCAAGTCATGTTGCTGAGGTCCCCTAGAAAAAAAACACATATGGCTGTGGTTGTCAAAACCGTTTTGGGATCCCATTTTGAGGGATTCGGTGCACCACCCATTTTAGAACCGATTTTTGGTGGGGATTTAATCGGATGTTCACTGAGTACGATTCGGATTTTGAGCCATGGCCATTTGGGCTCAGTGTACTCTCAAAAATCTAGGGGACACACCATGCGAATGGCCCTTGTAATCACCTATTAATCAACCCCAGTTTATTAATTGGGGGTCCCCTAGAAAAAGAAGAAGAAACAAAAACGTCCAGTAGTGATAAATTTCCGAGTCTCAGAGTTCACCTATGCATCACAATGCCGGGGACTCCCCGAAAATGGCGGCTGTCTTCCTTTTGGTTTTCCTTCGAAAGCAAGTCACAAAGGGTAGCAACTCCAACCCCCAGATTTCCATGGGAGACAAATTGATGTTGCACTCTTGTTGTTGGTAGTCTGCCTGGAGTCTCCATGACCCTTTAAAAAAGGTCAATGACCCCAACAAATTGGGTCATGAGGGTCATGGAGACTCCACGTACCCCTTTTTTTGGGGGTTTGCCCCCCAAAAAAGGTTGCAAACAGGTCGCAACTGGTCCGGGAGTTTTAGAAAAAATCACCCAACTCCCAGGCGAGTCGCGGGCCAGTCCGCGGGAGGAATCCTCAGCAAGCTGCGTCACTTGATTCGCTGGACTCGGTCTCGCCGTCCGTGTCCAGCTCACCATTCACTTCCTACAGGCAGGGCAATGTCGACCCCATTTTTCTGCCAGAACACCCATAACAAGTACACGTTGGCGGCAAAAGGGGGTCGAACCAGGGGGGTCCAGGTACTAACATGTGCAGACCACTTGGGCTTCCCACAGAACTGGGCCCTCAGACTCCATGCCAAAAGTTGAACACTTTTCGCGGGCGAAATGGCGAACCAACCACAACCAAAAGCTTAAAAGTCTGAGGAACCGAACCGCCGGGAACCACCAAGAAAACCTGGAAACCCTCCCGCCTCCCCCCAAACCCCCGCCTCCCCCCGCCAAAACCCAAAAAAAAGGTCGGGTCTCGCGATTTTCCCCTTGGGGTCTTCTGGGCCGCGGGTACCGAGGTTCTGGAAATGCGTGCGGGTGTGCCGCAAACGCACGCGGCTCGCATCGCCCTTTGGATGTTCGTTGCCAAGGATAGAACCAGGCGAACTGGCTGGCTGGTCCCGGTATAACCCCAAGAAACCCCCAAGATGAAAGAGGAACTGGTTGCAGGTCAAAAATTGAGATAGAACCCCGGTTATAGGAAGGGTAACTGGTTGGTTGGTCCCCTTACCCAAGAAACCCCCGGAAAGATGTAATTGGTTGGTCCGTCCCTTACCAGAATTACCACCTACTAAGTTGGCAACGAAGATCCCTGCTTATTAATTTGGGGGGTGTCCCTGGTTAGTGAGTTTCATCACTTTTGGAGGGGCTTCCTGGGGGCCTGGGGGTTGGTACCCTTTTCGCCTTCCTTTCAAACCAAAGGCAAAACCGAAGCCGACTTTTGTGCGCCCCATTTGACCGTGTCACATATGGCCGTGGGTCAAAAATAGGCATTCAACATGGAACCCTGGCAAATGATGTAAACATGGGCTAAAACCTGTGGTTTCCTGGTGGGTGAACCTTGTCCAGCTGGCAAACGGACACGGTGTGCAGAAGATTCGTTGGACAAACTTGCAGAACTTGTGTGCTTGTGGCAAAATATGGGAACCTCCAAAATTAGTTTCCTGTTTGTTTCCCTTCAAAGACCAGCAAAAACATACAAAAGGGGTAGCCTCAAAAAAAATGGGCGAGGCACCCATGTAGCGTTCGTCTCTCTCTAATCACGTTTTGTTAGTTACCCCTAAAATGGTCCAGACCCCAAAAAGGTCCACGATCAAGTCCATAAACTCCGGACTTGACTTCTCCTCATTTTTTGGGTTTCGCTTCTTCCGGGGCGCAAGCGCTTCATCCTCGTGGATCTCGTGGGGGTGGCACAGCTCCGCCACCTTCTTGACCTGCGCAGCCGCCTCGATGTAGGTGATGGCGCTGATTGGGTTCACCTCAGCTCGTTCGAGTTCGAGTCAGTCAGGCGGTGCGGGTGTGCTCTGTGGCTTTTCTCGTCTTCTCAGGTGCCCAAAGGACTCAGACAAGGGTCAAAAGGTCGGCTGTGGGCAAGTTATATTTTTTCTGCCAGAGAGGAGCAGTGGATGGGAGTCATGCGGGGAAAGCATTCCAACGCTGGAAGCTACCGAGGCGCAGAAGCCGTGCCTGTTGCAAACCCCGAAAGAGACATACCCAGAAGTCAAACATAAAACCCAAGAACCAGATACAACCCCCAAAGGGGACATACCCAAAAGATGCAACCCCAAAGAAGACACACCAAAAATCAGATAACCCTACCCTGGAAAAGAACCTACCCTTAGGGATTGGATTTAACAACAACGCAAGGACCCCGAGGCGCAATGGTCATGAGGTCCGGAAGTCGAAGGCATAACCCCACAGTTCAACCGATTCCCATTGACTTCTTTACTGATTGCTGGCAACTGAACCCTGGGCCAAGGCGGAGTGGTCATGAACCCCCAAAAAAGCAAATTGATGTACGTCATATCGTGTCTACTGAGGTTTCCCTTTAGAGCCACCCCAAAAACATACTTAAAGGAGCATTGTACCCCGTAAATCTGGTAAAAGCCATTGTTATAGCCCACAAAAGCCGTGGCCACGAGTCAACGGAAGTTACCGAGGCGCAATGGTCATGAGGTCCTTGGCCCAGTCCCTGTTTATGAAGGGCAGCGGGCTGGGGTACTTGGCCTCGAAGTCATCCAAAGGGATCCGCGACGCCAGCGGGGAGATGCAGAACCTGCGTCGGAGAAAAAAAAAAAAAAAACGGACCGAAACGGACGACACACGGATCGACGCCACCGGTGCCACCCGCGTTTTGTATAGGCCTCGAGAAACAGGTGTTTTTGGGTTGGGGGGGGGGGCTTGAAGGGAAACCAAGAGAAACCATGTTGTTGTTGTTTTTTCCCGAAACGGACCACTCCACTGGAAGCACTGGATATTCTGTGTATGCAGGTCTCTTTTTTGTGGGGGGTACCCCTGTTTTGTGGTTTTAAAGGGAAGCCACAGGAAAAGCACCTCTTCATCTAGGTCCGAGACGCACGCATATATTAGGTGCACCGTGATTTTAGGCTTCCTCAAAAGGGGTGGACGGACTTGGGTGTGTCTTTTTTGTTGGGGGGCGGGCTTGAAGGGAAACCAAAACAAAACCGAAGCGCATTTGAGGGGGGGGGGTTCTGATCGCCGATTCCCAGTTTGAGGCAAACCCATTTCGCCCACACAAGTTCGGGTGGTTTAAAGCCTGAGTGGGTCCCGTGGATTTACAAGGGGAACGGGATCCCCTCTGAAAAAGGCTCCGAACAATTTGTCGCTGTTACTTGGGTGAGTGGCCAGAAATGGAGCTAGGGACCCTAGGGACCCAGCTATGGACCGGTGCGAAGCCTTTGGCCCGTTCGCCAACAGATCGAAGCCTTGTTGGTCGCTTCCCTCGAGCGGATTCTCCAACCAAAGAACGCGGGTCCACTAACATGGCCACCCAAAAAGTGACTCTCAAGTCCAGAGGAAGATTGCATAGCAAAAAACCCCACCAAGCCCAAAAAGGGCTTTGGGGGGCTTTGGGGGGTTCTTCTTGACTCAACTCGTTGGCTGGGGTTCCTGAAAGGATACCCTCCAATAAGCATCGAAGACGATCGGATTTTGGTGGACTTTCTTTTTGGGGAAGCCCCCAGAACCCGCTTCCATGAATCGAAACACGGTACGTGGGTGTGCTCCAGGACCCCCCCCAACTGGCTTCAGTGTTCCTGCTGGCTTTGATTTAAAACCATTAAAACAGGTATATACCCCAAAAAGAGACAGATCCACATCCCCACCAACTCCAACCACCCAACAAATCTCAGATGCCCAGTAGATTTCCATGGGAAAAAAGGGGCACGACCTCCTTTTTCGGTTGGTCGACTTTGAAGGGGGAACCCTTCCCAAAAAAGGAGAAACAAATCAAACCACCCAGTGGCCATGGCAAAAAAACAGGCACCTTGTGTGGTTGGTTGGACTTTGAAGAAAAAACCCTTCCCCCCAAAAAAGTTGGGGAGAACACCCATTGGAAGAGCAACCCACTGGGCCACTGGTTCCGAAACGGTGTAAGTACCCATTTCCAAAGCCCAAAAGCTCCTTGGTGGACGTTGGGTTTGGGGAGCAAAATAATTCTCAAATTTTAGCAGTTCAGTGGTTGGATTTCCACCACTAAGCCACAATAGGCAAAAATGGGAAAAATGTGTCCCAACCACCACCATGGCTCCGGGGCGCTGCAGGAGCATGATGGGGAAGCCATCCAGCACGGATCGCATGACCGTGGAGAAGTGCTCGATGATCTTGCCCGTGAGCCAGCCATACCTCAGCCCGAGTGGCTCTTCCCCGGGATTTGCCAAGGAAGAAGAGGTAAAGGTCCTCCATGTGCTTTTTCGTCCCTGGAAAATTGGAAAAAATGTCCAGTAGTGATGGAGTCCCCTTAAGACCAACAGTGAAAAAAAGTATTAACCAAATGAAAGCAGTAAGGGAACCAGGAAGCCGAGATTCTCTCAAGAAGATCTGGAGTTTACAAGGGTTTCGGTTGAGTATCGTTGAGTATGTTTAGTTGAGCATGGTTGGTTGAGTACGTCCAAAGGGGATTTGAACCCCAAGCAATGGTACATTTTCCTTTTGGTGTCCCTCTAAGCCGACCCTTTTTCAGGGTACTGCTCACTTCCGATCGAGTGGATTTGCCAGAAACAGGAGAAAAACAAAAACAACTTGATGATCAAGGTGTGTGTATACAACTAAAATGTTTGGTCCAAAGCAGACAAAAATGCTTCAAACAGTAAGGGACACCCGAACCAAGCCTTTTGCTTCCTACTGAAAGTTGGTCCAATGCAAAACAAATGTAGTAGAGTCCACCAAACTCCAGGAGTGAGGTCGCCTCCCAGATCTTTTGGCCTCGGTGGAATTCCAGCCCGAAGCAGAGTTTGAAGAGGGGGATACCTGACACCATCGAGAAACCATGGGCCTGTTTGGACCGGAGCTGCTCATGGCATGGTCTTCCCAATTTTAAAAGCATGCAAGCAACCAAGAAACAAAGAAACCAAGAAACAAAGAAACAAACAACGCACGCACGCACGCACGCACGCACGCACGCACGCACGCACGCAAGCAAGCAAGCCAGCCAGCCAGCCAGCCAGCAAGCAAGCAAGCAAGCAAGCAAGCAAGCAAGCAAGCAAGCAAGCAAGCAAGGAAAGACCAAAACAAAGAAATAAATAAATAAAGAAAGAAAGAACGAAAACACAGAAAGAAAGAACACACAGAACAGTTCAAACATGTTGCGTCTTGATTCCAAAACAATGACACAGCCAAAAAGCGTTTATGAAAGTCAAGAAACTCAGGGAGAGAGAGAAAACAAACAAGTCAAAAGGAGGAGACCCGGACCCCAGCTAAGAGAAACAAACAAGTAGGTGTCCCAAGTCCAGAAAAAAGAAGAAGAAACAAAAACACAACGTATCTTATCTTTACATTTTTTGATATGCGATTGAAACAAAAACTGCTTTTTTTGGCAGCCATGCCCCCACTAAAACTGAACAGAATCACAATAAAGCAAAAACAAAAGCAAAAACAATACATTAAACCAAAGTAAGAGTAACACAAAGAACACATACACATCAACAACAACACATAGCAACCGTGAAGTTCTTCCCTCCAACTTGCCCCGCCGTTCCAGGTTTCGCGCATCTCGCCTGGTTTTTGATTTCTTCTCTTCAAAAGCGAGGCGCAGCACGCCGGCCCCCAGGGCGGCGTAGACCACCCAGCTGGACCAGCCCAGAAAGACGCCCTTGCCGCAAAAGCCTCGACCGGGCTTCAGGGAGCCGTCTGACATGTTGACCCCGGATTCGACTCGACACCTGTTGATTCATACGGGGCTGTCGCTGGGTTTGGGGAATCAGACCACTTTTGGAGACTTGCCCAAGTCCGGGTATCTAGTCTTGCCCTGAAAGGGAAATGGGTTACCATCAATGAGGATCTCCAGAAGTCGGTTTCTCCCCTCTCCCCCAATTCCAACCCGGTGGGGATGGGCAATGTTGACCCCAGATTCGACTCAACACCTGTTGATTCATAAGGGGCTGTCCCTGGGCTTAGTGGGGAATCAGACCACTTTTGGAGGGGAACACCCCTACATCAATAAACAGGGGTCTATTAATCCGGGGTCAACATAAGTCGGTGGTTTGAACTGCTGGGATTTGAACCTCTTCCTGTTGTTGGGTGCACCTTTTTAACCTCGAAGCCCCCAATTTTACAGCACCAGGGCCCTTGCGTACCTTCTATGCAGGTGGAAAAGGCTGCGCTGGGTGGGTTGACCACGCAAAACAGCCAAACCATAGAGATCACACAGTGATTGACACATGGCTGTGGCTCAAAAAACCGGAATTCCAAAATGGAACCCTGGTAAGCGGAAACATGGACCAAAACCTGCGTACCCCCTCTTGTTTAATTTTGAGCCACACCCACCTGACAGTCCCACGGCACGCACCTCTTTTTAAAAAATGGGCCCATCCCCGTGTACCTTTTGGTCCCCAAACATGTAGACACCCCTCTTTTAGTAGTTGTCAGGGGTCTCGAAAATCTTATATGCGGTATGGTTGGTTCTTCATGGTGTTCCCGTGGTTTTCCCATGTTGTTCCCAGGGGTCCCGTGAATTTCGCACCCCCCCCCCCTATTCCTCCAAACAGAGGGTCAACAGGTAAACCCCGATCCACCATCTGAGAAAATTGAAACTCTATTTCGATCTCCTGCTGAAACACGTTGACTTGTCGGTGAAATGGAACCCCAACCACTAAACCAACTAATAGAAATTAACCTAAGGAACCGGATGGCTGGGCTTGCCACCAAGATAAGCCATTGGTTGTTGCGATTTCGCGACCCAGAAGCAGTCGTTGGCTTGCGCGGCAGTGGCGTTCGTAGCCACGAAGAGGCCTTGCACGTCGTTTTTGGTTCCGCTGCCGACTCCGCCCCTCTCCCTACTGAGCACCCTACTGAGGCTTTGGGAGGCGGGAGATAGAGGTGAGCACTTGACTTGAAACCATGGTTTACTTGCTGCTCAGTAGGGAATGTGAGAATGGCTGTGGCTCAAAAAACCGGTACCAAAATGGAACCCTGGTCAGTGGAAACATGGCCCAAAACCCGCGTGCTCTGTCAGTAGGGAATGTGAGAATGAACCCAGGGATTCACTCAAAGGAAAACCACAAGAAATGGTTTGTAAGGGTCATTCCAGTTCTCATTCCCTACTGAGCACCAGCAAGTTTACTTTCCGATGGTTGAAACCACTTTAAAGCGGCCCAGGGTCTAGTGATTGAAACCCGCGTGTCCGAGCTCCGGATGCAAGGCGACCTTTCGGGCTTGGGGGTTGGATGGGCTTAGGGAAACCACCAGGAAACCGAGCACCTGGAGTCTCAAATGGGTCAATGACCAACCAACATGTTGGGTAATGACCAACCATTTGTTCAGGGTCAGAAGGAGACTCCAGGCACCTTGACTTGGGAACGAAGGGCTCCAAAGAAGATACGCTTCTCGAGGAGCGACTCATTGGATGAGCAATGTCGGGGATACCCAAAGTCCACTTGGATGCGGCTCAAAATGAAACACCTGGGGTTACAGCAGGTCTTGGTCCACGTGTCCACTTACCAGGGCAAGCCATTTTGGGGTTACCCTGTTTTTGAGCCACAGCCACTTGGGTCAGTCTGCAACCATAATGGACCTCTAGTAAGATATTATGTAGGTCTTTGATTTTTCCTAGACCCTTCAACCCCATGGGTCTTTGGTGGATGGACACAACATTCTAGGGTTTGATTCCTTGTCCATTCTTTTCAGCCATCGTTCTTTTCAAAAGCCGTTTCCCTGGGTCTTTGATGGTTTTCTAGACCGTTTACCCTGGGTTTTTGGTGGTTTGCTAGAAAGAAGGATCCCGGGAAAGAATGGAGAAGCATCCCCTAGAGATGTGTGTCCCGATTCGTGTCGAAGCAGTTCGGTGCTTCCAACTCTGACAAAATCTCAGATGCGCAGTGGATGTCCATGCTTACCCCTTAAAACTCCAAGCCCTGGGGAAGTTAATCTTTTACAGACATATAGCCCATGTTACCCCCAAAAAGTTGAAAAGTTCTGTTTTTAAGAGGTAAGCATGGGGAAAGAAAGGGGCCTCCTTTTTAAAGCTCGTCGAGTTTAAAGGGGAAACCTTCCCACGGACCAAATATGGCGCCGGTTTCGGCAACTGGGAAAATCGAAAATCCCGGTTACCCCCAGTGAACATCCCAATCCAAACACTAAAATAGACTAGTTTTGGGTGGTGCACCTACCAACCAAAATGGGATACCATTGGTTTTGACCCACGGCCATATGGCCACGAAACCAGTTCAAAGCCCAATGAGACTCCAAGCTCCGGGATTCCCCCGCACGTGTGGCTTGCAGTGCCTCAGCTTCCCACTAGGTGGTGTGGATTTGTAGCAAAAACTTCAATTCCCAAACCAAAATAAAACCGACTAAGGGTCACTTCACCTAGGTCCTCCAGTGGAGAGGATAGAATAAGGATGAATAAGGGTACTCTTTTTCTGTAGTCTATTTTAGTAGGGAACCCTCCCCCAAAAAAGAAGCGGTAAAAGGTCATTACGGGGGGACGTAGTCACCTTTGTTAACCCCTTATTTTTCTGGCGACATGACCCATAGAAAAGTGGTAGGGCAGGAGAAAGAAAATGCCAAAGGCACGAGCCCAGGCCAAAAGCCCGAGTCCCCCTCAATCCGGACGTGCTGCCCCAAAAGCCCCTTGGGGAACCTGAGATTTCTCCTTGAAACTGGTGAGGCAGCTTGCTGGATTTGTGTGTGTGTGTTTGTTGCAACAACTGATTAAACTATGTTTAAGGGAGAAAAGTAAGGAACCCTGTTTGCAACACTGCTTCCAGGAGAGAAACAGTTGCTTCAACAAGCACAGCAAACACATTTGTTGAGCAAACAGCCGAACTACAAGCAACCAAATCAAAACGACGATGTCCAACACACACACACAAACGGAAACCAAACACCAACCACATATAGGGGCAAGGTACCTAGTAAGTGGTTAGTATGCCTGGTTACAAGCCACTTAGGAGACTTATAACCATGGTAAGTGGGTTATAACCATTCTCACCCACTTTCTAGGCACCCTGCCCCTTTAAGCTGGCAGCTTCGTGCCTGCATCGTCGCAGGACCCAATGTCTACACCTCGGACGTGAGCAAGCCGATAGGTCGAAGGCCGAGCGAGGTTTCCGAGCCCAGGATCCCTTGATTTCGCCCTTATGTCCATGTGGCTGCCCTCAAAATGAAAACAAAACTAACCTGAAAAAGGGTACCCACCAAAAAGACGAGCTCCCATGCGAAGGAAACAAGCAAACCAAGTCTCCAAGTCAATGTTACCATAACAATCATGCGGGGCTCCCAAAATTGGCGTCCTCTTGGCTTCCCACACCACCCTGGACATCGGGGCTTCCCAACCAAAGACACACCCACTGGCCCTCACTTCAGCTTCCCTCTAATTGGCGGCTTGGATTTGTGGTTCCACAGTGGATTCCCCGTTACCCTCTACAAAAGCCATCCAAACCACCAACTAAAGGGCTTCCTGATCACTTGCAAGTTTCAAAAGGGGAAAACAACAATGCTTGACTTGCTTCTCAATTGAGCAGCGCGCATTTCACCCGTTGACTTTCGGTGGACAACACACTTGTAAGGGTTTATACGGGCTTGTCAAAATTGGGTGCCCCTAGAGGTGTGCGTGTCTCCTGTTGTTGTTGATGTTGTTTTACCACCCCAAAGGCGACTTGAATTTTGAGAACTTCCATTTCGGCTGTTCTATTTACATGGCAAAGGTTTATAGAGGCTGGTCCCTTTCCTTTAAGGTTCCCCTGTTTTGTGGTTTTAAGGGGAAATCAAAAACAAAACAAGCCCGCCATGGGGCGTCTTGCCTTAGAAAAAGCCGACCGCCCCCACTTGCCGAGAGGCAGTCCCAGTAGTTGTTGGGCCGGTAGACCCAGAAGGCCAGGTCGGGCCGTCCGCCGGACACCCCGAGGAAGCCCATCACCGGCAGAAAGGCGATGCCCCACAGAAAGGCGCCAAAGTCCAGCCGGATTTTGTTCACCTCGAGAACGCCGCACTCCGAAAAATCTGAAAAAACAACCTCGAGAACCGAACCCGAAAAAAAATGAGAAAACAAAACAAGGGCACTCACCACACACAGAAAATCCATCGTGTGAATCAGCTTCGCCTGAATTTGTGGTTTGGATTCGTGGCTTGGGTGGTGGTGACTTCCCCACTTACCCTCAACAGGAACCAGGGGCTCAAATCGCCAAGCCATCCATCCAAAACAACCAACTAAGGGTACCGAAATGAAGGTGGGTGAGTGGAGACACGGCCATTTCTTAACGACCTGCAGAAAATTAAGGGTCAGAAGGAGACTCCAGGTATGTCAAGCCCCAAACCTCAAACAAATCCCAAGAGAGGCCTTTCAAGGCCCCCCCAAAAAGGGGCGGAAACCAAAGGGACGAACAAAAATGACAACTCCAAGGGTTTTTGTATGACACCCTGGGAATACACCCACTGGGTATTGACCCCATTTAGGCACATTTCCGGATAAAACCGTGTTATCTTCAACCGTTCTGGGTCATTTTCCAAGGGTGTAATCTCAAAGTGTAATGCAAAAACCTTCTCGGGTGAGTGCCTTCGTCCTCTTGTTGGGGAGCGCGATTTTTTTGAGATTTTTCGGTTGGGTGGCTGCCTTTGGTGCATTTTGCTTGGATGTTAGGACTTTAACTTTTTGCCAGCTAGTGGGTTTTTCGAATTAAACCACTGAAAGTTAAACTTTTAGCAGGGGAGCAGAAAGCAACCGAGAAACGTCCCTTGGGAACAACTGCCACAAACGGCAGGGCGGAAATAAGGTGAACACCCTGAGATCGAGTCATGGCAGGTGTTTTCCGTTTCAGGGATACCTGCAAAAGGGGGGACACCCTATAGCGGTAAAGACTCGAAGGCTGAGTTCGGAGCTGCCGCATGTAAAGGTTGAAAGAGCCCAGAGAAGCACCATTCTTAGATGCTCTTTGCCAAGTTAAGTGGAAAAGGCCACAAGGTGAACTTCACTGAATGAGGGACGTATAAGCGGGTTCTCACTTGCCCAAATGACCTGGAAATTAAAGGTTAAGCTTTTGGAACCTTGGCTAAAAATGGACCAAATCAAGGAAACCAAAAAGGTTACAGGTTGGCCTTGCACAGGTGAGGGTGATAACCCAGGTTGCTCACAGATTACTTGTCCGTTCTCTGATCCCCTGCTAAAAGTCTAACTTGTGCGTTGAATGGAAACTCCCACACCAACTAAAAACAAACCGGACGGCTGGGAACCACCAAGAAATTTAGGCCCGATCAACGTCACTGGGCAACCAAGAGCCCAAGAGCCAGGCGATTGCAGCCATGAATTTCAGGTCGCATATCTGTAGCCTAAACTACTTGGGTGTTCAATTCGTCAAGTTAGTTATTAGCAACCCAGGTTGCAACCGTAAAGACCTACCAACCGGTAAACGGATCCACAGGGCCAGCGTCTTAATTCAAAACCAAAAAAAAAACGACCTTAATAATAATAATCATAATAATGATAATGATAAACATAATAATAATGATCATAATATATAATATATATATATATAACGACCCGAGAGCCCCGCCAGGAATGGCGTGGTGGTGTTCTGCAGCGCAATCTCCTGAGCGCAAAAGCTCGCGGCGTTCGGAGGCGTTCGGCGCGAAACGGGGGAGCAAACTTCATGGAGGGCCTGGCGGTGTGCCTGGGTGTGTATCTTTGTTTGTTTTCCTGCTTGATTCTTTTTTGTTGTTCTGTTGTTTTGTTTGTTTGTTTGTTTGTTTGTTTGTTTGTTTGTTTGTTTGTTTGTTTGTTTGTTTGTTTGTTTGCTTGTTTCTTTGTTTCTTTGTTCGCTTGAGTTTATCCGCGCTTGTACCCAAACTCACGGCGGTATCCGAATCGTCCGGCCACGGCAAGCTGGCAACTTGCTGCACATACAGCACGCGGCCGGGAATGCCATCCTCTGCACATCGGCAAACCGCAAATCAGCAGCTTGGAGCCTGCACGGCACCCGGCTGGTCATCCTCTGCAAATCGGCAGTGAACTGCAGAGCTTGGTGGAGCTGGAGGCTTGCGTCTGGCTCGAAAATGCCGCCCCCGTTTCTTTTCTTTGTGCAGGCTTCCGAACGAGCTACGAGCTACTTGGGTTCCCGAAAAGGAAACGAGCGGCTTCCTAAGGAGCTACAGAGGTTCCCGGAAAAAAAGAATCCAAGTGCCTGTCCCCTTTGGTGGACATCGTTCAACTGGGTTCATGTCCGCCACTTTGATGATGAGCCAAATGGCCGTGGCTCAAAGAATCGCCACCAAAATGGAACCCTGGCAAGTGGAAACATGGACCAAACCCTGCGACACCCCTCCTGTTTAATTTTGAGCCACACCCCAATGAATGTCCGCGTGTTTTTTCAATTATTTTTGAGGAAACAGCTCCTGACCTCGCCAAAAGGTGCCTCAACAAGGCAGCCCGGTATCAACAGCACCGCAGCCCCCCTTAGAACACTCACTAGCTTCGGACTTCGAAAGCTCTCGGAAAACATGGAACCATCATCGTTTGCGCGAGACAAGCAAAGTTGAGCAACCGCAAGGTCACAACACAGACATCCGGAATGAAAAAAAGATACCAGGGTCAAAGGAAACCCCCTTTCAAAGGAAAACCCCCCTTCCAAAAGGGGAGAAAAAACAAACCTCGCCAAAGTGAGTTGATGTTGCTCCAAGCCCCCGGAGCAAAAACCAACCATTGAAAGGTACCTTTTGCCTTCGTACCACTATTGCAAGGGTCACAGGCACAAAAAAAAGCGGGTTCCATTCAGGGTCCAAGTTGTTCAGTGCCTGGAGCGCTTCCGAGGTACCCTTCAGGGGTTGGGGTACAGGCAAACAAAAAGGCAAACTGCTCCAAAAAAAAATGTTGTCTTCCTTCTGGCTGCGCTGTTCTATCCAAAAAAAGCCCCCATTTTGAGAAACATCGTAATGTTCAAGAGAGTGGAAACCTTGTTCGCGGACAATAAAGCTCCATCAAGCAATCCCTGCAAGAATCCAATTGGTTTGCGCGATATAATGTGCAGACGACATTGTTTTGCAAATGCTACAACAATTCCAACACCTATCCAAAGGGATCCTCAAATAAAGGACCTACATTATTCTACCGTCATTTTACGCCCTACATGGCTCGCCGCTAAATGGGCAGCGGAGGCATTTTGTCAGACATTTGATCCCCAATCACCGCTGGACATGGTCGACGCAAAATCGACATGGTGACCAAGGCATGGAAAGGGCACCGCTTTAGGAGACTGCCAGTGCTCAAAGTGGTGGATCCCTTCTTTGGTTTGTTGTCAAAGGGAAACTAAACGCGAAACTCCTGCCATTTTTGGATGGACCGTTTTGAGAGTTCATATTTTTTGTTTTGGTGTTGCTTTGCTGTTGGTTTCCCCAACCCAAAAACAGGCTCTACCCACGTTGCGCGAACCCCCCAAACTCGTGCTCATCCTCCAATGTTCGGTTCTGTCCCTGGAAATACAAATAAAACTTCCAGTAGTGATAGACTCCCTTTAAACCCAACAAGGGGAAATCAAACATATCCTCAAATTTACGGGACTCCCCACCCCAAAATGATTGGTTTTCCCTTTGGTTCCCCCCGAAATGTCGGGTTCCCCAAAAGCGGAATGAACTGGTAACAAAAAGCAAATGGATGTATGTAATATTTTGTCTGCTGAGGTTTCCCTTTAGAGCCACCCCCAAAACATACTTAAAGGAGCATTGTAATTTGTAAGCGTGCAAAGAAACCCGGGTTATAACCCGCAAAAGCCATGGCTCCAAGTCTCCGCTCAATGGGTTATATCACCAGGCCACCAGGCTTACCAACCACTTGCCTGACATACGAATCGATCGCCCCTTTAAGTAGTTGGCTCCCCCCAAAAACTTCGACGCGCGCCCCCTGTCAAACGGGGTGTTTTTCCCCGAGGAACACAACCCGGTGTTTTCCCCGAGGAACACCACCAAACAAAATACACAATGGTAAAGTATATCTCAAAAATAATATGTCTCCCTTTAGAGCCACCCAAACCAACAAATCAAAGATTGGGCTCCCCAACAACAGACGAATGCCCTCCCCCCAAGGGACGTTTCTCGGTTGCTTTCTGCTCCCCTGCTAAAAGTTTAACTTTCAGTGGTTTAATTCGAAAAACCCACTAGTTGGCAAAAAGTTAAAGTCCTAACATCCAAGAAAAATGCACCAAAGGCAGCCACCCAACCGAAAAATCTCAAAAAATCGCGCTCCCCAACAAGAGGACGAAGGCACTCACCCGATGGACACGTTTGATCGCCGAGGGTCCATGATCACCGAGTAGATGCAGGCCATGGACGCGGACCCGGCCGTGGATAGGATTGCCACCGCGCTGCTCTTGCGCCCGGCCTGGAGGCGAGCCGGGGCGATCGAGGCGAGGAATCGAGGCGAGGCGGGATGCGTCAGGTAAGTGCCTGGAGTCTCCATGACCAATAGAAAATTGGGTCATTACCGAGGTCATGGAGACTCCAGGTGGTTCTAACAGCCCGGCCTGGATGTCTGGAGGTAGGTAGTTCTTGTTCAAGGGAACCCCTCCCTTAAAAAAGAAAAGGCGGGGCGGCCACTGAAAAGGGATTGTTCTAAGAACCATGGTGGTGTCCCTTTTTGTCCCCCAAACCAACCCGAAAGAGGGTATCTTAAAGGGGCATTGTCCTTAGTAAGTGGTTCAAACCGTGGTGTCTCTTTTTTGTCCCCCAACCAACCCAAAAGAGGGTATCTTAAAGGGGCATTGTTAGTAAGTGGTTCTAACCGTGGTGTCCCTTTTTTGTCCCCCAAACCAACCCAAAAGAGGGTATCTTAAAGGGGCATTGTCCTTAGTAAGTGTTCTAACCGTGGTGTCCCTTGTCCTTAGAAAGTGGTTCTAACCGTGGTGTCCCTCTTTTGTCCCCCAAACCAACCCATAAAGGGTCATTGTCCTAGGTAAGTGCTTCTAACCGTGGTGTCCCTTGTTTTGCTCCCAAACCAACCCGAAAGAGGGTATCTTAAAGGGGCATTGTCCTTAGTAAGTGGTTCTAACCGTGGTGTCCTTTTTTGTCCCCCAAACCAACCCAAAAGAGTGTATCTTAAAGGGGCATTGTCCTTAGTAAGTGGTTCTATACATGCTGGTGCCCTTTTTTTCTCTCCCAAACCAACCCAAAAGAGTGTATCTTAAAGGGGCATTGTCCTTAGTAAGTGGTTCTACCCATGGTGGTGCCCTTTTTTTCTCTCCCAAACCAACCCAAAAGAGTGTATCTTAAAGGGGCATTGTCCTTAGTAAGTGGTTCTAACCGCGGTGTCCCTTTTTTGTCCCCCAAACCAACCCAAAAGAGTGTATCTTAAAGGGGCATTGTCCTTAGTAAGTGGTTCTAACCGCGGTGTCCCTTTTTTGTCCCCCAAACCAACCCAAAAGAGTGTATCTTAAAGGGGCATTGTCCTTAGTAAGTGGTTCTAACCGCGGTGTCCCTTTTTTGTCCCCCAAACCAACCCAAAAGAGTGTATCTTAAAGGGGCATTGTCCTTAGTAAGTGGTTCTAACCGCGGTGTCCCTTTTTTGTCCCCCAAACCAACCCAAAAGAGGGTATCTTAAAGGGGCATTGTCCTTAGTAAGTGATGCTAACCGTGGTGTCCCTTTTTTGTCCCCCAAACCAACCCAAAAGAGTGTATCTTAAAGGGGCATTGTCCTTAGTAAGTGGTTCTACCCATGGTGGTGCCCTTTTTTTCTCTCCCAAACCAACCCAAAAGGGGCATACCTTCAAGGGGCATTGTGCGTCAGGTAACCCACAAAAGCCATGGTTATAAGTCGCCGTTCAGTGGGCTGTAGCCATGGTTGTTACCCGCTTACCTGACGTGCCGAATCGATTGCCCCTTTTAGAAGGGGGCACCTCCCCCAACCGATAGGCAGGGGGGAACTCCAAAAGGTTGGGTGGAGCCAATTCCCTTTTATCTACAGTCCCCACAAAGGAAACGGGTTACCATAAATGGACATCTCCAGAGGTCGAAATTCCCCCTCCCCCCGCCTCATTTTTTGCGGGTGGGGATAGGAGGGCACTCTTAACCTGCACCGCAATGGATCGAGTTCTTTGTTGTGCCTTCGCACCCTTGTTTTTGGGGAAAAAAAACGGGGCGAGGACTTTTTTGTGCACTGCATGTTCCAAGGGGTCAGAAGCTAAATTTGACAAGGGCCGAACCTTCCGTTTTCCAAACGGTCCACACCCAAGCATGAAGCCCAACATCTGAAGAAGCGACCTCCTCTTAGCTCCTCAAAGTTTTTGCCAAAAGTCGGACTCAACCAAAACAACACACATCGCTCACCCCCCACTTCTCGGTTCGCGCGCTCCGCGGCTCGCTCCCGCTTGCGGGCAAGGCGCAGAGTGCGTGGCGATGGAACTGTCGAGGAAGGCCAAGGTGATTGAGGCCTGGTTTGCCCATTTCGCTTTTTTGTCATCTGGAAAGAAACATACTGTGGATGGACGAAATCCGTTTCGCACCCCTTTGAAACCATGGGAAAACATTGTTCATTGGTATCTACAGCGGAATCGACTCATTCCAGGCTTTCTTAGGTGGTGCAGGACATCCATCCACAGTATGTCCAGTAGATTCCCTTTAAAACCGTAAACAGGGAGAGACAGAAATCCGCCATGTTTCCGTTTTTCTTGCTGGTGCGATAGGTAGGGAATGATGACCCGGAAGGGATTCCCTTATAGGCACAACTTATAGGGGTCCAAGTGGAGTAAACCTCCATGTGCCTGTTGCTCACAGAAAAATCCTCCATTTGTTTTTTTTGTCACCTGGAAAGATGAGAACATATGTCCAGTGATACCCTTTAAAACCTTAGGGGCAGACAAAATCCAAGCCCTCCCATCTGCTCAGAAGGGAATATAAGCCAAGGGTTTCCTGGGGAATTCCTTTCCGGTTCATTCCCACCCGGACTTGGTCATTCCCGGCAAGCTTTGGATTGGTGAGGGTAGGGGGTACCTTCCCTTGGTTTCAAAAGGGGTTCAAAGCCCCCCATCCGCGAAGGCTACCTCACATACCCTCCCAACATGAAACGGGTTCCCACCTGAAGGCCCCTGAGCCGAGCAGCAAGTAAAGGTCCGCTGGAAAACATGAGCAAATCTGTCCATGATTGGTTCCCTTTTAAGCCTTAGAAACAAATAAACAAATATATGTTTGGAACCTTGATTCATAAGCCTAGGTGGTATCCCCAACAGCCCTAGAACCCTCTAGAACCCTCTGGAACCCTCCCTGCAAGCTGCTCCCAACCACTCCAAACCTTATTTGGGCGTGTCAGCCCCGTAGCTTCCAGCTGTTGGGAAAGTAAACCAAAATGGGACAAAAGAAATACCGAGTCACATGGGTCAATTATTATTTTGGAACCTTGACTAAAAAATGGATGTGTGTGTTGTTGAGGGACCCCCCAAAAATGGTGGTTGCCCTTTTGGCTTCCCTTTAATACCAACCAAAAAGGGTTTCCCTAAAAAAAGGCACACCCACATAGAAGCTTCCCAGTGCTTCCACTTACCGCTATAGGTTGCCAGGGATCCTTATATACCTCTAGGTTTTGCATGAAACTATTATAGAGATAGCTGGAAGCACTGGGCTTGACTAAAAATAGACCGACATGGGGAAACTGTTCAAGGTCACATAGGTCAGTAAACCTTTTGCAGACCTTAAACATAGCAAGAAAAAACAACAACATAGCGACTAAACATAGACCAAAATGGGAAAAACCAAAACCCGGTATTGAAATGGAGAGCCATGTAAGGAATTCGAAAGGCGGATATCCGGGCCTATTTATGGTTGGGATTTGTCCCTTGCTAACCTTCATCTGGGTTTGATTGTGGCTCAGGTACAATGCTTCCATTTGCTAAACTTTACAACCCAAACGGTATGCTAGCAACAAGAATTGGAAAACCGAATGGCTGTGGGTCAAAAATAGGCACCCAAAATGGAACCTTAGTAAATGGAAGCAGGACTAAAACCTGCGGTCCATATCCAGTGGTTTAATTTTACCCACACCCAAATGAAAAAAATGGCAAAACCAAATGGGAAACACCAAAACGGGAAGAAAAAAAAGCAGAAATGTCAAAAAAGGTCGATTCGCTTTGGGCAAAGAGGCTACGAAGAGGACCACCACCGAGAGCCACTCCTGAGCGTGCACGAAACGCTTCGCCGTCCAAAGACCCAAAGGAGAAGGGAGGCACCGGGATATTCAAACCAAAGCAACCGGGGGGGTTCATTCAGTTGAACTGGGCTGTCCGTTTTCAGATCCGCTGCTAAAAATATTTAAGTTTAGGCGAAAGTCGGATGATCAGCTGGGCCCGAACAAGTTGGATCAACTGTTGGGCGATCATCAACTTTTGGGCCCACGAGTGGATTGGAAAACCAACAGCTCATTCCGATGGGTCGCCAAATACCCGGCTTTTTGGTAAAAAAGAAGGTACTTGTTGGGGCAAAACCCGGTTTTCCAGAGCAACTACCTCCCTTTTTAGCAAAGCACTGACATGATACCCTAGGAAAAGCGGGTATTTGGAATAGGGGGATTTAAACTCAGACGTTCTCCTAGAAGAATTTCCCCTTGGGAAATCAGCCCCACGGCTTCTTGTTTCAAACACACCCTCTTACCCCTCGAACCGCGGGTCCTAGAGCTTTTTGTCTGCGAAAACATATACGGTGCTCTTTTGTGGGGTGCTTGGGTGTTAGTACCACAAGCTATGAGCTACTTGAAAGTTCCAAGTAGACTCAACCTTGTTATTCGTGGGATATCCACCCCAAGTTGTGTTTTCCCCATACTAACTTGGCAACGAGCATCCAAGTAGTTGGTTTCAAAGGGGTTTCCCTCCACATTAAGCAAAAAGGGGAACTTGGCCATCTGCAAAACATGAGTTGAATGCTGCTTGATTAGATATGGGGTGCGTCTTAAAATCGGGGACCCTACCAATTGCTACGCTCAAACTGCAGGGTTGACGTTTGGTTTTGTTCCCTCGAGGCAGGTCGAGGCTCGATCCAGAGATAGCGCCGGTGCAGGATCAAGCGCCCCAGGACCAGGGAGAGAGGTGTGTAAATCTTCCCCATGGCCTGATCCATCGGTCCGATCGTTACGCAGAAACGGAAACCGCTCGAACCGTTTCGTTTCGGGTGCTGAGAACCATTGCTTTGAAAACCACGGGCGTGTAACAGTCAGACTTGGCGCACCAAGAAGGGGGTCCACAACAGATAGATGTTCGGATCCTGCTTGCTTCATATTGAGTCTGCCCTAGAATGCAAATATAGTCTTGGAGGAGACCCCGGTAGAGGTTAGAGTAAACACTACCCTTTCGAACCCCCCGCTTCGTTTCTAGCGGGGCGTGTAAAGAAACAAAGAAACTGCCATGGATGTGTACAACAACCGACCTTGACAAACCAGAAACCCTGCACAAGACGAGAAACCGGCATAAAAGAAAGGAAGCCTTTTATGAAAGAAAAATAAACTGCCCTGACAGATGGGAGCGCTTTTTCCAAACTTAGCATGTGGGCGCAAAAGTTTGGCTGCCCACTAAAAAAGACTAGGAACAAAAAAAACAACTAAAAGCTGAAGAGCATGGCGTTTGAACAGCAAAGCCTCGCCTCCTTACGGAACTTCCCTCCATCAGAATTTAGGGAGCGGCCCACTTTGCGGTCCAAAGCAACGCGAAAAAGTGTTGGGAGCGTCCTTTGACTGGTGGGGCACTCACCTCCAATGAAAACCGGATACAAGGGTCCACCCAAATGCAAACAAGTAATCAAGGGCGGCACCTATTTGGGTATGACCTTCAAGTCGAAAGGCTGGACATTTTGGAATATCAATCTCCAACCAAGGGATAGGCAAATCCGGTTGGGACTAATTATCTCCTTGGGTGTCCGGCCAAGCTATTAACTTGATAGTAACCTAAGTTAGAACCTGCTCTAAAGCTCCCCCTCTCCCCCTCCCCCCCCCCTCCCCTTCCCGACGAAACAAAAAGCAAAATGCGTCCACCCTTCGTCCTCCAAACCCCCCCCCCCCCCGAAAAAAAGATTGGCGTCTCCTCCAACCCCCAAAGACCACGTCAAACCCCCCTCCCAAGAAAAACTGGGTGTCGTCCCTCGTCCACCTCCATTCACCCGACGCCTTCCAACCGAAAACTGATCCGTGGGATTTTTAAACCACCTTCTTCCAATGGGGTCGCTGTTTGTGCAACCGCCATTACTGAACTAAATATTGTCGTCACCTAAGTTGGGTCCTTTGCTAGTCTTGTTTACTAGGGTCCCAGGGTTGTAAACAAACAAGCACATTGTTGTTGTTTAGGTTTTTCTGGCTGAGACTCGCCAAGGAAACACAAACACTCGAGTTTGTTTATTTCGGTTGTTTGGAGGGATAAAGCAAACAACTTAAATCACACAAAAATGGCGCGGGAACGCGAGGAACCAAACACCAACTCTGAGTTGTGTTGTTGATGTTTTTGTTTCCGCATGTTTAGTAGTTGTGTATCCAAGTACTAAAACAAAATGCTCACAAGGCCTAAGAATGCCACACAACCAGTGCTCTTTGGGCTTCAAATCCGCGCAACAACACACACAATAGAAAAAACAAAAACAAAAACGACAAAGCAACAAGTAAGATACATTTTACAACCCCTGCCCCCCCTTCCCACTTCCACCCCCCCCCCCCCCAACTACCCGGCCGCCCCCGACCGCCCGGATCCCCCGGCCACGTAGAGCGAGGAGTTGATGCCGAGGCCCATGGCGAGGCCAGCCAAGGCGCCCACCACCGACTGCATCAGCCCCAGCAAAAGGAACTTGTTCAGCGTCCTGGGAGAAAAACAAAAGGTTCCATGGTACCTTCCATTTCCATTCTTTCCAGGGATCCGAATCTTTTCAGGAATCCAGGGTTTTTAAAGAAAGAGGCACAAACACAGAAACAAACCCCAGGAGTCAACCGCGGGCTCGGCTTCCGCAGGTTGAATGCCCATGGCCTGTGTACCGGAGATGGCCAAGACGAGGTTGCTTTCCACAACCGTTTCGTGTAATAACCTCTTTCTTTGGTGGGTCAGGCTACCTGCCTTTACCAGGTCAATGGGGAATCACAAAACAACTGGGTAGGGCCTCGGGAAGCTGGAAAAGTTCCCAAGAGGTACTCGAGTTCCCTTATGAGGACCAAACCCCTGTTCACAGAAGTGGATTTCATTTCAACCACCGCCCTGTTCATATGGGATTTTCTTGCTGGGGGACCCAACCACCAAGCCTGAGCATACCTTGCTATGGAGATGTTTGTTCCCAAAGAGGACGCTGAAGAAGTACAATGTCCAGGGTTCCCTTGCTCACCTGCCTTCACCAGGTAAATGGAGAAAGGTATTCGCTCCAGCAGGTTGTTGAGCGGTTTCAAAAAGGAAAACCAACAGGACAAAACCGCCATTTGGGGGTCCGATCCGTAAAGAATGAATCTCGGTTCCTGTGAAGATGTTTGTTCCCAGCTCCCCCATGGATATTTTTCTAAGAACAATGTCCAGGGTTCTCGTGGTTAGACTGCCTTTACCAGGTCAATGGGGAATTACTGGGTATTTCCTATGGGATTTGTTTTGGAGGACAAATTGACCTACTTGACATAAATGGAAACCAACAGGACAAAACCACTATTCGGGGGTCCAGTTCCTTAAAAATGAGCATCCGTTCCTATGGAGATGTTTGTTCCCAAGAGGACGCAGATTTTCTTGCTGGTGCTCAGTAGGGAATGAGAAATGGAATGACCCTAATAAACCCTCCAACTGGTGGTTTCCTTTCAGGGACATTCCCTACCGACTGAGCACCAGCAAGTTTGTTTCCCCTGGGTTTTGATGGGAAGCTCGAGCATAAAGACCGAACACCACCAGCAACGGAAAGGTAGCAGAACCATTGAAAAAGCAAAAAAAAAACACGCAGTGGTTTGAGAGCGAAAGAGAAAGCGTACCCCTGAGCAACTAAGCAAGAGGACCCTTCTAAACCAGCAGCGGCTCCAGCAAAAAGACACAAACTCCCCCACAAAAAAAAAAAGAGAACACAACGCACTCACAAAAAGGCTGCAAAAACCAAACTCCCTCCTTTAAACAAAACAACACAAACAAAAAAGTGACGAGCCCCCACAGAAATGCCACTGCGCGAAGAAACGACACCCATCGAAGCCGAAGCCGGGTCGATCTGGTCCTCGGGTCCAGCGCCTCCCGGAGGCCCTTGAGGCCTAGGCGATCGAGGGCGATCGATGGCGACACCTGGCGACACCTGGGCTTCTAGGGGTAGCTTCCGTGATTTGTTTCTAGCTTGGAGGTTCTTCATCCTTCATGGTTTGGATCAGTGAGCTGAAAGAAGACCTGCCGCGTTTCACGCCGGGTGTACTGACCATGTTTGAACAACCTCCTTTCGGTTTCCCTAAGCTTCCCCCGTGATTTGTTTTGTCATATGTCCCTCAAGAAGCGTACATGGAAACAGCCCCAGACTTTGAATCTAGTAGTTTCCGTTTCCATTCTTTTCAAAAATCCTTCCAACCCTTTATTTCGTATCTGATTCTAATGGTTGGGAAGGACATGAAGAACAATCATTCTAGATGCAGGAAAGGATCCTTCTTTCTAAAAAATAATAATAATACAAACTTCAAACCACCGGGGAAATGGCGATCGTTTTTTGAAAAGAACGATGGCTGAATGGCTGAAAATAATGGACAAGGAATCAACCCCTAGAGGGCCCGTTGTTGCCGATCCCGCGCTGAAAGCGACGAACACCTTTCGTGAGATAGAAACACGGAAACTCACCCACTAAACCAGCTAACAAGATCTAAAAAGCTTTCTTTGAACTGGATGGAAGGGAGCCAAGATACGTCAACCCTGAGATCAGATTCTGACCATCGGAAACTTCCCTCTCTCCAAGTTGGGGTTGATTTCTGTGGGGTATGACATGGATCTCCCTGCTCAGCGGGGCGATTCGGCACACACACAAAGCCATGGTTATAAGCCTGCTTTCCGAGGAATTTTCCACAGGCTTACTAGCCACTTACCTGATGTACCGAATCAGTCGCCCCTTTTAGTTCGCGCCGGGAACATACCCACCCGCGCGTGTTTTTGCCTGTCTTCGGCTTTTGTGATTGAATTCTCAGGCAGTTTGACAAACGTGCATCTTTGCGGGTCTTTGAACATCCCGGTAACTAACTCGTTTCAGGCCAAAGCCGCGCATTTTTTGTTCTAGTCAGGACACATGGCAGTGAAACGATGTCTGGGCTGCCAGAAGCCGGGGCACCGGCTGGAGACATGTCCTAAACCAGTGGAACTTGAAATCCGCCGCCTTCGTGGGCTGGGTTGTTTGTTGTTTCGCTTGAGCGGGTGCACTTCAGCGGGTGTTCTTACCATTTGGCATGCGTGTGTGCAGCGCAAAGCGGGCGCACTTCAGCGGGTGTTCTTACCATTTAGCGGGTGCGCTTCAGCGGGTGTTCTTACCATATGGCTCCAGTGCCGAGGGGTGCACTTCCAGCGGGTGCTTACCATTTGGCATGCGTGTGTGCAGCGCTGAGCGGGTGCACTTCAGCGGGTGTTCTTACCGGCAGCATGCATGTGTGCAGCGCTGGGCAGGTGCACTTTCAGCAGGTGTTCTTACCATTTGTGGCATGCGTGTGGCTGCAGCGCTGGTAGTGCACTTTCAGCAGGTGTTCATGTTTGGCATGCGTGTGCGCAGTGCTGAGCGGGTGCACCTCAGCGGGTGTTCTGACCATTTGGC